GAAACTTGTACATGCCACATGATACCATAGGTCATAGTGCGTGGTGCTAACAAACATCGGAAGTTTCACTTCGAGAGTTACTGCCCCCATATCTACAAGTGCGCAGACCATGCACTTGGCCCCATTTGCAAGGAGGACTGATTGCGCTCAGCACTGATGCCAGAAAGATGCAGTCTCGAACGACAACACTTCCCAAGGCTCCTGCCGAATCCAACTCTTTCACGTTGCTGCCACTCCTGACAGGCAGAGCTCGAAAAAAATGGTGTATCAAATGTTCGACACCTTCAGGCCGTCTGCATGTGTCGCCTCGTGTTTCGCTAGTGGTTTCCGTGATTTTCCACGCAAACGTGCAATATTGTTTAGAACAGAGAGTTCGCGGTGCAGAGTTCGAAAAAAATGGTGTATCAAATGTTCGACGCCTTCAGGCCGTCCGCATGTGTCGCGTCGTGTTTCGCTAGTCGTTTCCGTGATTTTCCATGCAAACGTGCAATATTGTTTAGAACAGAGAGTTCGCGGTGCAGAGTTCGAAAAAAATGGTGTATCAAATGTTCGACACTTTCAAGCCTTCCGGCACCGCCGCTGTTGACCCGCGTTTGCTTGAAAAACATCACTGTGACATTCAGAGCACTGGGCAGAAATCACAGCGGCTCGCTCACTCACGTTACAGCGGATAGTAGGTAGGGACAGTGGGAATCTCGCTAAGAACTGCAGAACTTTGACATTCAGAGCACTTGGCACGGCCCTCCCTCCGGCCCCAAAACCCAAAATTCACGCCTCAGTCGCCGGAAAACGAGTTCTGTCTGCACTCAGAGCGCCTGGCGAGGATGATCGAAGACGGTTCCCAGCGAAGACGTCGAAGAGGAACCTGAGCCGCGAGGGGGCCCGGGGATTCCGGGAAGGGAAGAGGGCGGCAGGGCACTCTAGAGCTACAGCGGGGGGCACTGTGACATGCAGAGCACTGGGCAGAAATCACAGCTGCTCTGACAAGGCGCCCGCCAATCGCAGCGATCAGCTCAAAAACTCAAACCTGTAGCGGTTTTTTACAATTTCAGAATGTTAAACGGGCTCTGCATCTCAGTGATAGGAAGAGCAGACAGCGAAGAAGCAAAACGCTACGCACACAGCCCAGCCCCTATAAATGACGGAAGAACCCTGAACACTGAGAGGCGTTCAGTCGCAATCCAACTGATGATAAGAGAAAGACGTACTGACTTCGATTACTCTCGCAGCATCCAGAGACGTGTCTCAGGCAGTCCAAAACAGCTCAGATCCCTGTTGGCGGGTGAGCACTCCGACACTTCCCAGAGACTCCAAAACCCCTTAATTAAGGAATTGACCTTAAATCTAAGTAGGGTTCCGTTCTAATTGAAACTGCATATTCCTTAAGTGAGAAGTTTTGGAGTCTCTGGGTTTGGGGTTTCTGCATCTCAATGATAGGAAGAGTAGACAGCGAAGGCGGAAAAAACAGCGCACACAGTCCAGCCCCCTACCTACGCCCTCCCTCTTCCGAAGCGCCGAAAAACCCTGAAGACTGAGAGGCGTTCCGTCGCCAATCCAGCAGATGATAGCTTCGTGGTCATGGCCTTTTCAGCAAGCCACAGTAAGAGCATTAGAGGTGTTCCTCTCGTGCTGACTTCGATTGCTCTTGCAGCATCCAGGGCAACCAACGTGTCTCAAACGGTTTAAACCAGCTCAGATCCCTATTGGCGGGTGACCACTCCGACACTTCCCAGAGACTCCAAAACCCCTTAATTAAGGAATTGACCTTAAATCTAAGTAGGGTTCCGTTCTAATTGAAACTGCATATTCCTTAAGAAGTTTTGGAGTCTCTGGGTTTGGGCTTTCTGCATCTCAATGAAAGGAAGAGCAGACAGCGAAGGCGGAAAAAACAGCGCACACAGTCCAGCCCCCTACCTACGCCCTCCCACTTCCGACGTGCCGAAAAACCCTGAAGACTGAGAGGCGTTCCGTCGCCAATCCAGCAGGTGATAGCTTCGTGGTTATGGCCTTTTCAGCAAGCCACAGTAAGAGTATTAGATGTGTTCCTCTCGTGCTGACTTCGATTGCTCTTGCAGCATCCAGGGCAACGACGGCCTCAGCGCACCTCCAAAAATCATCGCCATGCTCGACCTGAGAGTCTCAAACTTCCGCTGTTTACCCGCTTGTTCGAACTTCCTGACTTTGACATTCGCACTGGGCAGAAATCAATTGCGGCAACACTTCGCGCAGCCACATTAGCCACCTTAACCAAGCATCTGAAGGGAAATGTTCCTCTTGTACTGACTTCGACTGCTCACAGCACCTCTCTCACGACGGTCTTATTCTGAGGCCATCGCATGCTGCAAGGCTGAAGCATCCGAAAGTAAGTTTCTGTTAGCACCGCCAATAGCTTTGGTATAAAGAGGCCGTTACATCCTAGCAGTGCTGCTCTCTCGACGCACATGTGGCATGTACAGGTTTGCTGCTGGCGCAACTGTTGATGCACAAGCCCTTAGAAAGCAGAAGGGTTTTTTCGGAGATGCCCCATGCACCATGCACATGGAAAAACTCATATCTGTGCCTGTGCTCTGTCTGAACTCCATGTTTCAGGCGGACGTTTCACAAGTCTGCTGCCCTTAGTTCAAAATTTCAAGTTTTGCATCGAGACTGGTTTGCCTGATGCCACTCCTACAAGAAAGCCTACCCTCCCACCTCGAGCCGTCACAGGCGCTCACAAGTTGGAAGACTTTGGGCGATAATCCTAAACCTTTTGAAACTCTAGAACACAACCAGACATGCAGAGCGTTGCGAAGCCCTGTTTGGCACAGCACGTGTCCGTAACGACACGCCTTCCTTCGCCAGCCCCAGAAGCTGCGCTTGCAAACTCCAGGCCGCACTCTTCGAAAAAACAGTTTCTGCAAGCTTCCAAAGAAGCTTCCAGTCTCAACTCTTCGAAAAAACAGTTTCTAGAAGCTTCCAGCTCCCACTCTCAGAGAACTGGTTGCCTCTTCTCCACAAGAAGCCCTAGCAAGTCTGCCTCGCTCAGCTTCCGTGCCACCGCCCGCGCTTTCTTGAGCTTTTTTGTTTCGGCCTTTACCACCTTGCTCAGCTGCTTTGCCTGTAGCTGGAGAGGCACACAAGGCTGTACAAGAAAGGGCCTCAGCCTCCTAAGACACACAATGCTGTGAGCCTTCGCAGCTGCCCTGGCAGCTTTTAAGGCAGCAAGGCGTTCGTTCAGCGTCTCCTGCGTAGATACGAATGAGCAGCTGCTCCTGTGGATGCTTTTTGGCATGGCTACCTGCGGCAGTTCCACACGGTCGGGCTCTCGTGGAAGCTCAGGTCCCGCAACCTCGGCCTCGGCCGCGCTTTGTTTCAGCAGGGGTGCTGTGAAACAGTGTTGACCAGCCTCGTTGTTTGCCATGCCTTCAGCACGGTGTTTTAAGGCAGGGTTTGCTGGAGCCAAGCAGAGAACTCAGCAAGCGCCATATCAACTGCTTGATGGCAGGAGCCAAAATCAGAGTGATTGGCAGTAGCTGATACGCTAGGAGCACAAGTCGTTCCTGTACAGTACTATAGCCAAAGGTAAGGAAAGAAAGTTAAAGGTCTTGAGCTTGTAGGGCTCAGGGCTTAGAGGGTTCAGGGCGTATAGGTTTTAGGGCTTAGCGAGCTGAGAGGGTTTATAGGCTTTAGGGCTTAGGGCTTCTAGGATTTAAGGTCTATAATTTATGGAGTCATGGAGCTTAGTGGTTGAGGGGTTTAGAGCTGTAGCCAGAGGGTGCAAGTACCTAAATGGTAGGGCTTTAGGCCTCAAGATCCATTGTGCGGATTGTACTATAGGGATTTAGGGTTTAAGGGGACGAAAAACATCCCATACTCTGAATGGCTCTTTGGGGACCTTGAAACCCTAGTGTTTGGGCGCTTGGACCCTCAGGGTAGGGGTGTGGAGTTACTTGGAGGATCATGGGACTTAGTAAGTAGGGATATAAGTAGATTAATTGGGGTTATAAGTATTTCTAAATATAGTTACCCTAATTATAACCATCGGTACTAAGTCCCATGATCCTTTAACTAGGGTTTCACAAGGCTTCGGGCCGGAGCGAGGGTTTGGGAGATGTGGCGTCCAGGATTTGGGCGCTCAACTTAAGAACGTGAGCCGGAAACCCCTGAATCATGGCAGTTGCAAGGTCTTGAGGATGCTACTTAAGATTCAGGGCTTAAGGATTAGGGTGCTGAACTCGAGACCCTAGTCAGAGTTATACGTTTCAGCTGTTTCTTACGGTTTACAGTAACCAAAATCTAAGCGCACTTCAGAATGGGCCAATTAGGCTGGAGCTTAAGGGGGTGCCTAACTAAACCCTGAACTCGAAGGGTCCAAGTACCCAAATAGTGGGTTTCAAGGTCCAAAAACCGCTCAGAGTATGGATTCTGGAGCCCGTAAAACCCTATATACATTTTTGCGGACTTGGACCCTCTGGGACTCTTATAAATCGTTCAACCTGAAATCCTAAACCCTAAACCCAATAGTGACCATAATATGGGAGTATGGACGCAAAACCTCCTTGGACCCTCTGGATTCGCATATGCTGAAGATCCTGAAGAAGGGTGCCATTCAGTGTTTGGGGCCCTATGCTCAGGGTTGCTGCTGCGTTTGAGGTTTCGGGTGTAAAGCTTTGGGAACGAAAGCTACTTTCGTCAGGATGTTATTCAGTGTGCTGCTTCAAGGGTTCAGGGGTTCTACTCTTTAGATTCTCTCCGGGGGACTGGGATCCAAAACGTAGACCCCTCGAGGGGGCTCCCGTAAAGTATCCGTTTAGTAGTATAGGAACCCAAAATTAGGGAATCTACGTTTACTTTCGGGGTCCTCGCAGGGTCTGGGTCCCGAAGCAGGGGCTCTACGTTTTAGATTTCTCTGGGGGGTTGGGGTCCCACACCCTGACCCTAAACCCTACAAGCCCTATAAAACCTTAAACCCCATGTTTTTTGGATTCTCTCTGGGGTCTGGGGAAAAGAGCCAGCCAAGCCTTCGACGGCTTGAAAGCATCGCCGTAGATGCGCTGCAAGAAGCAGCCTCAGTCTGGGTTTAGGGTTACCCTAAGGCTCCTAATAGGCTTAGGGGCTTTGTGGGCGAGGGTTTGGGCTTTGGGGGCTAAGGTTTAGGATCTCACTACGAGGGTCCACGAGCATTAGGGCTTAGTAGCTAATTACCCTATTCTACTTATGAAGGCCCCGATATTACATCCATGTAGCATGCTTTTATTGGGTTTAGTGTTTGGCGTTTTGGGCTTTGGGGTTTTACCCATAGGCTCCATAGTAGTTCCTTTTTGGGATTACCTTCTAGAATTCTAAACATGAACCCCAACACGGAACTACTATGGGGCCTTGGGGTAGTAGGTTTAGTAAGTTAGTAGGTTTCGTAAGTTTAGTAACTAAGTTTAGTAGGTTAAGCAGGTTTAGTAGGTGTAGTCGGTTTAGTTTAGAGGAAACCCAGATCTCTGCAAGTCCCACAAAACAAGACCCTATCTTCAGTTGTACAAATCCAGGATGCCTTCTTGGGGCTCCAATTTCTTGTAGAGCCGTTTAGGGGCCTGGCAAGACGGGTCCTCAGCCCACCTAGACAACAACAACAGACAAGGTATCCCAAGGTCCTCCTGTTGCATGGCGTAAGATAGACACACACACACACACGCATAAAACCTTTGAACAACAGTGAAACAACCTTTCCAAATCTGTTTATGAAGCTCTAGTGTAGAAGCCTGAAAAATAAGACAAGGTTTTTTGGGCAAGCAAAAATATAGTAACTACTTTTTGTTAAGTAGGGCTATAGGTACCTTAAGTGGGGTTATAAGTAATTTGTTATGAGTATAGTTACCTTACATAAAACCCTAGTTGCTAAGTTCCATGACCCTTTAAGTATGGTGGTCCAAGCCGGGATTCTGTAGAAGTGCTCCGCTCGCTGGCCCACGCGAAGCTGCTGCTCCTTCAGGGCCGCGACGTCCGCCTGGGCCAGAGGACGGGCAGGATCTAGAAAGTAGATCCCCTAATTTGGGGCCCTGTACTACCAAGGGCACTTTATAGGAACCCCCATTAAGGGATCTACTTTTTGGATCCTCCCGGGGGTCTGGGACTGTGTCGATTTGATGCTGTTTCCCAGAGGGTCCATAGCACTACCATTATGGAATGAGGTCACCAAAACCATAGTAGGGATGGCCTTATGGGACCTAATTCGATAATGGTAGTATATGTGGACCGGGATGGCTTCGGACTTAGGTGTATTGTTCATTTGTTGTAGCGGCGGGCTTAAATGCCTGCAGCTGTTTGGTCTGGAACGTAAGGATTGGGATTCAGGGTCTCTGATGTTCATAGTTAAGTGTGTGTAAGGCTAAAAGATCCTCCACACCACGCCTCCCCCCCTTCCAACCCTCATACCGCCCTTAGCCTACCCATATCCACCCCATATCAACCCGAATGCCCAAGTTGCGTCAACCCTAAATAGAATAGGAGGGTCCTTAGTGTAAAGACGCCGCTAAAAAAGAAACTATACAGAATGAAAATTAAAAAAAATCGCAAGAAACATCTCAATGCTCCTACTTGACACAGCTCTAAGTCTAGTTTAAACGAGCTGTAAAACGCTCAAAGGATCCCGATATACCCTAAGCCCCTATAGTAGCCCCTATCGACCCCTTTAAAGGAAACCCTAAACCGTAAACCCCAATACTTTCAACTGAGGTCATCTCTGAGTTTCGAGCCACGGGCGGCCCAGTGCGCGAGCTCCTTGCAGCTGCGAACCTTGGGTTGAGACAAGGTTAACCTTGTTGGTTATATTATAGAGATTATATAGGGACTATACTACCCAGAAAGCCCAATACCCCTTAAGTTAGGAATATAGCTTAAATCATAATATGAAGCCCTACATAATTTAAGCCATATTCCTTAATTAAGGGGTATTGGGCTCTCTGGGTACCCAAAGGAGGTTGAAGGTTGCTAACTCTACTACTAGGTTAGAGTCTGTCGAAGCTCTCAAGATCCATGCGTTAGGACTCTGAATACAAAAATTTGAGTTTCCGAAAATAGGGGACCCTAATATTATATATATATATATATATATATGTATATATATATATAGTACCCTAAATAGCAGGATCCTTATTCTAAGGGCTCCAAATAAGGTACGCCTAGTTGTTGGAAGGTGTCTGCTCTTAGGGGCTATTTGTAGGATTTAGGTTTCTGGATTCAGGGTTTAGGGGCTTTAGTAGGGTGTTGTGAGGACATGTGGGTTGATAGGTTGAGACAAGGTGCTTGCTCTTGGTTTCCTTAGGATTTAGGCTTTCGGGTTCAGGGTTTAGGGTCGGTGTTCTGGGGTGTTGTGGTGGCATGTAGGGTTTGACCGGTTGAGACAAGGCCTAAATTTCGGGCTTCCATCGGGTTTCGGACCGGCTTTCCAGGGGCGTTGAAGAATTTTTTTGCGGGTTTAGTCTAGTAAAGTGTTTAAGGGCTTGGTTTTGGGAGTGGGGGTGTAGCATTCAGGTTTGCCGGGTTTAGCGCTATATAAACCCTTGGATATGTGATGTAGGCTCGATGCAGGAATCGGTGGTACCGGTGTCGTATGGGTTTTTAGGTTTACTTCAATGACTTCGTGCGCCGTAGCGCATAGTGTTTACTTGCCTCTCAACAAATCCTTCCACGGGATTACGGGGTTCTCAATCTCTGGATGATGGGCCCTTTGTGGATCTGCGACAAGTATATAGATAAAACTTTCAAGAAAGAAACTTGAACCCTAAGCCCCAACACCCTAATCCCCTAAACCCCCGCCCCCCCAAACGAACCCCGAAAAGGACCTGGTAATCGTAGGGGTTGGGCGAACAATGCTGGGCTGCCCAAGCAGCTGGCCTGTGCGACCACCCCAAATCCGAAACTCTAAACTCTCAAACCGCCTTAAGCTCCTAACTTTAAGCCCAAAGCCTCCCTCCACGCCCTCCCCGCCCGCCGGTTTGGAGGTGATGGTTGCGGGTTTAGGGCTGAGGCTCTACGTGCTGAGGCGAGGACCCCTCGCCGGAGAGCAGCTGCCCCACTGCAGCATCAAAGAGCTCCCGGTCCCTGCGCCTTCCACTGTTAATGAGGAGCCTTCTAGCTTAGGGTTTAGGGTTTCAGGGTTTAAGGTTTAAGGTCTAGGTTTAGGTTTTAGGGTTTGCCGCGGAAGAGCGCGTAGGCGATAGTATCTTGTGACAAGATTGTTGTGGAGTGCGTCGTATTGCGGCTATGAACTGCGAAAGCCTGCTCTCTACACAGGCTTTTCCTTCTTTCTTCCCCACCCCACGCTGTAAAAGGCGGCCAAGCCAGCCCAAACCTATTCCTTTTAGGGTTTAGGGTGTAGGGTTTAGGGTTTAGGGGGTTTTTAACTAAACTCATGCCATCGCGCTTTTCTTCCTTTCCACCCAATGGCTGTGGAGAGGCGGGCGAGCATATCGTGTCGCCCTGCCCCATCGAGGTCGAGGGGCTTAAGCGCCGCCCACCCAGGGAGGTGGGCGGCCTATGCCTTGAGTTTAGGGTTTAGGGCTTAATGATTTCAATAGGGTTCCTTTCAAAGGGTTGCTGTTAAAGGGGTCCATAAGGACTACTATAAGGGGTATTATGGGGTTTAGTGCAGGGGCCTCAATAAGTGTTTCGGGGCCCATTATACCGTAATTTTACTGAGGAACCCCCAAAATAGGGTAGGTATTTATTTGGGCCCCTAGTAGTGTTGTCATGTGGGGATCACAGCATGTGAGCGACAACGCATGCAGCTTTAGAGAGGTGGGTTCCCGGTATGCTTGAAAGATCAGGGGACACAGTAGACATGCATGATGGAAAAGCCACGTTTCTTTAAGAGCCTGTATTTGAAAATCAGTGTTTCCATCCTTGTCAAAGGAGGGGAGGTTTATCTTCCAATGTTCCGCATTCTAGATACTAAACCCCAAGCCGTAAACCCCAACTCTAAATCCTTAATCCGGCAAGCCGAAACCCTAAACCTTAAGCCCTAAACGCAAGGTCGTTCAGGGCTCACGCAGGGTTTAAGCCCGTAGACCCTGAACCCCCTGAGCCGCGGAACTTATGAAAGCCTTATGTTCTGAATAGCCCGCCAAAGCCTCAACGACCCTATCAGTCCAACAATATCCGCAAGCCTTCTAAACCCTAAACCCGAACTGCAGGAAACCTACCTATATCCTTAAACCCTGAACCCTACATTTAGGCCTCTATACTAAACCCTAAACCCTAAACCCTAAACCCTAAACCCTAAACCCTAAACCCTAAACCCTCTCCGCCAAGCTGAAGGCCTGTTCGCCGCGAGCGAGGAAACTCCCGGCAGCCCACGAGGCTCCTTCTGCGAGGCATAAAGCTGAACTTGTGGGTTCTTTTTTAAAGTAGGTCTATAGGGATTCCTAATAAGGGCTCCTTAAAAGGGATCTATAGGGATTCCTAATAAGGGTTCCTTTAAAGGGATCTATCAGGGTTCTAGAGGGGGGGTTTAGGCATACTTAAAGGGTCATGGGACTTAGTAACTACGGTTATAAGTACCCTGATTGGTGTTATAAGAAGTATAGTTGCCCCAACGAAAACCCTAGGAACTAAGCCCAGGAACCTTTAAGTAGAGCTGAACTTTTGGGTTCTTTTTTAATCTATGTCCAACCCCTAAACCCCAAAAGTTCAGGGGTTGGACATAGAGACATAGAGTCACTTAAAGGATTCCTTGAGGGGCTCTTTAAAGTGCTCTGTAGGGGATCTGTAGGGGTCTCGATTTTAGGTTCTACTTGGAAGATGATGGGACTTAGTCTAGGTTAATTGGGGCTATAGGTGATTATGAGTATAGTTACCCTAATTATAGCCGATGGCACTTTAAGTCGGGGTTTATGGTTGAGGGCTTGGCGTGCAGGGGCGAGGGCTTAGAGTTGAGGGCTAAACCCCGAGGCAAACCTCCAGATCCAAGCCAAACACCCAAGCCACCGCCCTACGACATAACTCTTCGCAGTTTTTGGTTCTAAACTCTTGCTTTGGAGTTTCAGCAAGCATCATTATTAAAGCGGTTTTCTTTGTAGTAGTATTATCAGTGATATATAATATTGTTAAGTATTCTTATTACGACGAATTTTGTTCTACTACTACTGTTGTCGTTATAACTATATTACTACCGTCATTATTCTTCTTATTATTGTTGTTATTCACAGGCTCGTTGCTGTTCTTATTCTTACCCCTCATCTTCAGAGGGACACCAACAAACAGAGAAAGAGAGAGAGTTATTCCCGACGGTTTTACATATGGCTGCTGTCACCGTAACGTCTCGGACCTCTGCAAGCCGCCACAAATCCATCACTCAGGATTGCAGCCATCGCTTCTTGCGAAAATTACTGGGATCTGCTGCGCATCTCGCAACTGATCCTGCACTGCTGTCGCCACCGTAGTAGTCGCCACCCCAGGTGACCACGGATCCATCGCCCAGGATTGCAGCAAAGGCACCAATAGAAGCTTGGATCTGCCGCACATCTCGCAACTGCTCCTGTACGGCACTGCTGTCGCCACCATGTTCGGCATCACCCCAGGTGACCACAGATCCATCAATCAGGAGTGCAGCAAATGCCTCATCAGAGGCTTGAACCAGCTGCACATCCCGCAGCTGATCCTGTACCGCACTGCTGTCGCCGCCTTGATTGATCCTACCCCAGGTCACCACAGATCCATCAAGAAGGATTGCAGCAAAGGCACCAACAGAAGCCTGGATGTGCTGCACATCTCGCAACTGCTCCTGTACAGCACTGCTGTCGCCACCACAGGAGGCATCACCCCAGGTGACCACGGATCCGTCACCCAGGATTGCAGCGAAGGCACACATAGAGGCTTGGATCTGCTTCACTTGTAGCAGCTGATCCTGTACCGCACTGCTGTCGCCGCCTTGGTCAGCCATACCCCAGGTGACCACAGATCCATCGCCCTTGATTGCAGCAAATGCTCGATGAGAGGCTTGGACCAGCTGCACATCTTGCAGCTGATCCTGCACTTCACGGCTGTCCCCACCATATTCATCATAGACGGGGTGACCCCAGGTGACCACGGATCCATCTATCCGGATTGCTGCAAATGCACCACCAGAGGCCTGGATCCGCTGCACATCTCGCAACTGACCCTGCACCACGCTGCTGTCGCCACCGTAGTAGCAGCTGCCCCAGGTGACCACGGATCCATCGCCCAGGATTGCAGCAAAGGCACCAATAGAAGCTTGGATTTGCCGCACATCTTGCAACTGCTCCTGTACGGCAAGGCTGTCGCCACCAAGGGAGACATCACCCCAGCTGACCACAGATCCATCGATCAGGATTGCAGCAAATGCTCGGGAAGAGGCTTGGATCGACTGCACACTGTTGAGCAGCGCCTGGACCGCACTGCTGCAGCCACCAAACTCGTCATTGGCATTACCCCAGGTGACTACAGATCCATCAACCAGGATTGCAGCAAATGCACCGGCAGAGGCTTGGATGTGCTGCACAGTCTTCAACTCCTTCTGGACGGCTGTGCTATCGCCACCACAGTCGGCATCACCCCAGGTGACTACATGTCCGTCTCCAAGAATTGCGACGAAGGCACCGAACCACCCTGCTCTATTTGTGGCTACAAGTTGGACTTGCTTAACATGCAAGGTGAGCTCGTCTCCACTCCCCAACTTCGCTTCTCTGATAGTTTTTGTTCCGTCAAGTTCCTCTCCAGACGAGTTCAGGAGCCTCCCTCTGCCCGCGGCCAGAGCACTCTGGGCACGCTGCTTCAATGATTCAACCGATGCATCCGCCTCCACTTCCAAAGAGGCAGTCTTACCACTCAGCAGATGCACATCCACAGAAATCGACATGATGCCTCGTAGGAGGCTGCAAGCAATGGCAAGACCAAAGACTGCAGCCTAATAGACCATGTGTTTTCATCCGTTGCAACCTGAAGCGCTGGGTACTTAAGCCTGCTTGGATGATCATGGGACTTCGTAAATCAGGTTACAAGTGCCTTAACCAGTGTTATAAGTAATTATAGATATAGACACCTCACTTATAACCCAGCTACTAAGTCCCATGACTCTTTAAATAGCCTTAAACCCCCTTATAGAAACCCTACAGATCCCTTTAAAGGAACCCTTATAGAACCCTTAGTTACTAAGTCCCATGACCCTCTAAGTACAGAACAGAGTCTTGGCCTTACGCCTTGAGCCTTGAACCCTCACCCTCGGCCATTTCGATGCCTTACTCTACTCTAAATACCCGAAACCCTGAAATTTTACATGAATACACTAGACCGAAACCCTACACCCCGAAGCACCCCAAACCCTAAACCCTAAACGTCTAAGTACCCTAAATACCCTAAACCCCTAAATACCCCGAAACTTATATCTAAATGCCGTAAATCCTGAACCCCTAAGTAACCTAAATGCCCTAAACCCCTAAACACCGTAAACTCTCAACTCCCTAAACCCAAAAGCCTTCCAGACTGGAAGCCCGGGGATGCTTGCGAGCTGGGCTTGTGACGAAGGGTTTAGGGCTTAAGGTTTGAGGTTTAGGGCTTAGGGTTTAAGGGCTCTGCCTCCAACTTGATTTCAGGTCCTCTGGGCCGACTGCTTCAAGAAAAAGACCCCAGTTAGCGTAGGGGCCTTAGCAATTAGAGGGGTTTAGGGTTTAGGGTGTCTTAAAGGGTTCCTCTAAAGGGATCTATAGGGGTACTATCATATACTATCATTCTAATAAGGAACCCCCGGCCGAAATGTTATAGGCAATTTTAAAGGCCCCTATATAACCCCAAACCTTGCACCCTCAGCCCTGCACCCTAAACTCGCGCGTAAGCCCCTACTTGGAGGATCATGGGACTTACTGTTGATGATAGAAATCCTGCACTACCTTAAGGACCCTAAACTATGAGAATTATGGTATATTCCTTATTATGGGTAATGCAGGATTTATATCATCAACCGTAGTAAGTAAGGTTATAAGTACCCTAATTGGGGTTATAAGTATAGTTAGCTTAATTATAACCCTAGTTACTAACTCCCCTGACCCTTTAAGTAAGCCTTTCAAAACGTTCCTTCAAGCTCTTACGGGGATTCCTGGGTCTCCGTGGCAGCCTCGATTTGAACTCTGCAAGGCCGCCCCCAAAACCCTGCGGGATCAAAAAGGGTTTAGGGTTTAGGGGTTTAGGGATTTAGGGGTTTAGGGGTTCAGGGTTCAGGGTTTAGGGGTTTAGGGTTCAGAGGTTTAGGGTTTAGAGGTTTAGGGTTTAGGGGTTTAGGGTTTAGGGGTTCAGGGGTTTAGGCGTTCAGGGGTTTAGGGTTTAGGGTTTAGGTACAAAGTAACTACTTACTAAGCCCCAAGCCCCCACAAAGTCCCTGAAGCCTACAGTAGAAGCCAGAAACTTGGAACATTCTTTTGCTGTTGCCCTTAAGGGAAAGTTTAGGGAGCTAAGAAGGAGTCTGGGGCCCGACCCTCAGCCCTAAACCCTAACTCAGAGGGTCCGCGTATTCAAATTTTCGGTCCCAAACTTCATACTCTGAATGGTTTTTGGACTTTGAAACCCTGCTATTTGGGTACTTGGACCGTTACTTAGGGTAACTCCTGAAACCCTAAAGCCTAAACCCCAAACTTTAGCACACTGGCGGGCTGAAGTCCTGGTCTGTGTAGGATTCCACGCCTCCAAAACTACCTCGGGCGCTCCACTGATGGCAGAGGGTGGGATTCAAATAGTACTGAATATGACCTGAAACCTTTTGGTGTCAAGAGAGATGCTTTGAGAATGAGGGTGGCGTTAGGGGGTCCATTATAGCATAGTGTATACTTAGTACACTTATTATGTAAGAACTATGTCTATAAGAGGGTACCAAAATAGTGTACCTGCTCAGGCCTCCATGGTCCATACCAGAGACTCCAATATCCCTTAAATAAGGAATATACCTTAAATTATAGTAGGATCCCTGATATGATTTAAAGTATATTCCTTAATTAAGGGATATTGGAGTGTCTGGGCCATACCAGGCTCTTTCTTGGCGTCTTGGCGTCATGGAAACCTATGCCCTGACCTCGAAACCCTAAGAAACCCGAAACGCGAAGAAAGCAGACAGCCTAAACCCTTGTTGTTTTTGATTTAGGCTCCTACAGATGACCTTAAACCCTAAACCTTGAACCCTAAACCCTAAACCTTAAGCCCGAAACGTTAATTAAACCTCAGGCCCTAAACGCTAAACCCTAAACCTTAAACCCTCAACCGCATCCTACCGTCCAAGGCACCCATAAGGCCAGGCAGTCGGACATCCTCCCCTTTGCCGCAGGGGAGGAGCACCTGATAGCAGGAGTTACAACGGATGTTACATGGGTCCTTCTCCTGTTGAGGTTCCTTCATAGGACTCCTTTAAGGGTTCTTTTCATGTCTTTGTAGGGTTTAGGGTTTAAGGTTCAGGGTGTATGGATCTGGGTTATTTTCAAAGCGTTTGTCGATTTTGCTTGCTGAGTTTATTAGGATTCCGCGGGGTCTTAGGGCCTTGGGGTTGACCCCAGAGAGCTATCCCTTCCGGCTTCGGTTTGAGTTTCAGCGTTTCTTGTTCCACGCTAATTTTCGTGTATGTTCCCTGGACTGATACTTTGAGCTGAAGGCAGGGATGAAGGAGGTTTGGTTCTGCTGAGCTTATTCTGGGACTCAAGGGTCAGCCTTACTTGGGGGTCCTGAGAAAAAGGATCCCAGCACTCGCGGTTCTATTTAGGGGAGGCCTCAGTCCGCCACAAGACATTAGCTGGATCTTGCCACGACCCTGTCACAGTTTATATTGGGGGTCAGTATCGCGGCTAAACATAGCTATATTATAGATAACATCCATCTGTTACAGGTTACAGAATCTATACTGAACTTAGAACCCTAGCAAAAATTGCAATTTTCGCTGTTTCTTAGGGATTATAATAACCAAAAATTAAAAATTATTTCTAAGTACCCCGCAGGAATGGGGTCAGCACCCGAGGTATTCGCATCTTGGGCCTGCTCGCCAACATTCCTACAGGCATTCTGCAGGTCAAGCTTTGGCCGGCGAGTCGAACGCTTGATGATATAAATCCTGCATTACCCATAATAAGGAATATACCATAATTCCCATAGTTTTGGGTCCTTAAGGTACTGCAGGAGTTATATCATCAACAGAACAAGTGCGAAAAACAAAATCATCACGGTTCGGGGCTCCCGAAGACCCCAAGCTGGCAGAGCCCTTTGTCCTGAAAGGGTTCAGGTCCTTGGGCACTCGTGGACTTAGGGTTTAGGGTCTAGGGTTTAGTTTAGGGTTTAGTTTAGGGTTTAGGGTTTAGTTTAGGGCCTAGGGTTTCTGTATTCGGAACGGCGCCGCCAAGACGGGCGTGCCTGGAAGTTCTTGTGCAGACTGCGCATCTCTCGCTGGACAGGTATGCGTGCGGCCATCCCTCCACCCAGTAAAGGGAACTCCAGAAAGTTCGAATATGGATTAATGGTAGGATCCCCTATAATTTACCTTAAAGGGGTTACGATAATGATATTCAAACTTTCTGGCTTCTACTGTATAGGATTGATCATTTGATCATGATCGGTGCCACATTCTTGAGCTGACTTTGCGCGTCTCCTCTTCAGAACCTGATTATCGCCCTGCAGGACGATTGCTTGGCCGGTGGAACCTCCGGCGCGATCCCCGGTGCACTTGCCAGGAAACGGCTGCCCTCATGAAAAAGGCAGCCCACACCCCAAACGCGCAACCCCTAAGTAACACCTCTTACAGTCTTGATACACTACTCGGCTCCACTCGCCAACCTTACTGTCTAATGTAGAGCCAACCTTACTATCTAATGTAGAGCGATACAATGGAAATCCTATAGCAGCCACAATGGAAACCCTCAATGCAGCAAGTGAAACCCTACACAAACCACCTACAACCCTATGAAGCCCTATAGCAAATCCTATAGAATAAAAATCCTGAGAAATCCTGTAAGACCGCAAGAATTCCCAAGTTTGAACCCGAAGCTCTAAAACCCCTAAACTCTAAACCTTAAACACCAAACACGACACCTTAAACCCTCAACATTGGACCCTTCACACTAGACCTTGAACGTCAAACCCTAAACCTTAAACCCCACCTAGACCCCCAATAACCTACCTTTTCAAGGACTTTATATGAGGAAATCATAATAAGGAACCCTAAAAAGGAAGGTTTGTAGGCTCGGGTAAACCCTAAACCCTGAGAAACCCTAAGAAACCCTGAACCCTAAACCCTGCAAGCCTCAAACCCTCCTCCCTAAACCGTAAACCCCAAACCCTTGCAGGAGCCCTGCAGCTTTTCGGCCTCAGTGCCTCGAAGGAACCTCGGCATTTGCAAGTCTCTCGGAAAGTTACTTGGAGTTTGGGGGCTAGGGTTTAGGGTTTCGGGTTTTCGGGTTTAGGGTTTGAGGCTCAAAGGGTTTAGGGTTCAGGGTTTCTTAGGGTTCAAGGTTTTGTAGGGCTTGTAGCGTTTAGGCTTAGAGTGTAGGGCCCTAGACCACCGGGAGGATCTAGAAAGTAGATCCAAATTATTACCTAAGTTGGGACCCTGTACTACAAAAGGGTGCTTCATAGGAACCCCAGAATAGAACTCCCAAAACCCTACACACCCTATCGTCCCCTAAAAATCCTAGACCCTTATGTAGATCCCTCTCGTGAACCCTGATAGGAACCCTCCTGAAGGGATCTACTGTTGGATCAGTGAGTAGCATGATGAGGGAGACCCCTTTAAGGGTACCCCTTCCGAACCCTACTTCTGGCTCTCTTTAAAGGGATCTTATTAAGAGGGTCTATATCCCCGAGGGTCCCCCTAATCCTGACTCCCAGTCAGCATGGAGGTCTGGGTAAGTTAGGCAAGCCAGGGCCGTAGGGGCTTCAGGGTTTGGGGTTCAGGGTCTGAGGTGCGAAGGTTTGGGTGTTAAGGTTTGGGTTTCGGGTTTAGGGTGCGAACCCCACTAAAACCCTAAACCCTGAAATCCTAAACGCTAAGCCCTCTTGCCCTAATCCTCAAACTGTCCCACATCCCAAAACCCTAACCTCGAAAATCCAGACCCAGAGACCTAAGCCCGCGCTCCTAAAGTCCATAGCCCTAGATCCTTACCATCGCAAAGGCCAAATCCTTTCTAGGGCCTAGGGTCTAGGGCTTCGGGCTGAGGGGCTCGGGCTTGGGATGTAAAGGAGGGACCCTTAATGGGGACCCCTGGGACCCTATAATGGGCTATATAATGGGTATATAATGGCTATATTAAGGGTATATGCCTAGGGGTCCCCATTCAGGTTCGGTTTGGAGTCCTACGCCTAAGTTCGTTTAATACTTTGCCCACCACGCGGCCGGGCGCCGGAAAGGCCCACGTTCGCCTGGCCAGCCTCCCAAAAGACCTTCGGGCAGGCGCTAAGCGGCTCGGGTTATTATGAGGGCTGTACAAGTTAGAAGCGGCTTGGGTTAAATATGAGGGCTGTGCAAGTTAGAATAGGGTTCCTTATAGTCCCTAAACCCTAAACCCTAAACCCTAAAACCCTAAAACCCCAAACCCTATACCCGTAAACCTTAAACCCTACACCCTAGGGCTCCACACGGAATTCTAGAAGGGCTCTACGACGGAGACTGGGAGGCCAGGGTTACCTACCCTGCAAATTAATTATGGTAGGTCTTGCAAGATTTAGGGTTCAGGATTCAGGGAGCTGTTCTTGTAGCTCAGGGAAACTCCAGCAGCTAGCTAAGAGAAAAGATGTGCTAAAACACAACTATATAATGTTGTTTTAGCGCCTCGAACCTTGGGGGTCAAGGGTTTAAGGGTTACGGGTTGGGGATTCCTACCCCAACAATCTCTGGCTGGTGCATGCAGAACCCTTGTGTCTTGCGGCGCGGTTATCAACATCACGTGGGGGAGCTCATTCTTTGGCAAGAACGGTGCTCAACCCTAAACCCTGAACCCTAAACCCTGTCCCTAACTTAGGGACAGGGTTTAGGGTAAACTAAACCCTAAACCCGACCCAACGGGAAGTACCACTCCTGCTGCAGGCCGCCGTGTCCGAGACTCCTTCAACCCTGCTCACAGCCTTCGAAGCCGATATCTAATCCAGATCCTAAACCCTTAACCCCTAAACCTTTCCATGAGACACCCAGCCTGCGAGGCATAGGAGCGGATGCTTTCCTGGTAATGGCACCGCGGAGGAGCTGCAGAATTGTGCTTGCTTGTTTGGAAAAAGCTTCTTGTCGAATTTTTGTTCAGTTTTACTACGGCTCATGACCTTAAGGACCCTAAACTGTGGGAATTGTGGTATATTCCCTATTATGGGTCATGCAGGATTTATATCATCAACCGTAGGGCTTTGAGGGCTCACGGATTCCAGGGTTTGGGTTTGCAGGCTCCGGTGTAGGGTACAGGATTTATTTAGGGAACACACGCACACTGCCTTCCACATCTGGCTAAAGCTTGGCTAAAGGCTATGCGAGCTTATCATGTAGGAGTCGCATTCAGTTTTAGGGCTTAGAACACTGTTGAAGGAACAGTCTCCCAAAAGCTCGCTGTCTTGACGCCTACAAGCTACCCGTACCAGCCCCAATAGCCCCATCGCTGAAAATGAAGCACGATCACTGATGACCCCCAATCAAGTCTCTACTTCTAGCAGCCCATGATTCTTCAAGCAGACCCTGGTTCGTGTCTGTAGAAAACTTGCGGGAAACCTGTTCATTACGAAACGGCAGGCCCAGAATTAGAAAGATGAGCATCTCATCACCCTAAGGGTCCAAGTACTCAAATAGCAGGGTTTTGGAATCAAAAAACCATTCAGAGTATGGATTTTGGGACTTGAAACCCTACTAGTTGGGGACTTGGACCCTCTGGGTCAATGTCCATGTCAGCCGAGACGCACAGGCTAGCCGCGCCTGGTCCTGACTGGAGCTGCACTCTGAGGTTGGGCTGAGGCCTTAGCAACCTTAACTCAAAGGGGGACCCTTGATGGGGACTCCTAGCCTATAATAGGCTATATAATGGGTATATACCAGCTATATTAAGGGTATATACCTAGGGGTCCTTATTAAGGGTCCCCCCTTTTACCCTTGGATTAACTGGAGACCGCCTGACCCCTTAAGATAAACCACTAAAGCGCGAGAACCCCAAACCCTCAAACGGTAAACCCGATACGTGAAAACCTAAAGCCCTGCAACCCTTATAGAGCCTAAATACCCTAAACCCCAGAACCCTGAAGCCCTAAATCCCAAACTATCCCAACTCGCACAAACCCAAACCCGAAACCTCACAGAGAGGGCAGGGGACTATTATGAGGTGAAAGGTAAGCCCTTATAAGTACCCTAAGCGGGATCCTAACCCCTAAACCCTAAACCCCCAGCCCCATTTGCAATCCAACTTCTGTCTGGGGGGCTTGGCGTCTCGGTGTATTGTAGCTTAGCCAAGTTTAGGGCTCGGTCCCAAGTTTTTGTCATTAGGGTTTAGGGTTTAGGGTTTTAGAGTTTAGGGTTTTAGGGCTTTAGGGCTTTAGGGTTTTAGGGCTTAGGGGTTAGGGCTTAGGGGTTTAGGATTCAGGGTTTAGGTACTCGTCGCTCTTGGTTCCCGTGTTTCGGGTTCGGGGTCTCGGGTTCAGGGTGGCCTACTTAATTAGGGTTTAGGGTCTAGGGTTTAGGGTTCAGGATTCTGCACTCTTATAGCCCTACTTACACGAATACCGAACCTTGGAGCACAGATTCTTGCAATGAGTTGTTCCCCTACAACTCCCAACGTTAAATAATGCCAGCCCTGCTCTCAAATCATGCCAACCCTGCTAGTAAAAACCCATAGTAAGCTAAGAGGCGAAAAGATCTCTCGGTAGCAGCCGTAGACTCTTAAGACAAGTGAGCAATCAACCCCCTTTTCTTGACCCCTGCAGATGCTAAACTCTGTTTCTGCCAAAAAACTGAAGCGGGTTGTCACTGAATCCCCCTCAATACCCTCAAGACACTGCAAAGCCATGATGAACACCCTATACACACGACACCCTATACACCCACCCTCAAGATTCATGCAAAACCGTATGCCGCAAAAGATCTCATCAACCTAGACCCTTATAAAACCCTTCTAATTTAGCGCCGTGACCACCCTTACAAGGCTCTTGTGAAACCCCTTTCCTGGAAAACCCTAAGCCTAAACCCCCCTAAACCCATTCCGTTTGAAGGCTTCCTTTAAGGGCTCCCATTAAGGGTTCCCTTTAAGGGTTCCTTTATAAGGGTTCCCTGTAGGGCTTCCTTTAAAGGGTTCCTTTAAGGCTTCCCTTAAGATCAGTCCTCGGCTTCCTCTTTGGATATGCCGGCCCAGTACCTCGTCGACCCCAGAATGGCATGGAAGATTGGGGGCCCGCTTTTGAGGTGGGTATTTGGGAGATTCCGAGAATTGGGGATATGTCAGGGTTCCTTTAAAGGGTTACTATACTAAGGGTCCCTTTACGCACAGGGCTCTAGAAGGGTTTAGAGTTTCCGAAACTTAAGGATACCTTAATGTGGGGTCCTTGTGCTAAGGATCCTACCATCTAGGGCTCTATAGTAGGGTCCCCTATTTTCGGAAACTCCAACATCTTGCTCTTGAATGCTCTTTTTCGCCTGTCTTGACATGGTTTTCATCTTGTGGGGCTTACTTGGAGGGTCGGGGGACTTAGTAAGTAGGTAGTAAGTAGACTTATAGGTACCCTAAAAGGGACCCCAATTGGGGTTATGGTACTTATGAGTCCCTAAAATAACCAGTTACTAAGTCCCCCGACCCTCCAAGTAAGGATGTGTTTGGCATTAAACCGTTTTGGGTTTCAAGGGCTTACGGAGTCTGTTAGTTACAAAATCTATAGTCTATGGCGCTTCATGTTGCATGTGAGGTTGGGTTTTCATGACGCCCTAAACCCTACACCCTAAAACCCTAAACCCTAAACCCTAAACCCTACACCCTGGCTTCGAGAGTCTCCAGGATCTCAACCAGACGACAGTAACACTGCAGGACCCTCAGCCCTAGGGTTGATGATATATGCCATAGTTCCCATAGTTTAGGGCCCTTAATTAAGGTAATGCGGGATTTATATCATCAACCGTACCACCATCGACTTACAGTTGCGGTCTGGGATGTAGGGCTTTAGGAGCACAGTAGAAGCCCCGGAAAGTTGGAACATCAAGATCCCCGTGCCCTTAAGGTAAAGTGTAGGGACTCCCAGCAAGAATCATTCATAATAAGAACCTACAAAAAAGTAGGGCTTGGTGGGCTAAGGTCGGTTCAAACCTTCGGCCGAAACTGAAATCACCCTCCGCCCCGGGCGCTGCAGGAGAACGGCTAGCGCCGATGCCGCCAGGGCTGCACGGGCGGCCGCCTGGCGCAGAGCCATACGCCATACACCAAAAAAAACGTAATATAGGGGCCTGCATATTTAGACTAGGGTTTTGGGGCCCGTTATTCTACAACTGTAACAAGGAACCCCCAAAATAGTACAGGCAATTATGTAGCACTAAACCCCGAATCTCTCCTGAAGGAGGCCCAAGCTGCTCCCCACCCGGATTCAGCTCAACAAAGCCTTCCTGGCACCCTCATCTACAAGGCGGCGCTTGTCTGAGCTCCATCCCTTCAAACATACTTGGAGGGTCGAGAGACTTAGTAAGTAGGTAGTAAATAGACTTATAAGTACCCTCAAGACAAGCCCCAGGGTGGGGGTTATGATACTTAGAAGTCTCTACAATAGCTACTTACTAAGTCCGCCGACTCTCCAAGTATCCCCATCCTTCCCTGTGGCGCTCGCCCACCTCGGAGTGCCCATGTCTCCCGCCCCCCACCCATTGATGTCGATCACCACACATCACCACTGGTGTCCCCCCCAGAGAGCCCAATACCCCCTTAAATTCAGAATATAAAGCCCTATCCCTAAACACTAAACCCCTAAACCCCCCCAAAGCCCTATTTGTTTAAGCCATATTCCTTAGTTGAGGGGTATTGGGCTCTCTGGGCCTCTCCCTAGTTATAACTACGGCTACATCCCTAGGTACTAAATTACTAAATGCAATGAACCTTTATATAAACTTAAACCCCGAAAACCCCGCCTCATCTACGAAGTGAGTCGCCAAGGCCAACACGCCTTCGGCTGAGAAGGATTGAGGGGGTTTGGGGAGCTTAATGTTTAGACTGTACTAGTAGCGGTTTAGCGTTAAGGATGTTGGGGCACTTGGGGTTTGGGGCTTAGGGTTCCGGGGTTCAACGCAGAAGAGGTTTCGGGTCCTGACTTTTTCCTAACCAAAGCCCGCTCAAGCTTACTAAACCCTAAACCGTAAACCCTAAGCCTAGACGCCCTGAAACCGAAGAATCATGGGATCCTCATAGAAAGACCCCCAAACGGCGGGCCCTGGTATCAAAATGGCTTTTTATAACGCGCAGAGACACCCTAAAGACACCCTTACAAAAAAACACATGAGCAACAGTATACAACACTATCGAAACCTAATATGAAGAGACCAAAATCAGACCCTGGATCTCCAGAAACCCAGTGGTGAAGAACTGAGCGTGAAACTCTGGCAGCCGAGCGCGTTGGTTTCAGGACCGTGAGAATTGAGGGTTACAGGGCTGTATGTTTCGAAAGTTTCTATGAGGTTTCATAAAGTCATGAAGGTCGCGGGTTGAAGGGCTTAGAGGGTTCAGGGTCTTCGCGAGCTGCGAGCTCAGGGTGCAAATGAAAAGGGTTTCCCTGTTCGAGGGCTTTGAGTGCCTAGACCGAAGAGTAACCTAGGAATAACAACGGTGCCAATTTGGGTTTAGAGGGGGTCACAACGGAACCTGAAACTAAAACAGGGAATAAGGGCCTACTCTGGGTCCTAGGTACAAGGTCTTCCTCACCCAAAAAACTTCATCCAGCAACCTAAAATCCGCAGCACAATACCTATCACACATCCCTGCGAAAGCCCCACCCAATCGCACAGAGCTTTTTAGAAAATGAAGCCCCTGATTGCAAACCATGGAAGAAAAACCTTAAACCCCCCAAACCCAAACCTCGAACCCTGCTTGAAGGATCGGGGGACTTTGTAAGTGGTTATTTTACAGACATAAGTATCATGACCCCAAATAGGGTCCCTTTAAAGGTGCTTATAAGTCTACTTTTCACCTACTTACTAGATCCCCCGACCCTCCAGATGAGCATGACAGGCATGAGCCTAAACCCTAAACACTAAACCCGAAACCCTAAACTCGAAACCCTAAACCCCAAACCCGAAACCCTAAAACCCCTAAACCCTAAACCCGAGAGGCAGGGCCTTCGCCGACGAGGGCCCACGAGGGTTGCACCCGCAGGCGCTCGCGCACGAAGCCAGGAATCTCACGGTTGCTGGGGTATTTTGGGACTTTCTTGGGGCTCCTTTAATGGGCTCCTTTCAGGGGTACTGGATTCGATAGTAAGGTTCTCTTAAAGGGGAACTATAGGAGTCCATAATAAGGTTCCCGGTTCCCTTAAAAAGGAACTACAGGATTTCATAATAAGGTTCCCTTTAAGGGACTCCTTCTGAAGTGTTTCCTTGAATACCGTTCGCGCCCAAAGCGGGGGGGGGATGAGCCTAGAGTCTGGAGCTTTAGAAGCATTGTGCACCCCTTCCCCTGTACAGAACAGATGGTTCCTGGTTTAGGGTTTAGGGTTTAGGGTTTAGGGTTTAGGGTTTAGGGTTTAATGGGCCCCAAAACCCCATTCCAATTATTAAGGCCTCTGTATTTGTCGGTGCTACGATGCTGCATTGCACATTCAACCTCACAACTGTGAGCTCATTGTCTTGGGCCCTCCCCTCCCCTTCTCCCATGCACTGGCTTGGTGGGGCAACACTGTGATTGATGGTGCAGTGCTGGTAGGGCTTTGGGCTTCGGGTTGAAGGTTTGGGGTTATTGATGGTGCAGGCAAACACCGAAATCATAACAAACACAGCAAGGAAGGCAACCCAACGTTCCGACTGAAAAACGGAAGTCAAAACATGCACCGTTTCCCACGATTGAGGGGTAGGGTTTAGGCTTTAGGGTTTAGGGTTTGGGTTCAGGGATTAGGGTCGAGGGTTTAGGGTAACCGCCCACCGGTAAAAGGAACCCCTATAGTCCCCTTATAGTAGACCCCTTTATAAGGAAGCCTTTTCGTACCCTTATAGTAGATCCTTTACAGCCTAGCAGTCTTGTAAGTCGGTTCACCATGTTGAACTTGGCTGACTTCTGAACCCCTCCTGAAAGTTAAACTTTTAGCCTCCTTATTCTGGTTCATATAGAAACCCAAAATGTTATAGTGCTCAGAGCCAACCAGAAGAACGCCAAGTGAATGTTCAGAAGAAGTCATAACATCTGCTCTTGACCCCAATTTGGGCGGTTATCCAAACGGCATAGGCCTGTCACATTAAACTTCAGGAGTCAACGTACTCCTTTGTTTCCACAATCGTCCAGGTCACTCATTCCCCAAAGCCTAACCGTCCCTACCCCCTAAACCTGAAACCCCGAACCCAAAACCCTCAATGCCTAAACTTTATCAACCTTAAATTACTTGCCTATTCAGGTCTACATGAATGATCTCTTCACCCTCAACATGGTAATTAACTAGGGTCAGTAAGACGGGTATTGGGGGGGTCTAGAGTTCAGAGTTCGGGCGCTAGTAAGATAGTAAGATGGTTAGTAAGCAGACATACTAAGTCAGAAGTGCCTGCAAGTTGCGAGGGCGTACAGCTACACTTCAACAATTTTTGTGCATGGAGTGTCACATGTGTCAAAGTTCAGCATATATTACACTAAGTCCCATGACCCTTTAAGTAACCCCCAAATACCCGTTATTATGCCCCAAATAGCCTGTTTCAAGGGCTTGACTAAACCCAAACCCCAACCCTAAATCCTACCCCCCTTATAGAAACCTTATAGATCCCTTAAAGGGACGCTTATAGAACCCTTAGTTACTAAGTCCCATGACCATTTAAGTAACCCTAAACCCCCCTTCTAGAACCCTGATAGATCCCTTGAATCCCTATAGATCCCTTTAAAGCAACCCTTATAGAACCCTTAGTTACTAAGTCCCATGACCATTTAAGTAACCCTAAACCCCCCTTCTAGAACCCTGATAGATCCCTTTAAAGGAACCCTTATTAGGAATCCCTATAGATCCCTTTAAAGCAACCCTTATAGAACCCTTAGTTACTAAGTCTCATGACCCCAAACAACCCCGGAGCTGACGCCTGAGAACTCTCGCCGGCGGCCAGCATCTCTGGCCGGAGCTCAACGTGGAGGCTGAAGCAAACCTGAAACTGATGTTATAAGGGTACCTTTAAGGGGCTCCTTTAAGGGATCTATATGGGGTTTAGGGTTTTAGGGTTGATGATATAAATCCTGCAATACCCATAATAAGGAATATAACATAATTCCCATAGTTTAGGGTCCTTAAGGTAATGCAGGATTTATACCATCAACCGAAAGCAATGGCAAAATGGTGATAAAGCCCTAAGCCTTTCACCCTAAACCCCGCCCGTCCCGGTGAAGAATATTGACAAAAACATCTGGCAGCGACTTGTTCGTACATGTATGTGTGCATATCCGTATATATATATATATATATATATATATATAGATATACATAAATATATATATACATATACATATACATATACATATACATGTATGTACGTATGTATGTGTGTGTGTGTATGCCCATGTATGTGTGTTGCGCACATCTGACATAAAAGTATGTGAATATGCACATGTATGTGCCTGTGTAAGTGCGCGGGTATATGTTGTGCATGTGTCCGCATATGTGGATGTAGGCCTGCGTATATACATACAAAATATACATACACACCTACACATACATATACATATATATGTACAAGTGAAAGCAGACATCCGCCTGGAAAGTACCAGGTATGATTGAGCAAGGAATGAGTGACTGATGTTACTTATACAAGACTAAACGATCAGCAAAACTATGCTATTATACAGGCCGTGCAACTATACGATCCTTTCTCCGCTTGTTAAAGAATCCGTAGCTGCTGTTTTTTGTGGCATTGCCTTGTTTGCGCAGGTGATACGAGCCTACGTATCTGCTAGGTTATATGTACCCGAACTGGGGTTATAAGTAATTATAATAAGTATAGTTACATTAATTACAACCCTAGTTACCAAGTCCCATGACCCTTTAAGTACCCATCCCTCAGACCCTGAAATTGTGCAACTCTGCAGCTTTATAATAGCCCCTATAGGCTCCATTAAAGGAACCCCTAAACCCTAAAAACACCGCTCTCAACCTGATGGTGGGAGACTTAACAAGTAGGTAGTAAGTACACTTATAATGACTTATAAGTGCCTTAAAAGGGGCCTTAATTGGGTTTAGGGTATTTATAAGTCCCTAAAGTATTTACTTACTAAATCCCATGATCCTCCAGGTAAGCTATAGTCTTTGAGCCCATGAGCTCTCCCAGGAGCTAGCAGGCGCCCCTTTCTTAAGCAACATACCTTAGGGTGTGGGCTTAGGGGTTCAAGGTTTAGGGTTTAGGGTTTAGGGTTTAGGTTGAGGCTTCAGGGGCCCTGAACCAAACCCTAAACGAAACCCTGCACTCAAAACCGGAAGCAAGCGGCATCCAAGGCGATCCAGTTGCAGGAGATCACCTGGCATGGTTTGGTCACGCTGCTCGTAAAAAGGAAGGTCTGCGAGAGACGCAGGAGAAACAACTCAGAGAAAGAAAGAGAGAAGAGTTGAAGGTTTCCGGGCTTAAGGTTGTGGTGGTGTGGGACACTAGGTGTTGGTGTTTTGGGGTTTGGAGGTTTCGGTGTGGGCCGTGGGATTTGGGTTAGTGGGAGGGTTGGCTTCTGTCAGTGCTGGCACTGGCTCCTCCGGGTTCTTGAAGTTTAAAGTCTTGTGGTTTCCGGTCTAGTAAGGGCTTGCGGGAATTAAGAGGTCGGGCCTAAACCATAAAGAAACCCTAAGACGAGCTCCGCCCCTACACCGCCACCAAAGAAAGCCAACCAACAAAGCAACACCACCCTAAACCCTCGAAGAAACCCTTGAAAAAGAGCCCTTCTAAGCAACCCTTTCAAGGAACCCTTTTTCGACCCCCTAAACCCAAAACCTTCAACTCTAAACCCCGACAACATTCCAATGGGTTTACGATATTAGCAATTGTTGGCTCAAGGTTCGAGTTATAAAATAAGGCAATGCTTGTGAGGCATGGGCGTATCTATAGCTTTGGGCTATGTTTCGGGACTGGGACACGCAGGCTGAAACTTTTTGGTCTGCAAACTCGAAATTAAACCCTGAACTTGATGTATACATAGGATACCCAGTAACCTAAGAATAAAAAGGCCTCTCTTTTTGGTATTGGGTAACTTTATAAGGAACCTAGGACTACAAAAAGGGAATAAGGGTACTACTGGGCATCCTAGACTTACATCATCAACGCATAGTTTGGGTACCGCACCCCCCCGGGTTTAGGGTTTAGGGTTTAGGGTCTTGATGTATACTTATCCTCGGCCCCGGCGCTGTCGCGGCATAGGCGATTCCGTCAGCTCGTGGCCGCCGGGGCTTGGCTCATGGCCGGGTGAGCAGCTGCTTGAAAGGATGTTTCTTATTTTCGTCATGGATGAGAAAATCTGCACGTCTGCAGCTAGGCTCACACACCATACCAACCGATCGCTAGCCCATTCTCTCGCACACTTACTCGCCCATGTACCGTCTCACCCGGCCTCCCGACGCTGATGCGCCTCCTGGTCGAGAACATCGACTTGCCCGAGAGGAGCTAATAGCGTAGCAATGCGATCCAAAGGTGCATTGGGGAAGCTTTCAACGAGCAGATTGCTTTGCAGATCAGCCTTTCAGCAGCAGCAGCAGCAGCAGCAGCAGTTCGATGGCCCACTTGTCCACCATTCGGCATACCTCTTCTTCGCTCGGACCTGCACAACTTCCGAAAGAATGGGGTTTTGGGTTTCTCTTTCTATCTCACATAGGGGCATAGGAGAGTATAAAACTGCGTGCCTTGATTCGTTTGATTTAGGGTCCACGGGATTATATAATTCCTAAGGAGCGCCATCCAGAACGAACACTCATGCGTCCCTCAAAAGGAGCTCTTAGTGGCGCCTGCAGTGGCTTTCCGCCCAAGGCGTTCGCAAAGGCCTCCGAAGCCTCTTGGAGGTCGTGCTCGGGGTTGTTGTTCCCCTGGGCTCGGATTAGGGGTCCCTCCAGTCTAAAAGGGTCCTATAGAGGGTTAGTTCAAAGGAAACTATAATGGTTCCTTAAAAAGTACTACAAGGGTTCAATTTAAAGGGTACTATAGAGGGATCCTTTAAAGGATACTGTTGAGGGTTCCTTTAAAGGGTACTATTGAGGGTTCCTTCAAAGGGTACTCGTTTAAAGGGTCCTATAACAATTTCCTTTTAAATGATACTACAAGGGTTCCCTTGAAGGGTACTATCAGGGTTCCTTTTTACAGGGTACTGTCAGGACTATAAGGGCTTAGGGTGTTTTGGTTGTTGTTCCCCTGGGCTCGGAAGGGGTTCGCTGGTAGGGCTTAGGGGTTTGAAGGGTTTAGGGCTTTTAGGGTTTAGGGTTTAAGATTTAGGATTTAGGGTTTAGGGCTCGGAAGGGTAGGATTTTAGTGTTCCTTTGACATTTGGCCTGACCCCGTTCTCAACAGTCTTGAATTTTGGGGTTTTCTTGGGGCTCAGAGGTGCAGAGTTTAGGGGTTCAGGGTGCCGGAACGTTCCCTTACTTAAAGGGTCATGGGACTTAGTAACTAGGGTTATAGTTAAGGTAACTATACTTATAATTTCTTATAACACCAATTAAAGTGCGTATAACCCTAAATACTGAGTCCCATGATCCTACATTTAGGCTGCTTTTAAAGTTGGTTCAAGGGTTCCATTTAAAAGGAGAGAAGGGTTCCATACAGGTTTTATGGATTTGCTGTGTTTAGAGAACCCTAAACCCTAAACCGTTTAGGGATTGTTGTTCCTTGTTGTTCCCCCACACTCGGGCGAGGCCTTCAGGGGTTTCGGGGTTTAGGAGTTTAGGGGTTTAGGGTTTAGAGGTTTAGGGGGTTAGGGTGTAGAGTTTAGGGGTTTAGGGTGTAGGGTCTAGGGGTTTAAGGGTTTGAGGGTTTGAGGGTTTCGGGTTTAGGGTGTAGGGTTCACGGTTTAGGGTGTAGGAGTTGGGGGTTTAGGGTTTAGGGGTTTAGGGTGTAGGGTTTAGCTTAAAGGCTAGAGTTTAGAATGTAGGGCTTGGGGCTTCTTGGGCTTCAGGTTCTTCGGTGCTTCCCCCTGGCTCTTAGGTTGCGGGCCTTTTTTAGAGTCTGTCGGGTTGAGGGTTTAGGGCTGAGAGTTTAGGGTTTAGGGCTTAGGGCTGAGAGTTTAGGGTTTAGAGCTGAGAGTTCAGGGTTTGGGGGGCTTGAGGTTTGGTGTTTACTGCTTCTGCAGAATGCTTCTCGTGAGCTCGCTCAGCTCCGCTTCTACTTACCTGGCTCTCTCCACTGCCGTCCACCGTCATGAACTCTTTTCTGAGGGATCATTCCCAGAGACGGCTCAGAGCGAAACCTGGCCCGAGGCCTCTGTTATGGCACAGTCGAACCAGCGCCGTCCGCTCCTGAACGAGCAGCGGATGCAGTACGTCGTCCTGTGACGGCCTGGCGGCTGGTGCAGGCATGCAGGTGTCATGTCCCACTTCCAGACTCAGCTGACGTGCCGGCTGTTTTAACTTCGAGACCCGTCTGTGACCGATCGTGCAGAAGGTCTGAGGCCTTCATGCATCTTGCATCCGACCGGGGCACACTGGTGAGGGGAAACCTGAACCTCGAAAAGCTGCGAACATCAAACCTTTTGTCTCGAGCTTGCATGGGCCTGAACCCCAAACCCTGAATCCCAAACTCTAAATCCCAAACTCGAAACCCTAGATGAACCCTCAATGCTGAACCTTGAATCCTATACCGAAAGATCATTAACGACTTGATATCACCCGGGCCTGCTGCCATTGAACGACGCAGCGGCCTAGCAAAGGGCTCGGGCTAGAGCCCTTCGCTTTGAGGGGTTTCAGGTTTAAGGTTTAGGATTTAGGGACTTATTAAGTACAGTTACAAGCATCTTAGTTGGGGTAACAACCCTAGTTACGAAGTCCCATGAACCTGTAAGTAAGCTTAGGGCTTGAGGCTTCGGGTCAAGCCTCTAACCGTAGATTCTGGCCCTAAACCGTGGAAAGTTTTACGCTTTACAATCCTTGGTTCCTTGTAGGGATCGGGGGAATGGATCCCTATAATAGTCGTCCCCTAAGATCCCTAATAATAGCCACTACAACCCATTAATTGATTCTCTACTACGAACCTCAAAATCAGGTTCAGGGTCTGAGGTTTGGGGTCTGCGTTTAGGATTTTAAGATGTACATGCACCTAGGTCTTGCTTGTCCGATTCCGAGCTTGAGATACAGCCAACCCTAAACCCTGAACCCTGCCCCTACGGTTGATGATATAAATCCTGCATTACCTTAAGGACCCTAAACCATGGGAATTATGGCATGTTCCTTCCTTATTGTGGGTAATGCAGGATTTATATCACCAACCGAATCAACCGCCCGCCCCGGCCTTCGAGATAAGGCCACTGCATCGCGGCCACCAGCTGTGGGCAGAGCTCTGCGATCTCAAGGTGCAGAAACCTAGGCCCCGACTCCACAGTTTTCGAGGTCAGGAAACTCACATCATAGGGTTTAGGGTGTATGAAGGGCCTCCCTAGCTTAGGCCGGGTTTAGAGTCTACAAAGAGCCTAAGCCCGCAATAACTCAAGGCGTTTGAGCACCGAGGCACATCCAGGAACCCCTAAACAACAGTATAGGGTTCTAAAATACAACCCCTTTTTACGGGGAAGCTTAGGGTTTTACTACAGGAACCCTAGCCAGAATCCTTCAATGGAGCGCTTGCAGGAACCCTTCTAGAATCCTCAAACGGAACCCTTGAAGGAACCCTCAAATGAAATCTTTGTGAACCGGTCAAAGAACCCCTTGAAGGAATCCTTCTACGGAACCCTTCGAGTAGCCCGTGTGAAATTCATCCCCACATAATCCGTCCCCACATTTTCCGGGAGGATTTAGAAAGTCGAATAATTTGAGACCCTCAACTACTAAAGGGTACTTAATAGGAGTCTGGGCAATCAAGGGAACCTGGCCACTATAGTTCCCTGGTAGGTCTCTCATAGATCCCTAATAGAACCCTCTAAGGAGCCCTTTAAGGGTACTAGGTACTACGAGGGAACCTCACTTCCCCTAAACCCTGAACCCTAAACCCTTGAGGGGTCTACCTTTTTAGATCCTCGCGGGTTTAGGCTATCAGGGTTTAGGACTTAGGGTTTAGGATTTCGGGGGTTTAGCGGTGGGGGTCTGCTTAAAGGGTCATGGGACTTAGTAACTGGGGTTATAAGTAGGGTAACTATACTTATAATTACTTATAACCCCAATTAAGGTAGTTATAAGCCTACTTACTAAGTCCTATGATCCTCCAAGTAGACCCTAAACCTCTCTAGATCCCTTATAGAACCGGCAGTCAAGAAGCTCAATGGGCGCGGAGGATCCAAGCGCAGCGTCCAAGAGCCTCGACTGGGTGTTTCGGCTCCCAGGTTGACTTGGAGGGTCGGGGGACTTAGTAAGTTTTTATTCTAAAGACTTATAAGTACCATAACCCCAATTAGGGTCCCTTTTAAGGCACTTATAAGTCTATTTATAACCTACTTACTAAGTCCCCCGACCATCCAAGTAGAGGTTAGGGTTTAGGGTTTTTGATGAGAGCTCTTTTGCGCCTGCACGAAGGCTCGGCCTACGCAAGCCTTATTTAAGGCTCCCAGGTTTTAGGGCGGGGGTTAAGTTTTTAGAGAGCTCGGGTTTCGAATAGAGCGGTTTCGGGGTTGGGGCTTGGGGGGTCTAGGGCTTAGAGAGTTCAGGGTTTCGGGGTTGAGGGTGCTAGGGTTTAGGGTAGAGAGCTTCAGGGTTGTAGGGCTTCGAAGTTTTGGGTACGAGGGGGTTTTAAGCTCGGGAGTAAGGTATAGGACGTGGGATTTAGGGTTTTAGGGCCCTAAACCCTAAACCCTACACCCTAAACCCTAGGGCTTGGGGGTTTAGGGTTGCTCCCGGACAGGGGCTCCTGCCTGCAAAAAACCCCAAACCCTAAAGCCCTACACCCCAAGCCCCAAAACCGTAAAGAAACCACGATTTTCCTGAGCCCCAAACACTTACAAACCCTATAATCCTAAACCCTAAACCGTTATTTCGGGATTCAGGGATCAAGTGCTTCCGGTTTAGGGCTATTGGGTCAAAGACCACCATGAGACACAACCTATCCATCAAGACGATCATACATCAGCTTGAGAAGTTATAAAGTTATAGAACATCAGTAGTGTAGCAAAGGTATGTGTATGTATGCGTATAAACAGAAAGATAGCTAGATAGACATACAGCTAGAAAGAAAGATAGATAGATAGACAGATAGCCAGGTAGAGTGGAGAGATAGACAGATAGACAGATAGGTAGCTAGACAGATGGTTATACCTATACCCTGGATTAAATGGTTCAGCCGCGTGGCCACAGACTGCGGCAAGCCCAAACGCTCGAGGACATCTGCCAAGGCGGACGCGAGGAGTTGAGAATGTAGGGTCTGAGATCGATCCTGCGACCGTTACAAGCCCAAACCTGCGAGGATTTGAGTAATACGGGTCTTGGCACTGTCGAGGGGGTTGAGAGCTCTTTAACCGACCACAACCCGAGAAAAGTCGATCTTGATGAACGTTGATGCGGGGCTGAGGGTGAATAGGGACCCTAAATAGGGGTTACGATACTTATATATCTCTAAAATAACTATTTACTAAGTCCCCCGACTCTCCAAGTAGGGTGTAAGGAGTGATGTTTCAAGGTGATCGGGCGACAATTTTCAGCCCGGAGGCTCCAAACCGCAAATGGGGTTTAGGGTTTAGGGTTTAGTTCTCATCTTCTACCGGAGCTCGTCAAGCATTTTGCAGTAAATCCCATAAAGTTGGAATCCGGATTAAGGCCAAATAGTGCTGGGATTCCCTATACATTACTCTTAGGGATTGAGGCTGTTGGGTTTCCAACTTTTGGGCTTCTACTGCAGCTTAAGCTTTTGAAGGTAACATCCCTGTAAATGGGGGGGGGGGGGTAGATTTCAATGGCTGGGATCTCTGCATGTTACGACCTTTGTAGAACCCTTCATATGGAGGCAGGACCGTGATTTAGAAGTTCTACATCCCCACTATATTGGAAGCAAGGTTCCTGTGTTGGGGATGCGGTCTTCTGGCATAGAGTTTTAGAACTACCCAGACAAATGCAAAACAAGCAATACAGGAGAACTCCGCAGGTCCATAATCCATAACGTAGGGACCTTAATGATCCGAATAGCGTCTTGGCACACCCTACAGTATAACTCATTCAGAATACTACTAGCAACTAGTCACGCACCTATATGAAACCTGGCCTGATCCCAGAATTGTCACACGGAGAACTGTAGCCACTCAACGGCCCATTGATATCACCACTCGGAGGGTCGGGTGACGTAGTAAGTAGTAAGCATCTAGTGTATAGAGTTCTAAGAACACTGAACGGGACCCAAATTGGGGATGATGATACCTGCAATTCTATACAAGGAGTACTTGCAAAGTTGCTGCGAGTCGGACGACCCGAAACCCCTAAACCCTAAACCCTAAACCCTAAAATCCTAAACTCTAAACCCTAAACCCTAAAATCCTGAACCTAAAGTCCCCCCTGAGGCCCTGAGCCTCGTTTGCCAGCAGTCGTCCCTCCCACGTCATCACCGGCAGCGGACCGCATTCTGCAAAAGCGGCCCTGGGCATCAGGGTTTGGGGGTTTGGGGGTTTAGGGTTCAGGGTTCAGGGTTCAGGGTTCAGGGTTTAGGGTTTAGGGTTTAGGGTTTAGGGTTTAGGGGTTTAGGGTTCAGGACTTAGCGAGTTCTCGGATTCTTTAAAGGGACTCATGAGGTTTCCATCAGGGAGGGTTTGGGGGACTGGAGCGTGAAAGGCTCCGAAGGCACACTGCAGAAGGGCTGTCAGCATCGCACTGCATGACACTCTCACGAGAGTAGGACCCTGCTAAAACCCGAAGCCTAAGCCTAAGACACGCATTCATTCGAGGAAGCAGAAGTAAGCAATGCACCTCAAAAACAGGCAGCATCACCCAAATAAATCGGTATGGTTCCCTGTTGGTTTTAGGGAACCCCACACCCAAGGATACCCTGAAGGCGCTCTTTTGCGGCCTACACCCGAAACCCGAGACCTCTAAAACGCGAACACCAAGCCCTGAAAAACAAGCTAAACCCAGAAGCCTAAACCCTCAAGCCCAAAACCTAAACCCGAAAGCCCTGAAGCCCTAAACTCTAAAACTCGATAACCTGAAACCCTGAAATCCTGAAGCCCCCTTTCTTAGCACTCCGAGCGACGCCAGTGCACTCGCTCCCATCTCCGCCGAACGCCCTGGGGACAAGCGCCTTGGAACAGTGAACAGCAGGGCTAGGGTTAGAGTCAACGGTTGAAACCATGGGCGGGCCCTTAACTTATACTTTGGGATCATATACCTACTATATACCCTATATAGACTCTTAAGGGTCCCTAGAGCTCCTCAAAAAGGCCTAAGGGTCCATATTAGGGGCCCATACTTCCAACCTTGGTTAGAGGGTTAAGGGTCATAGGGTTCAGGGATTCGGCTTTTGGGTTCCGCTGAAAGTAAACTTAAAAGCATCAGCCAAGAATCTTAAACCCTTACATAAGCCCTTAAGCCCTAAGCCCTAACCGGGTGTTGAGTTTAGGAGTCTTGAAATTCAGGGGGTGAGGGCGTGCGAGTTTTGTTAGGTATCAAAGGATTGTAAAAGGTCTCAAGGTAAGCCAGAAACTCGATTAAGCAACTTAGGATTTATGGTTCATTAATGGGGGTTCCTATAAAGTACCCTTAGTAGTATAGGACCCCATATTGGGGGATCTACTTTCTAGATCCTCCTGGGGGTCTGGGTTCGGGTTTCTCTGCATGAAACCCCGCCACGAAACTCCCGAGCCCCGAAGCTTTGAAACCCTAAAAGCCCTGGGGTTGGGGGCTACATAAAGGGTCATGGGACCTAGTAACTTAACTGGGTTCCAAAAAAGGGGTCCCTAAATAGCTCTACAATGAAAGCCTGCAACCCTAAAACCCTGAAACCCTATAATTACCCCTGAAACCCACAAAGCGCCCAAACACTAAACCCTAAACCCTAAACCCCTAAACCTCTAAACCTCTAAACCTCTAAACCCTACAGCTTAACCTTTAGCCTAAACCTCTAAACCCCAAACCCTAAACGCAACCCCTCGACCTCTCAACCCCAAATCAAAGAACGAGATCCCTTATAGACCCCTTAGGGAACCCCCTTTAAGAGAACCCTTAACGGAACCTTAAGGAACCCCTAAAATCCGAGCAGCGCATTCCAGCCCCATTTGGCGGAGCCGTCGCGGGCACCGGAGAAGCCTCCCCCGCCGCCTGGCTGTTAGGGTTTATGCGGCTTTGGGCTTAGGTTAAGGCGTTAGGGTTTGGATTCAGGATTAAGGATTAAGGTTTAGGGTTTAAGTTTAAGGTTTAGGGTTTAGGACTTTAGGCTTAGGGTTTGGGGTTTAAGGCAGTTTAAGGTCTAGTCTAGGCTTTAGGTTTAGGCTTTGTGTTGCAGCTGTTGTTGTCGAGGACCCCCCGAGGATTAGACAAACTTAAAGTCTTGAGCGCCCTTAGAACCATAATGTAAAAACATGTCTTATCAGCCCTTGGGGATTTATGAAGATCAAGTTGAACAATACACCCTTAGACCCTAAGCCCCTAAAAACCCTAAGAACCCAAAGAGCACTAATATAGGGGCCTAAATCATTAGCAATACTTTTTTGGCGGTTCCTTATTATAATCATAGTATAGTGAGCCCCAAAACCCTACTCTAATTATTATTGCCCCTATGTTAAACCCCCAGAACACCCCTTATAGTAATCCTTACCGACCGCTTTAAAAGGAGCCCTTTAAAGGAACCTTAGGGTTTTGGGTTTAGGGTTCAGGGTTTAGGGTTTAGGGTTTAGGGTTCAGGGTTTAGGGTTTAGGGTTCAGGGTTTAGGGTTTAGGGTTTAGGGTTTAGGGTTTAGGGTTTAGGGTTTAGGGTTTAGGGTTTAGGGTTTAGGGTTTAGGGTTTAGGGTTCTAATGAATGAGGCTCCTCTTTTAAAGAAATGTGACTTGCGTCCACGCTCCGAAAAACCGGGCCTTCAACGGCCCTCTGCACATCTTCGGCGCCAGTGGGCTCCTGCTTGGAGGATCATGGGACTTAGAAAGTATGGCTATAAGAACCCTAATTGGGGTTACAAGTCATCATAAGTGCGGTTACCTAAATCCTAACCCTAATTCCTACGTCCCATGACCGTTTTGGGGTTCATGGTTTTAGGGTTTCGAGCTTCAGGGTTTTAGCGTTTAGGGTTCAAGACTTAAGGCAAACGTAAACCCTGCTATAGGGGCCTGAATAATGAAAACAGGATTTGGGGCCCAATTATACTACAATTATAATAAGCAACCCGCAAAAGCCTCCTATAGTAGGGTTTTACGGTTTCAGGGTGGGCTTCAGGGTTTAGGGTTTTAGGGTTTAGGAAATCAGGATTTTAGGGTTTAGGGTTCAGGGTTAGGGATTCAGGGTTTAGGGCTCAACGGCTTTAGGGCTTCAGGGTTTACGGCGTCTGTTTTTAAATACACGGATATTTAAATAGGTTAAACAAGTATATTACACTACCTCCGTGAAACATCGCCCGGGCCCGCCTCGAAATAAAATATCCGGAGATTGGCAGATGATTGGTGGGTTTGGGGTTTGGGATTTTGGGGTTTAGGGTTTAAAGGTTTAGAGCTCAGGTAGAAGCCAAACCTTTCAGCTTCAGGTTCAAGCCAAACCGAGCCAGCCCTCCAGCAGCCTTCCTCAAGCCTTCCAGCCTTCCTCCAGCCTAGCCTTCCCAGCCCAACCCAGCCCTCCAGCCCTCCAGTCCAGTTTTCCAGACCCAGCCCTCCAGCCTTGCACCAGCCCCAAGCCCTCCACCTTTGCCCTCCAGCCCTCCAGCCTTCAAACAATCCAATTTTCAAGCCCCCCTCCTTCCAGTTTTCCAAACCCAGCCTTCCAGCCTTCCAGCTCCCCAGCCCTCCAGCCAGCCTTCCAGCCTTCCAGTTTTCCAGCCGCCTTCCTCCAGCCTTCCAGCCTTCCAACCTTCCTCCAGCCTTCCAACCTTGCAGGGGGGGGGCTGGAAGGCTGGAGCTGGATGGCTGGACGGGTGGAGGGCTGGAGGGCTGGAAGGCTGGGGCTGGAGGGCTGGAGGGCTGGAGCTCAAAAACTAGGTTGGAAGGCTGGAAGGCTGGAGGGCTGGAGGGGAAGGCTGGAGGAAGGCTGGAAAGGCTGCAGGGTGGCTGGAAGGAGGTCGGCTGGATGGAGGGCTGGAAGCTGGAAGGCTGGGCTGGAAGGCTGGAAGGCTGGAAGGCTGGAAGGCTGGAGGGCTGGAGGAAGGCTGGAAGGTTGGAAGGCAGGCTTGAGGGCGGGCTGCCCTCCAGCCTTCAACCCTCCAGGCCTTGCAGTCTCCAGCCTTCCAGCCTTCAACCCCTCAAGCCCTAAACCCCTTCCAGCCTTCAACCCTCCAGCATTCCAGCCTTCACCTTTTTAAGACTGAAGGCTAGATCACGTCATACTGGGATTTAAATATACGGATTTAAACAAACATTTTATACTACCTCTGCGGCCAGTGCGGCTGGCCGGGCCCCCATATATTTAAAAAACGTCACCGTAGGGTTTAGGATGGTTTGGGGCTGAGACAAGCCAAACCATTTGAACAGTGGGCAGCAAGACAGAAGTTCTGCATTCCGGAATTTTCGTTCTTATTTGATCCATTTATGGTTTTTTGATTTTCCACCCCGTTACCAAGACTACCACTGTTGCCAAAACAAGTACTCGTGGTACATTGGCAACTACTATTACCATCCTCCAGGGGCCTGCCTTTTGACCCCAAGCCCCACACAAAGGTAGGTGTTGCCCCCTGAACGAAGTGCATGGCAGACCCAGTAAAATCGGGGCCGTCAGTCAACCCGAAGCAAACTCCAAACCCCTAGACCTAAACTCAAAACCCAAAAATCCTCAATCCTAGACTCCACCAACAAAGTAGCCCTTACGAAAACCCTTAACTCTTAAGTTTTCCAGACAGCCCAATACCCCTTAGTTAAAGACTATGGCTTAAAATGTCGAGGGCTTCATATCATGATTTAAGCTCTATTCCTTGTTTTCCTTACAGAAGCCTTATAGATCCCTTTGAAGAGCCCTTTTAAGGAACACTAGGTATCCCTTTATTAAGGGGTATTGGGCTCTCTGGGTTCCTTACACCGAAACCCCTGGTGACAGGACCTGGCCCAGCGCAAGCTCGAGCAAGCGGTAGAGGCTCAGGAAAACCTCGCGCCGTTCAAGGTTTACTTGCAGGATCGCGGGACTTAGTAAGTAAGGTTATAAGTGCCCTAATTGGGGTTATAAGTGATTATAAGTACAGTTACCCGAATTATAGTTTAACCCTAGTTACTAAGTCCCATGATCCTTTAAGTAGGGTTGAGGGATTTGGGGATAGGGTTAACGGTTAGAGGGTTTAGGGTTCAGGCTTGAGGGGTTTAGGGGTGTGGGATTTAGGGTTTGGGGGTTTAGGGGCAGGGATCTAGGGGTGTTCGGGGTCGGGGCTGGGGGTTGAGGGCTTTAAGGGGTTGGACCCTAAACCCTAAAGCCTAAACCCTAAACCCTATCCAGAGTCGGCTTGCTCCAGCATCAAGCCTGTGTCAGGAAAGCCGCTGATGGCATCAGAATTTGCGGCAGAACCGTGGAGCACGACACCTCGAAGTTAGTGAGTGTAGCACCAAAGATCTCGGCACCCGTGGCAAAAATGCCATAACCCTAAACCCTATAAACCCCAAACCCTATGAACCCCATAAACCCTATGAACCCTAGAAACCCTACAAGCCCTATAAGCCCTATAACCCTGAACCCTAAACCCTAAAGCGGCTGGGGCCGTTTGAATGGCTTTCTTCCATGCAGTGGAGGTTTCGGGCTTCCCAGACCCCGGGAGGATCCAAAAAGTAGATCCCTTAACGGGAGTTCCTATAAAGTACCCTTAGTAGTACAGGGCCCCAAATTAGGGGATCTACTTTCTAGATCCTCCCGGTGGTCTGGGTTAAGCATCATGTGACGTGTCTTTGAGACTACGACCAGGCTTGAGGTCTTACAGTAAACCCTTCGGGTTTAGGAACCAGGGTCTGGGAATTAGGGTTTAGGGTTTAGGAATACGGGTTTGGGAATTAGGGTTTAGGGTTTAGGAATACGGGTTTAGGAACCAGGGTTTGGGAATTAGGGTTTAGGGTTTAGGAATACGGGTTTAGGAACCAGGGTTTGGGAATTAGGGTTTAGGGTTTAGGAATAAGGGTTTAGGAATTAGGGTTTAGGGTTTGGGAACTAGGGTTTAGGAATTAAGGTTTAGGGTATAGTAAATCCTATAAAGTTGGAAACCAGATGAAGGCCAAATAGTGCTGGGGTTCCCTACACTTTACTCTTAAGGATTGAGGCTATTGGGTTTCCAACTTTTGGGCTTCTACTATACTTGAAGGGTCGGGGGACTTATTAAGTAGGTATTTTAGAGACTTATTAATTAGTATCATAAGCCCAACCATGGTCCCTTCTAAGGTACTTATAAGTTTAAGGTACTTATAAGTCTACTTGTGGCCTACTTACTAAGTCCCCCGGCCCTCCAAGTACGGTGTAGCTTACAGTAGGGTTTAGGGTGTACAGGTTACAGTATGGTTAAGGGCTTACGTCAGCAACGTTATAAGTACGTGAATTGGGGGTATAAGTATAGTAGTTACCTTAATTATATCCCTAGTTTCTAAGTCTCATGGCCCTGTAAGCAGGGTGCAGAGTTTGGGGGCCCTTGCCTTCGGAGCCTTACCTTTGTCTCAGCGGGCATTGGAGTGTCTGGGCGGGTCTCCTTTGCATTTTCTGGTACTGGGAGTTCAGACCTCCCTCAACTTCTCCAAACCCGCAACACGAAACCCTGAACCACTCAAAGCCTCAACTCCTACAGCCCTCGCCCTGAAGCCCTAATCCCTAAACCCTAACCCCTCAACCCTAAACCCTTAGACCCTCAACCCCTAAACCCTAATCCCTAAACCCTAATCCCTAAACCCTTAAACCCTAATCCCTTAAACCCTAATCCCTAAACCCTAATCCCTAAACCCTAATCCCTCAACCCTAATCCCTAAACCCTTAAACCCTAATCCCTTAAACCCTAATCCCTAAACCCTAATCCCTAAACCCTAATCCCTAAACCCTAATCCCTAAACCCTTAAACCCTAACCCTGCAACCTTCAACCCTGGACCCCTCGACACTGAAGCACGCAAACGTAAACCCTGGAGCCCATAGGGTCGGGGTTATGCATGTAACCCTAAGGGCCCTAAGGGTGCAACGGTTGATGATATAAATCCTGCATGACCCAGAATAAGGGATATACCATGATTCCCATAGTTTTGGGTCCTTAAGGTAATGAGATTTATATCATCAACAGAAGTACCCAAATAGTAGGGTTTCACACTCCAAAAACCATTCAGAGAATGGATTTTGGAAACTAAAACCCTACTATTTGGGTACTAAGGGCCAAAGCCACGCATTTCAGCAACAATACAGGGGCGAATCTACGGAGGTTTAGCACTATGGTAAATCCTGGATATCCCATAAATAAGGAGCATACCATAATTTCCATAGTCTAAGGTGCTTAAGGTACAAAAGGATTTAGACCATCCACCGTATGGCATTATTCTACTACGGAACCGGGAGGGAAAGGTTTTGGTAAAAATGCTCAACCGCCGGAAGCCCTCAACTCCGCGGCCAAGATAAAGACTGGCCACTTGGAGAATCATGGGACTTAGAAAGTATGGTTATACTTAGGTTCCTTTATCAAAGGGCTCCTTAAATTGATCTAATTATAGGGTTTTTTAAAGGGATCTATAGGGGTTCAGGGTTTATAGTCTAGTTGGAGGATCATGGGACTTAGTAGGTAGGGTTATAAGTAGGTTTTAGCGATTGAGGGTTTAGAGTTTATGGGTGAGGGTCCCAAAGACCTCAGTAAACCCCTAAAGCCTGAATCCCGAGACTCCAATATCCCTTAATGAAGGCATAAACCTTAAACCATATTAAGGATGCTACTATAATTTAAAGCATAGTCCTTAATTCAGGGATATTGGAGTCTCTGGGTTGTCGGATCTCTTAGTAACTGGGGTTTTAACGAAGGCAACTATGCTTATAATTACTTGCAACCCCAATTAAGGTAGACCCCAAAGCCCTAGAACCCTAAACCCGATCCCGAAACCCGTGTGCCTCCACGCCCATGTCGTTTAGAAGCTCTCCTCGAGCCGGTATGCCGCTCTGCCTTGTAAGGTAGAGTTTAGGGTTTAGGGTTAAGGAGCTTCAGGTTTAGGGCCTAGGGGTTTAGGGTTCAGGGGCTCAAGGTTCAGGGTTGAGGGCTCAGGGGTTTAGGGTTTAGGGTTCGCTTAGGGGTGTAAGGATTTTGATGCATGTGGGGTCTCTCAAGGGCTTTTCCGGGGCGCCCAGCTTACCCTTTCATTCAACGGTGTGTTCCGTAAAGTACATAGTTCCCTGTAGCTAACGCGCATGGCTATTTCTGGGTTATCGTACGGGTTCGGGGTGTAGCGTGAGAGGCTGTGCAAGGAGCTGATATTGGCTCTCGTTGAGCTTAATTACGACGAGGTCACCGTCCAACAGTAAGAACTCTAAACCCGAAATCCCAAACCTACTACACCCTGAATCAAACCCCAATCCCTCAACCCTAAACCTCAATCCGAATACCCGAAACCTTACACCAACGAAAGCACAGCCTTGCGATGCTGACGAGTTCACATCAGCCTGCTCCGAAAACACCCTAAGCTTGAACACTACACCTGCAGTGCTAGGCCCTTTTAGGATTTACGGTTCAGGGGTCTAGGGGTTTAGGGATTTAGCGGTCGGAGGCTGGTGGTTGAATGCTTTTGCAGAACCTTCTAAAAAGCTCAACATGCAAGGTGTACATAGGTGTTTACAAGGTCTTCTTCTTGAGCTTTTTGCATGGCATCAAGGTCGTCTTCGTAGTAGGAGATCAAAGGCTTGGCCTTTTTTTTGAACTCTGCAGCCGGAACGATTTTGCTTTCTTTGTCCAGCGGCTTAGCCGGTTGAGGCTGCTTAGGGTTGTCTGCTCCCAACAGCCGGACTCCATCAGCGAGGGAGTGGGGAGAGGTGCGTTCACGGCCTGGGCTTGAGGGTGCCTGGAGATCCTTTCAGTCCAAATCCATCACTGACCCCGCAGATGCTTGCAGCTTTTCGAACAGCCGACCTTTTGATTCTTCCTTCGCGAAAAGTCTTGTTGAGATTTTGCTGAGGGACGATTTTCACTCACCAACGACATGGTTGGCGGACCTCGCACTACGAGGGCGGCCTATGCCCGTGCCCTACAGCACGGGCCTGTGCGGCTTTGCGGCTGAAGATGTTTCTCTTCGTCGCCCTCTAAGTCTCAGCTAAACATCGCCTTAAAGGGCCATGGGACTTAGTAACCAGAGCTATAATGAGGTGCTTATAACCTTACTTACTAAGTCCCGTCATCCTCCAAGTAGGATTCCCAGTAACCTACAGTTAAAAAGTGCTCCTTGTCTGGTATAAGGTACTTGGCGGACTTCTGAACCCCTCCTAAGAGTTGAATTTTCAGCCTTCTTATTACGGTTCACATAGAAACCAAAAAAAATTAAAGTCCTAAGAGCCAACCAGAAGAACGCCAAGGCCACAAAAGGGACAAAAAGACACACTGGAAGACTAACAGCCCTAAGCCCTAAAGCCCTAAACCCTAAACCTCTAAAGCCCTAGACCCTAAAACCCCTAAAAATTTAAAGAATCCCAAAAACTCTAAACCCTAAAACCCCTTAAGCCCTTTAAAAAAATCGTACTGCTTGGAATCTGGAGCTCATAACCCAAACTTGCCCTGGCACGGCCCCTCGTACTGCCGAGCCGCCCGAGCTTCTGTCGAAGGCCCGACTGCGTTGTCAAGGTTTGAGGGTTTGGCGTCTTGGGTTTTGGGGTGTAGGGTTTAGGGTTTGGAGTTTAGGGTTTAGGGTTTTGGGGTTTGGAGTTTAGGGTTTAAGCGTTTAAGGGTTTACGGTTTACAGTTTGAGGGTGGTGCTTGATGGGGGGGCTCTTTCAAAGAGGGAGGGCCCAAAAATAATGAGTAGTCCGTGCTACTGCTGGAAGCCCGGGCAGGGCATGGCCAGGGCAGGGCAGGGAAAAACGGGGCGGGAGGGCAGGGCAGGGGCAGGGCAAGGGGTGGTGGTCCGCCCTAGCACCGGCCTGGAGCTTCTAGGTCCCTGAAATTCTACTTGCTGGAAGCTCCAGGTTGGTTTTGGGGGGGCGGGGGCCTGGACCAGGGACTGAGTTTAAACGCAGGTAATGCATTAACGTCTTTGTGAGGATACCAGAAATCCCTGGGATCCGACAGGCGCTACAGCACCCCAACATCATTGAGTACAGGAACACCGCAATCACTCCGCGCGATCAATATACAACGCCCGTCAACGCCCTAATATGTCTGGTTATCCCTTAAACGTAGGGTCTTCGGTCGGCAGCTGACGATGGTGGTCTTGCGCTCATGTTGTCGGCCACTATGAGGGCAGAGCAGGACAAGAAACCGCACGACGCGGCGACTCGCTGTCGGAAGAGTCGCCGAGGCCGTGTGTTTCTTCAGGTGTACATGACAAGCGCATTGTCAACATTTGAATTTGCTGCTTCGATTTCTGCTCCGGCCAGCGCTTACCACCAGCTTGTTTCCAACTAGCTGGCTGGTGCGTGGAACAGCTGCCGCCGTCGCCGCTGCCTCTTGGCAGCAGTTACGGCTGAGCTGGTACGGAGTTTTCTTCACCGACACTTGACCGACAACTTCGAACAATGAGAAGTCAAACTTAGGGTTTGGGGATTTACTTATCCGGGGTGATGTGAAAAGGGCTCTTGGATGCCTTTCGGGACTTTCCAGGACTTAGATATTTAGACCTTAAGGTTCAGGGTTTTGGGGTGTGAAGGGCCTGGGGCTTGAAAGTTTGGGTGTAGGGTGTCATGCTTAGACGGATTAGTGTTTTAGAGTTTGGAGCTTCGAGTTTTGGTTGTAGATGTTCACTACTTCGGATCGTTTTAGGGGGGCCCTTTCCGTCGACTTCGGCTCTAAGTGGGGCTCAAGGCTTAAGCCCTGCACTCTACACGCTTGTGACAAACGTCAACTCTTACGACCCTGAGGCTCTCCCCGTCCAGCAAAATTTTCCCAAAAAACCTAAACCCTAAACCTTACCTTAAACCCTAAGCCCGAAACCCCGGCACCAAACCCTAAACCCTCGTGAATGACCTCACAAAACCACAAACTGAGCGCCACAGCCCCATGACACCCTAAAGCCCTAAACCACACAAACAATCGACCCCCTAAACCCTAAAGGCTAATCCCTATAAACCCCTAAACCTTGTATAACAAACAAACCTACACCCTAAACCCCTAAACCTCAGAAAGCCCCAAACACTCTAAACTATACGACAAAACCCTAAACCCAAGACCCCGAAACGTTTACCAATACACCCCGAATCGCGAACCCTAAGTTCTAAACCGGTCTTATTTAAACAATATGGTACGCCCTGGCGGCGTGTGTTTTCGAGGCAGAAAACTATATTGTGAAGGCCTGCGTCTCTATGTAAACCCCTACCGCCCAAACCTCAAACTCGAAACTCTATACCATACTACAAAGCTCCAAACCCCAACGCCCTACCCCACCCCCGACCTTCTAAACCCGAAACCCTTGACCCTAAGCCCGAAAAATCCTTACACGCTAAACCCTAAACCCCTAAACCCTAAACCCACACTGCCCAAGTCATGGGGGTGAACACACCTCCCCTGCAGCGCAGCGCAGCGCGGCCACGGCGTCGCGCACGGAAGGCCGGGCGCGGCAGCCGAAGACTTGGAACTTTGGTGTTTAGCGTTTAGGGTTTAGGGTTCAGGGGGGGTTTAGGGTTTAGGGTTTTAGGGGCTGCTTTTAGCGTTTAAGGAATAGGTTAAGGGTTTTAAGGTTTAGGGCATAGGGTGCAAAGCTAAAGGGTTTTGGGGAATCGGGCTTAGGGCTTGGGGTCTGGGCTGAGGGCTTGGACAATCGGGTTCAAAGGTCTGGGGTTTAGGGTGTACGGATTAAGGTTCAGATTTAGGGTTGAAGGTTTAGGGCTTAGGGTGGAGGGTTAAAGGTTTAGGGCTGAGGGTTTAGGGTTTAGGATTTGCAGGTCAGGGTCAGGGTTCAGGGCTTTACTAAATAGCTCCGTGCTTTTGTCGGGATCAGCTTCTGTGCCATGTGCGTGTCGGTTGCAGTGGGGGTGGGGAAGGGGCGCCACACTTCACAATGCCACAGAGGGCAGAAAATGCATCGCACCGCACCTTCGGCCATATTCGGCGCCGGTACCTGGAAAAAAGCCCGATGTGCCTGGCACCGGGACGCTCGGGATGATTGAAAACTCACCTTGGGTGCTGCCGACCTCAGTCTTCCTGGCACACATGCCGATGGGCAAAGTTCTCTTGAGATGCTGCATGTTTGGCAACTGAACAACGGTTGTTGAGTCACGGTCGGCCTGGGCTGCGGAAGTGGCTGCGGAGGCGCATGCCCCACATCGCAGGTCCTATCGCGCCCCCCGCTGCTGTAGCTGTCGGACCTTCTTGCCAGTACTCTCTCGCACAGGATCATCAGGCACGATGCAGCCCGCTCGGTTGCGCCAATTCCCGCTGACAACGTTGTCCTTCTGCGCCGGTGTGAGAGCATCTCATCTGGAGTCGTACGTGGTTTCAAGGGTCGTCATCTCAACTTTGAAGTAACCAGGAAAAAAGTACACGGTACTATTTCATTATCCAGGGCGATTGTGGTCTAGAAGCCTCGCTGGCAACCTTGAGTGTGCTGTGGTGCCCTGGTCAGCAATCGGGCCCTCATTGTCTGTGACGATGCCAAGCCGACGCGATCCCTTCTGATGCGTCGGACACGCCTCATGGTTGTCCACTTTGACCTTGCATGTTTGTGCCCCAAACTTGGTGACACGATCGCCAGCCCGGCACTTCCATTGTGTCCATGCCGCACATGCTGTCATCCGAGACTTCTTGTATGAAAACTGGAACTGTTGGATATGAGATTCTCGCAGGTTCCCCATGCGCTGTCGTTTTGTTCTGCATTATGCATCATGGACTAAGAAGCAATCGCCGAGTACGCGGACATCCCTCCTGCTGACGCCAACGGAGCTCATCCGCATTTCGATGGTGGTAGACGTGTACGGTTTAGGATTCAAGGTTTCAGGCTTAGGGTTTAGGAAGTGTTCTCCAGGTTTCAGAAGGTCTACATGTTCAGGGTTCAGGACTTGTCAGGGGAGAACCCAAGCAATAGCGTGTGCGAAGCTAGCCTCAACTTGAACCCTTAATCCCTAACCTTCTGAATCCTGTATAAGCCCTCAACTGTCTAAATCCCTAAACCCCTAAACCCCAAGCCCGACATGCACCCAGAGACTCAAATATCCCTTGATTCAGGAATATGACTTAAATTATAGTAGGCTCCCAAATGTGATTTAAGACATGTTCCTTAACTAAGGGATATGAGACTGTCCGAGAATGGGGAACCAGAATAAAATGCCCTAGATAGTAGGATCCTTTCTATAAGGACCCCCAAATATGGTACCCCTACTTTTCGGAAACTCGAAACTCTTATAGAGCCCTTTAAAGGAGCCCTTATAGTACCCTTGCAGTAACCCTTCAAGGGAACCTTAGGTGCCCCTCATTTTCGGAAACTCCCATATTGGGGGCAGGAAGCTCCGAAGCTCATTCGCAAAGGAGGCGTAGGCGACGTTTGCAGTACCTCGTAAACCCAGACCCCCGCGGGGAGGAAAACAAGATCTCCGAAGTTAATTGTTGGGTAGTTGGGCGCCCTGGGTTAGGTTTAGGGCTTAGGATTTAGGGTTTAGAAAGGTTTAGGGTTGATAAGGATTTATAGGGCTCATGAGATCTAGAAAGTAGATCCTTGAATTTGGGACCCTAACTACCAAAGGTTACTTAACAGGAACGGCCTTCAGAGATTTACTTTTTGGATCCTCCCGGGGGTCTGGGAATAGGGTGGGGAATTTAGGTCTTGTAGGATTAAGGACTTTGAAAACCAAACCCTCCACTCTAACGCAGGCATCTTTTCCTCTAAGGGTTCCGTTATGGATTCCCTAAGGGTTCCTTTCAGGAGTCCACTGAGCATTTTTTTGAGGGTTTCTTTAAGGGTTTCTTTAAGGCTTCCTTGATGGGCTTTTGCAGGGCCTACGTGGTTCACTACGGTTGATGATATAAATCCTGCATCACCCATAATGAGGAATACGCCATAATTCCCATAGTTTGGGGTCCATAAGGTAATGCAGGATTTATATCATCAACACTAGGGGTTGATGGATCCCCCTTCCCTTGAGGGTGTGTGTTGATGTTTGTCGGGGTTTTGTAGCATTTTGAAGTTCAGGATCTAGGAAGACTAAGATCCGTTTTATAACCCCTTAATTGCAGAGGAGGGTTTACTAATCCTAAACCGTAAACTTAAACCCTCGTTAAACCTAGGAACCTGCACCCTAAACCCTAAACCCTAAACCCCTAAACCCTAAACCCTAAACCCTTAACCCTTAACCCTTAACCCTTAACCCTAAACCGTGCCCTGAATCCTGAACCTGACATCCACGCTTAACATAGACTCTGCAGCAACTCAAGGAGCTCCTAAGGTCCTAAACCCACGGTTTAGGGTTTAGGGTTGGAGGATCATGCGGCTTAGTAAGTAGGGCTCCTTAAGGGAGTTCCTTAAAGGGTTCCCTTTAAGGGGTCTATAGGGGTTTAGGGTTTAGGCTCTACTTGGAGGATCATGGGACTTCGTTTGTAGGGTTACAAGTACCTTAACTGGAGTTATAAGTAATTGTAAGTACAGTTACCTTGATTATAACCCTAGTTACTAAGTCCAATGATCCTTTAAGTAACTCCTAAGGTCCTAAACTCAAAAGGGGCAAAGGAGGGACCCTTAATGAGGACCCCTACCCTATTATGGGCTTTATAATGGGTATATAACAGCCATATAAAGGGTATATACCTAGGGGTCCTTATTAAGGGTCCCTCCTTTTCCCCTTTGATAAACCCTAACCCAGAAGTCCACGGGCTGAAACCCTTAAAGCTGAAGCCCGTATAAACCCTTACAATATACCCTTGGGAATTAGGGTTTAGGGTTTAGGAACTAGGGTTTAGGAATTAAGGTTTAGGGTATAGTAAACCCTATAAAGTTGCAAACCGGATTAAGGCCAAATAGTGCTGGGATTCCCTTTACATTACTCTTAAGGACGGAGGCTATTGGGTTTCCAACTTTTGGGCTTCTACTGTACAAAGAACCCCATGGAGAGCCAAAACTCTAACCCCACACCCAGCAGAATCCTAAGTCCCTAGCAAACCCAGGTTAACACCTTATGGTTGTAACTCCCACGTAGGGGCTGAGTACCCTAGCCCGGATTACATAAGCCCCGACGAGCTAAAGGTTGCCTACTCAGCTGCTAAGCCCAAAAAGTCCCCGTACACCACCCTGAGAGACGAAACCCAAACTGTTGCTGTGTAGAAGACCCTGACCCGGTGTAGGGTTTAGGATTTAGGCAAACCCTAAACCCCTACACCCTACCCAGACCCTACAGAACCTATCTTTTTAGGGCTCCTTACTATGATCTCCCTATGTTATGTCCTTAAAAAGGGTAGGTCGTCTGGGGTCCAGGTAAACCCCAGGCTTCGGCGCTTGAGGGCTTCAGTTTAGTGGCTTTGTATTCATTCTATACTAGGATACCCAGTAACCTAAGAATAAAAAGGCCTCTCTTTTTGGTATTGGGTAACTTTATAAGGAACCTAGGACGAATAAGGGTACTACTGGGCATCCTAGTATAGCTCCTTATAACTAAGCCTAGTACAGTAAAGTAGGGATGTCCGTTCTTGCAAGGCGACCTACCAAGCTCCTGGGCTGCAGCCCAGCCCAGCGTACTGCTGATGAGCCCCAGCCGAAAACAAAATCACCCACAAAGTAGGGTCCCCATACCTTTCTTTGTACTATGGATCCCTATATGGTATATGAAGCCCTAAACCCTAAACCCTAAACCTTAATACCCTTTTAGGAGCAGCCCAGGGTGCTGCTGATGAGCCCCCGCCGGAGGAGGCGCCGCAAGTGGGCAAAGCCGGCTTGAATCGCCGGGTCCTGAGGGCGAGCTGAGGGCTGAAACTGGGGGGTCCCTCTTTAGGGTTCCTGGCTTTTGGGGTTTAGGGTTTAGGGTTTAAGGGGCTTAGGGTTCCTGGCTTTTGGGGATTAGGGTTCCTGGTTTAAGGGGCTTAGGGTTTAGGGTTTAGGGGTTTAGGGTTTAGGGTTTAGGGGTTTAGGGGTTTAGGGGTTTGGGGTTTAGGGTTTAGGGGTTTAGGGGTTTAGGGGTTTAGGGGTTTAGGGGTTTAGGGGGTTTAGGGGTTTAGGGGTTTGGGGGTTTAGGGGTTTAGGGGTTTAGGGGTTTAGGGGGTTTAGGGGTTTAGGGGGTTTAGGGGTTTAGGGGGTTTAGGGGTTTAGGGGTTTAGGGGGTTTAGGGGTTTAGGGTTTAGGGTCCCCGTTTACTTGGAGGGTCGGTGGACTTAGTAAGTAGGTATTACAAGGACTCATCCCGACCCTCCAAGTAGGGTTCCGGGTTCCTCAAAGGGATTTTGTAAGGGTTTGGGGTTTAGGGTGGTTCCTCACGGCTTTGAGCACTATATAGGAACCCTTTAAGGCCTCAGTTAATAATATACCATATCCTTAAAGGGATCTATACAGGCTTCTACAGGGCCTCCATAAGGGTACCTTTATGGCAGCTCTCTACATTAGTGTCCCTTTTTAGGTCCCCAACATAGGACGGCACCCTCACAAAAAGGACCCTTCAAAGCGGACCGTGAATTAGTAGCCTAAACCCTAAACCCTAAACCCTAAACCCTAAACCCTAAACCACCCAGATTGAGGATGCGGGTTGCCCTGACAGCCTCGAGAATCCAGGCCCCCCCCGAAACACTCAACTTCAAACCCTGAACCTTTGAAGCCATGAGAGTGGTTGTCAAAATCATGGTCCCTTTCTGGGTCCTTAATATAATACGGCACCTACTATTTAGGGTACCCAGACAAGGGTCATAATTTTGACAACGACCCATGAGCCCATACCCTTCACTATAAACCTTCATAAGGCTTTATGAGTTTGTGTACACTGTTTGTCATGGTTCATCCGCATGCAAAATCTTTGCATCCGCGTGCAAAGTTCAAGGGCTAGAGTTCGGGGCTGCGGATGGGGCACCAATAATCAGAACAGAGTTCCTTTTTTTAAGCACACTGACCTTGGCTCCGCAGGATCCAGGCCCACCCCGAAAAAAAGTGTACTTTAGGAAACCACTGCAGCAGTATTAGAGTTCCTTGTAGGGTTTAGGGCTTTTAGGGTCTAGGGTTTATAGTGTTTAGGGATAAGGGATCTCTATGGGCTATTAATATAAGTAAGTGTTCATTGATGTCAAGGACTTACTCATGAGAATGGGGTTTTAGGGCACATTACAGTGTGAAGCTTTAGTGCTTACTTACGCTTCTACGTTAAGGATCCTCTCTAAACATCTTGTTTGCTTTTCGGAGATCTGGTCCCAAAGTAAAAACCCTAGAGCCTAAACCCTAAACTAAGCCCTAAACCCTTTCAGGCGGTATGTCCCTGGGTAGACGGTGCGCAGGAAGCACTGGTTTTGGAGATCCCTCAAAAGGAAAGCACCAACACCCAAGAATGGGAACAAGCTAAAAAGCAAGCGGTTTAGGGCTGCCCAAGAGCCTCTGAAGAGTTGCCTAAACCCCACCTACCGTTTTAAGGACCTACACAAGGAAATCATAGTAAGGAGCCTTAAACAGGTAGGTTCTTTAGGGTCTAGGTAAACCTTAAAGCAGGGGCTCACGAAGTCTGGGGCGGCCGCACCTCATCCCACTCTGCCGCGCTGGTTGCCGCGTCGGCGTCTTGGACATAGATCTCCTGCCCCGGAGGCCCGCAGACCCAGTAATAAAGGGGCCTCAATAATGAAAACATGGTTTTGATGTGTATTAAAGTATTATACTATAACTATAGTAAGGAGCCCTGAAAGTAGTATAGGTAATTGGTAAAGCCCCTATAGTAGGGCGGACTTGGAGGTTCGGGGGTTGATTGTCACTTAGCTGTGTGTAAAAAACCATTTACGAGTCCCGGAAGTCGGCTACCTATAGTTATCAAGTGACACGGTTGTTGATGTAAATCCTGCATTACCCGTAATAAGGAATATCCCATGATTCCCATAGTTTAGGGTCATTAAGGTAATGCAGGATTTATATCATCAACGGTATAGCTACGGTCTTAACAGGGTGTTCAGGAAGCTGAACCTCCGAGCAGGGTTGAGTGCGTGGTGCTGGTCATATTGTGCGAGGTTTTATGAACTGCTCGACCCACCAAACCTCCAAAGTTCCAACCCACAAGACCCTAGACACTAAAACCCAAGAAGCTAGAGCTTACCACCCTGAAACCCTACCGCCCGAACCCTCTGAGATCAGCACTTCGGCGCCTGGAGCGCCGCGAACTCCGGTCCGCCCGTGGCCGCTGCGTCGGGAAGAAAGAGCCTTGGGCTCGGGGTTTGGAGTTTTCCGGTTTAGGGTGTTGTTTTTTTTTAAGTGCAATGGTGTTTAGGGTTTAGGGTTTAGGATTTAGGGTTTAGGGTTTAGGATTTAGGGTTTAGGGTTTAGGGGTGTTGTTTAGTGTTCCGCAGCCCTTAGAATTACTTGGAGGGTCGGGGGACTTAGTAAGTAGTTATTTTCGAGACTTATAAATGCCATAACCCAAATTAGGATCCCTTTCAAGGCACTTATAAGTCTACTTAGTACCTACTTACTAAGTCCCCCGACCCTCCAAGTAGGGTGTTGTTTAGTGTTCGGGGTTTGGGGCTGGTTCAGGGTTTAAGGTTCGGATCTAGGGTTCAGGCTTTGCGGTTTAGCAGTCTCTACCCAGACCCCCGGGAGGATCCAAAAAGTAGATCCCTTAATGGGGGTTCCTATAAAGTACCCTTAGTAGTATAGGGCCCCAAATTAGGGGATCTACTTTCTAGATCCTCCCGGGGGTCTGGGTAGTTGAGCTCGCTACCGTGGTATCGGAAATCATCCCACCCGCTCAAGAGTCCCGTAACATCAGGAACCCAATCTACTTAACCCTGAACCCTAAGGGAACGCATAGACCGTAGAGGCCTGCATCCTAAGCCCCAAAGCTCAAATAGTGAGATCTAGGCTAGGCTGTTCAGTAACCCACTGGGAAAAAGTGGATCCTGTTTTAGGCTTCTTATCTTATAATAGGAACCCAGCAACCTGAAAATAAAAAAGTGTACCACTGAACAGCCTGGCTAAGGTCTGCATCCTGAACCCATGGCCTGAATTAAAACACCCTGAGACCGAAATCCTGACCCGCAGGAACCGATGCCCGCGAAGTTTTCGGCAACGGACGCGAAGGCTGAAGTAGCCATTGCCCACGAATGGTTTAGGGCTTAGGGCTTTTAGGGTTTAGGGTGCTTAGGGCTTATATTGGGTTTAGGGATGAAAGCCTCATGGCAAAATCAAGAAAGACAGGTGTAGGGTATAGGGCTTCACGAACCTCCAAGCGCGGTGTAGCATTCTGGACTTACGGTTTTGAAACCCGGTTCCCGGAACCCCTAAACCCTAAACCCTAAACCCAAACCCCTAAACCCAAACCCCTAAACCCTAAACCCTGAACCCTAAACCCTAAACCCTAAACCCCTGCAGCCCAAAACACTAAACTCAAACTCTGTAGGGGCTCTGGGGTTCAGGCTTCAGGGGAGGGCTTTCGGATTTAAGCTCCCTAGGATACCCAGTAACCTAAGGGTGTCTAGGATAGGGTTGTTTTAAAGGTTCCTTTAAGGATTCCTTTAGATGAGGGTTCCTTTAAGGGCTTGTAGGGTATAAGGGGTAGTATACTAGGATACCTAGTAACCTAAGAATAAAAAGGCCTCTCTTTTTGGTATTGGGTAACTTTATAAGGAACCTGGGACTACAAAAAGGGAATAAGGGTACCACTGGGCATCCTAGCTCCAGGGAGTTCAGGGTTCCCCTGGGTTTAGGCGTTTGAAGGCTCTGGAGTTTAGGGATTTAGGGTTTAGGGTTTAGGGTGTAGGGTTTAGGGTTTAGGGTTTAGGGTTTAGGGTTTAGGGGGAGTTTGACCTTCGACGAAAGTATGGCTCAGGCCTTTGTCTTGGTGATTTTCGCTGCGTTTCGGGTTTAGGTGCTTGGTGTCTGTCTTGGGTTTATGTTTTGTGGTTCAGATTTCGGATATGACAAGGTATAAGGTTGAGGCCATATCGCCCTCGGCTTTAACGTGCAAGTACTATAAGGGCCTTGAATGCATGTAATTGGGTTTGGGGGTGTGCTAGAATATATTGTAATAAAGGCGCCTCACGAGATCCTGTTGATGATATAAATCCTGCATTACCTTAAGGACCCAAAACCATGGAATGATGGTTTTTTCCTTATTATGGGTAATACGAATTTATATCATCAACAGTAGTGCAGTGTTTGTGCTTCGGGTGCAGGGCGGCATGTGGTCCCTCAGTTGGGCAGAGGCGGCCCTGTTAAAACCCTACACCTGTAAACCCCTAAACCCCTAAACCCAAGAAGCCTCAGGCAGCCCGAGTGGTGCCGAGGGCTACGACAGATTGTTGAGCTTCTTGAGATGTGATCTGCCCACAATCTCAGAATTAGAGGGCTTTTATAAAAACCCTCTATGCAAGATGGGCTTCTTATAAAAACTCTCAGAATCTGAGCGCACATCGATGCGCGACCTTGATGCGTCCTTGCGCTCCACCCCACCCAGAAGCCTCTGATGCAATCCCAGCAAGTTTGAAGTGTGGCAGGACCCGTGGGGTGTAGGAGAAACGTCCAGGTCCGTCACTACGCATTGAACAAAGCCGGTGGATGGAAGCCGTGGGCGTGAGAAAGCTGGCAAGGGACAGCTCGCACAGTACTTAAAGGGCCATGGGACTTAGTAACTAGGGTTATAATTAGGGTAATATACTTGTAATTACTTATAACCCCACTTAAGCTCCTTATAACCCTACTTACTAAGTCCCATGATCCTCTAAGCATGACCCAGGGCCATGGCACGCTTTGCGCGTGCAAGGTTCGTCACTCTTGCAAGACTTCCGGCAGAATCCGCTCAAACATTTTCGGCTTGGAGTTTAGGGTTTTGGGTTTAGGATTCTTCAAAGCCAAATCCACTAGGGTTTACAGATGAGGGTTGAGGGTTGGAAATACGTCTTGCCTGAATAATTGCTAGTCAACCAAAGGACTTGAACAATGAGCACAGGGCTTTAGGGGCATATTACGTATAGAAAGAACAAGGAACCCCAAGGTATGATACTGTATACTATTCAAATTTCTACACCAAAATCCCCCGGGATTCTGGGAATTAGAAGGGGCTCACTTCTTGGTGGGGAACCCAAAAACTGGCCCATTGGAAGACCTAGTCTCACTGGCCCAAAACCCAAAGGCATAAAAGTTGAAACATGTTGAAACTTTCAGAATCGACTGCCTTCTAAGAACCCAAAAGTTGAAAAATTTGAGTTTAGAGCCAATAAGTAGTAGTAGAAGCCCCCGGCAGCCTGGTTCAGCCCAGACACACCGGCGCCGAGGACTCCGGTGGGGGACAGCCCTTTTCCTGCCCAAGGTGCCACTCAGGTGGGCTTTGGGTTTAAGGCTAAACCCTAAACCCTGAACCCCTATACTCTTCAATCCCTAAACCCTAAACCCCTATACTCTTGAATCCCTAAACCCTAAACCCCTGTACTCTTAAATCCCTAAAACCTGAACGCATAAACCCCAAGCTAGGGTCCAGGGTTTGCGGCGGGGCGTTCTGTATACAGGTAGAGTACGTGTGGTCGACAGCTGCTGGAGTCTGGACTCACATAGGCTGTCTGTTCTGATTTAGGGTTTAAACGGCGTAGGGTTTAGAGTTCAAATTTAAGGTTTTTTTTAATGTGTAGTGACTTTTACGTCTGCCAGCACATGAGGCAAGTTTAGGGTTTAGGGCCTAGAGTTTCATTGTTTGGGGTCTTGGCCTTGCGGCTTGAAGCTTTACAGCCTCAGGGCTGGTGGGGGGTAGTGATAACTCGCGGCCCTGCCGCAAGGCGAAAGCCTATTTACGCCGGAACCGAAAATCTTGACTGCACACCCTACCTAACCCTGAATAACCTACCTATTTTTAGGGTTCCTTATTATGATTTCCTTATATAAGTCCCTAAAGAGGTAGGTTATTTGGGGTTAAGGTAGACCCTAAACCGTTATCACTCGACTTGTCGGGTTAGATTAGAGTCTCCTCGCACCCCGCCTCGCGCCTGCATGCCGAGAGTCCAAGCGCCCTTCTTTTAGGACCCCGAAGAATAGGGACCCCCAAAACCACATAAGCATAAGCATCTTATAGTGATATCCCTACCTTATTGGGCTACATTATACGGCGCCTTCTATGGGATATCCCTATCCTAATTTTGCTTATGTGCTTTTTGGGGGCCCCGAAGAAGGCCGATTCTCGGTACGGTTTGGGGTGTAGGGTTTAGCGGATAAGCTTTAATTGGGTTTTGAGTTTAGCAATTTAGGGTGTTACGTTTCAAGCTAAATATCGATTTAAGCAGCTAGGTCTCCAGAGTTTAGATGAAAGCATACAGAAATCTACCCAAACCGCAAGCTAGCATTGCACCATCGCGACTACTCCTGAGAACTGGCCCCGGTCTCTCGACCCCCATTGGATGATGTCTGAAAAAGCAGCACTCACAGAGCCACGGTTTAGGGTTTAGGGCCAATCCCAGGCCATAAACGCCCGAAAACGCCAATGGCTCAAAGGCGGTCCTGGTAGGCCACCGCCGCCAGGCGAGCCAAGACCTGGATACGTTCAGATTCCGCACACCTCAACCCCTACACCTTCAACCGTAAACCCCCGAACGCTTAAATCCTAAACCCCTAGAGTTAATTCTTGGGTTTCGAAACCTAAAAGGTTCAGGGCTTCGGGCTGCGTTGCCACTAGACAGTTTGTGGAGCCTCCGTTGCAGGGTGAAGGCCAAAGACGGCTAAAGCAGGTTTCATGACTTGAGGTTAGGGTTCACGGTTTAGAGTTTAGGGTTCCTTGGGCGCCCCCCTAGATGCAAACATCCTCAAACACCAAAATGAACGCTTGACATAACCTGTTTGCTGAGCCTTCCGAGTTTCCAAAGCACATGTTCACGCTTCAGAATAAAGCGGGCAGGTCATTCTGAGACTGCGAAACTGTTAGCCCAGTACAAGTTTTGCAAACTCGGCACTTGCGAGATGACTCGAAAATAGAATTGGGGTCTTTTGGCTTGTACTTAAAGGGTCATGGGACTTAGTAACTAGGCTTATAATTAATTAAGGTAACTATATTTATAATTACTTTCTAACCCCAATTACGTAGGGTACTTATAACCTTACTTACTAAGTCTCATGGTCCTCTAAGTAGATTCTCCATGGCAAGCCTGAGAGTAAAACATTGGGTGACAAAACTCCTTACACCGGCACCCGAAGCTCAAAACACCATGCAGCATCAACGGCCCCCGAACTCACCGAAGCTATCGAAGCCTCAACCGTTTGTAGGAACCGCAACCTCAAGAACGGACTCTTGAACCCTGACCTGAACACTCAAACGACAAGAAAACCCGAAGGTAGATCGCGTTCCTGAAAGATGTGCTTCAGGCCGTAGGGTTTGGGACTAGTATTCGGGGCTTAGGGCTGATATAGGTTTTGGAGGCCTCGACGTAGGGCCCAACCCGGCGCAGTGAGCTGGCAGCTTGGGATGCCAACCTTGCTTTGAGAGTTCGCGTTCTCGTCATTGGGGCTTAGGGGCTGCAGCATGTTCTCATGGCTTGAGGAATCGGATGGAGTGAACAGTCACCTAGCATGCAGGGATTCGGGTTCAAAGCCAAGTGAAGGGTCTATGCTGGATAAACAAGAGACAATAAACAAAAGCTTAAACGCTTGAAGGAGCAGGGTAGGTAAGTCTAAAAAGTAGGGTCGCAAGCAGGGTAACGGGTAACCTAATGGGAGCAGCCTCCAGCTTCAGTATCATGACCGACGTACTTGCTCAGTCCTGAAGCAAAACAAACCCTATAAAGCCCTAAGCCCTAAACCTCAACCACCCTTACTCGTAACCCCTAGGCCCTAATCAAATCCCACCCTCAACCCCAAACCCGAAACTCGCAACCCCTGCCACCAAGCCCTAAAGCCCTCATTCCTAAATCTCCGATGTCGCGTGGAAAGAACTCGTTGTGGATAAAAAAGCCTGGCCGCATCAGCCAGCAGAGCTCGGCACCCGGGGAGATGCAAATGCCTCAAGTAGGGTTTCCAGTTGAGGGCTTTGAGGGTTTAGGGTTCGGGTTGAGGGAATTGAAAGTTGAGGGCTTTGATGGTTCAGGATTTACGCTTCAGGGCATAGAGGGCCGGAGTTCGGATTTTGGGCTTTTGAGCTTAACTAGGGTTTAGGGGGTTTAGGGGTTTAGGGGTTTAGGGGGTTTTGGGTTGAGGGTGCCTCTCCCTAAACCCCGAACCCTAAACCCAGTCTAGGGTTCTCCTTCTCCTGGGAAGTCAAGGCTGGTTGACCTTCCAGAACCAGGACGACTCAGAACCTCAAGCGCCAAGGTTTACCTCAACCCTAAACAACCTACCGTTTTAGGGACTTATATAAGGAAATCAGAACCTGAAAAAGGTAGGTTATTCAGGGTTAAGGTAGGGATTGAGGTTCAGGATGTATTATGGGGCGTTGTGGGGTACAGCGTTTAGAGCTTAGTCGTGAAGGCCTGAAAACCCTGCGACACCAATGCTCTAAAGCCCAGAAGCTCGATGGCAGGCGGGAGCTAGAACGATGACTCTGACATGGTTGTCAAAATTACGGCCCCTTTTTGGGTACCCTTACTATAAGCTGCCGTATTTTGATAAGGACCCAAAAAGGTACCCTAATTTTGACAACCACCCACATGACTACTGAAGCAGAAGACTTCGGTTTAGGGTTAAGGGGGGAGTTTGCTATACTTCTTACTCGAAGTCTTGCTGAATTACTCGGTCAGCTGATCTGTGAAGTAATACAGCGAACTTCAGTCACTGAAGTAGAGTCTCGGGGTAGATTCTAACGAACTCCCAGAGGGTCCAAGTGCCCCAAAATCCATACTCTGAGAGGTTTTTGGAGCTTGAAACCCTAAGATACCCAGTAACCTACGAATAAAAAGGCGTCTTTTTTTGGCATTGGGTAACTTTATAAGGAACCTAGGACTACAAAAAGGGAATAAGGGCACTACTGGGCATCCTAAAACCCTACAATATGGGCACTTGGACCGGACCGGTAGGGACTCGTTGCTGTGGCAGGTTTCTGGGGCTGGATGCACTTGGCCATCTACTTGGAGGATCATGGGACTTAGTAAGTAGGGTTATCAGTACCCTAATTGGAGTTATAAGTCATTATAAGTATAGTTACCCTAATTATAACCCTAGTTACTAAGTCCCACGACCCTTTAAGTAGGGTTTGGGGCTTCTCGTCCGCGGCTTGGGCGCCCAGGAAGGTACTGTAGTCCTAAAGGAACCACGGTGCTGAAGTCACGAGTCGTCGCCTGAGGGTTTTTCGTGTCTGCTGCAGTTACCTCAGCCCTCTGTCAAGGACAAACAGCGGGCACCCCTACATAACCTTTGTTGCGGTAGTGTTGTTCGCAGTTGGCCTTCTATTTCCCTTCCGGGGCCTGGAAGTAAACAGCACGAAACGCTTGATCCCAAACCTGAAGCCCCAGACCAAAAGAAAACTAAACCTGGGTTCAGGGTTTCTGGGGTTTGACGGAACAGGCCGACAGCTTTTCGAATAAACCTAAAACCCTAAACCCTAAGCTCTAATCATCTAACCCCTGCCCCCTAAACCCTAAGCCCTAAGCTCTTCATGAAAATCCAAGTGTCCCAAAGCCGCCGCCACATCCGCCATGTCCAGCGGCACATGGACCGTCTCGACCTCGCTATTTGGACGGGCCGTTAGGGTGACATACATAAAGAGGGTTTAACTAGGGTGTTGGTTTTCGGGGTTGAAGGTCCTTGGTTTGTGGATGAACTTTGGCTTTGAGGTTTAGGTGGCAGCATTTCACAAATCTATTCTGACATCCGAATTTCAGGCACGTCTGCAAACACACTCTCTCTGTCAGCTTGGCTTCTCTCCGCGATTGGGGTCCGCCTGTGAACAGCTCTTTTCTGCTCGACAGACGACTTGCTCTCCCAATCCCTATCAACCCTGAAACCCTGCACCTTACCCCCAAATCCTTCTTTTTTGAAGAATCCTAGGAAACTCTGCAACATCATTCCAACCCCTTGTACTATAGGAGCCTTAGAAATTTTTAACGGGGTTTGGGGGCCCAAGGGGCTACGCCTACGGGCGGACAGCGCAGGCAAAGCCTGGAGCAAGGCCACGCACCCGCCCTCCGCCGAACCCCGCTGATGCTGATGATGCGGGCGCCCGAATGCTCACGCGTTTCGCAGCCATTCCCCAGGCTATGGCGGGTTTCGGGGCCGCCGTGGACGACCCAGGAGGCGAGCCGGCGAGCATCATCAGCACTCGGGCGCCCGCAACCGGCCCTGTGGCGCGAGGCGATGAAAGGCCAATTCTTTGAGTGCGTTGCGGAAGCCCCCAAAAGGGCGCGCATCATCAGCATCAGCGGGGTTCGGCAGGGGCCGAGGGGCGGTGCGCATGGAGGGCCGACGAGGACTGAGAGGGCAAGCGGAGGGAAAACACAAGAACAAGAGACAGGTGCGAGGCCTTGCTCCAGCTCTGCCTGCGCTGCCCGCCCGTGGGCGCAGCCCCTAGAATTAAAATAGGGAACCCCAGAATAGTAGAGGTAATTATTCAGGCCCTATATTGGATGCCCCAACAACTTCCATCCAAGCAACGCCCGCCGGTGCTGGACCGGGCAGCGCGGCCGCCGCCACGAGGCCCGAAGTCGTCACCAAGCGGCCGCTGTCGGCGACCAGCAGAGTGTTCGCCTTCCAGTTCAAGGCTGTCAAAGCCTAAATAATTACCGTAATTACCTATACTAGTTTGGGGTGCTCCTTATGATAATAATATAATGGCTTACAGGGTTTAGTGTTCAAGGTTTAGGGCTTCGGGTTTAGGGTTTGAGGGCTTCGGGTTTAGGGTTTGACGGTTTTCAGGCTCAGGGTTTAGGGTGTAGGACTTTGCTGTGATGTTGCGCAGCATTGGGGTTCTGCAAGGGTTCGATAACGGTCCTCAGAGCGAGACTTATCAAGGGGTCAGAAGAGTTTAATCCGGGTTGCTCGGGTCTGATGCTAGCGGCCTTCATTATCAAAACAGAACTTTGGCTTGTGTAGAATTTTACAATTATGTAGGAGCTGTAAGGGGATGTGATCGCCAAGGGGTATGATTTCTTCAAAACACGCAGGCCTTGCAAATTTGAGTCCCCAAACCCTTACTTCTTGACTTCAGGGTCTGGCCTTTAAAAAAAGCCCAAACCCAAACTAAACCGTCTTGAAATCCCCAGACCCCAACTCTGAGCTCTAAACCCTTAACACTTAAGCCCTAAACCCGAAACCCCAAAAACCCTAAACTTACCTTCGGTTAGTAGGGAATGGAGGAATGGGGTACAATTATAATTAACTACTATTACTGCCATTCCTCCATTCCCTACTGACCAACGGTAAGTAGACCTAAACCCCCCAAACCCCGAACTCTTGTCCCCCCCGAGACCAAAGACGCCTGCAGCCACTCGAGGGTGCGTGCTGGAAGCGCCTGCAGTACGGCCTCCCACACGTCTGGGGTGTTTTGCATCCTAAACCATTAACCCTTTAAGCCCTACTGTAAGCCTAAAACCCCTAAACCTCGCAAAACCTCCTAAACCTCCGAAAACCTCCTAAACCTTCTAAACCCTGAAAGTTCAACCCTCGCAGGCCGTAAACCTTCAAACCCAAAATCCGGACAAGCTCGACACTAGATCCCAAACTCGAAGCCTCGGCCTGTCCCAAAACCGTTTAGGGGATAGGGTTTAGTGATTTAGGGGTTTAGGGTTTAGGGTTTAGGGTTTAGGGTTTAGGGTTTAGTGATTTAGGGGTTTAGGGTTTAGGGGTTTAGGGGCTTAGGGCTTAGGGTTTAGGGGCTTACGGTTTAGACTTGAAACCCCGGTCTTCAACTTAACCCTAAACCCTGAACCCCCGGTGGGTGTCGAGGTTGAGATATGGAAGTTGCGAAAGTAGGGGACCCTAATATAGTACCCTAAATGGTAGGATCCTTATTATAAGGACCCCAAAACAAGGTACCCCTTGTTTTTGGGGAAACTCCCATATCGCGCTCTAAGACTCAGCTCGGGGGATCGGCGTGCTGGACTCAGGGTTGGGCGAACAGATAATCACAGGAATCTTGAGGGTTTAACGGTTTAAAGGTTTGGGGTTTAGGGTTTAGGGTTTACAGTAAACCCCATAGAGTTGGAAATTGGATTAAGGCCAAATAGAGCTGAGTCTATACACTGCTCTTAAGCATTGAGGCTATTGGATTTCCAACTTTTGGGCTTCTACTGTAGAGCTGGGGGCCCTAATGCCCATAATGAACAGATAATGATAGGAATCTGAGGGGGGTAGGGGGCCTTACCCTAAGGCTCCCAAAGGGGTCATGGCCTTCCTGGGGGAGGCTTTGGGGGCTAAGGTTTGGGATTTGACTACTAGGGTCCTGGAGCATTGGAGTAATGCCCATAACGGTTTAGGGTTTAGGATTTTTTGCTTTAAGTGTGTTGGGCCTTTCTTTCTGCAAGCAGGTCGATTAGCTCACCCTTGTTAATTGGGTGCACCTGACGCCTGGGTTTAGGACCCATAACTAGGACCTAACAAGGCCTATTCAAGGAAATGCAGTCCCCTACCCCCTCCCCCCTACCCCTACCCCTTCTAAGGGTCCCTATAGGTGAGCAGACAAAGCCTACAGCTGAAATCCGACACAGCATCAAAACCCCGAAACCGAAGCCTTGACCCCAAGCAATCTCAACTCCAAACAAAGGACTTAAACCCAAGAAAACCCTGAACCCCAGACTGAAAACCATAAACCCTGAAACCCAAAGTCTAAACCCCAAACTCTAAACTCCGAGCCCTAAACCCGAAACGGTCCCGGCCAGCACAGTCTGAGACGAACCGAGCTGCGACAGATGCCTCAGAAGTCGCGGCAAGACGGAGGTAATTTTTTGTAGGGTTCCACAAGGGTTACTTGGAGGATCATGGGACTTAGTAAGTAGGGTTATAAGTAGCCATAATTGGGGTTATAAGTAAGTATAAGTGTAGTTACCCTAATCATAACCCTAGTTACCAAGTCCCATGGCCCTTTAAGTAACCCTCAACCCCCCTTCTGGAACCCTTATAGATCCCTTTAAAGGAACCCTTATGAGGAATCCCTATAGATCCCTTTTAAGGAACCCTTATTAGGAATCCCTATAGACCCCTAAGTAAGGGTTCAGGGTTTCGGGTTGGGGTTTAGGGCTCAGGGCTGAGACTTTAAAGTTGGCTATATATGGGTTCCATCAGCAGGAGTCGATCAGTCTTTAACAGTTGCCCAGACCCCCGGGAGGATCCAAAAAGTAGATCCCTGAATGGGGGTTCCTATAAAGTACCCCTAGTAGTACAGGGCCCCAAATTAGGGGATCTACTTTCTAGATCCTCCCGGTGGTCTGGGTGCATAAGTGTGCGATAAGGCTTCTATAAGGAGTCGGGAAGAAGGTTCTTGGGTACTTGGAGGGTCGGGGGACTTAGTAAGTAGGTGATAAGTAGACTTATACGTGTCTTAAAAGGGAGCCTAATTGGGGCTATGGTACTTATAAGTCTCTAAAATAACTACTTGATAAGTCCCATGATCCTCCAAATATTCATTATAAAGGCTCGGCTCTATACATGGGGTGGAGTGGTGGCATTTCTAGAGTGCACTTTGGGGTTTTGTAAGGGTTCATAATTTGTCAGAGCTTCACAGGGATATTGTAGGCGTTTGATGTGTTATAAGAAGCTAAAAAGCCTGATAAGTACAACATTCTTGGCAAAATACCGAGGATAAAGGCTTCGATGCTTCATCAGTCACAACAACAAGAAAACAACAGTTTTTACACTCTAAGCTCTAAAACCCAAATGCCAAGATCTGAACCCTACCTGGACTAAACCAACCAAAACCTGAGATCTCAACAACTTAGCACCAGACCCTCATTGCCAAATTCTCCGCGGACACCCGGTCTACTCCGAAACGCAGTCCAGGGGACGGCAGCGGGATTGCGGATGTGTCTGCCGAGGCATCCACCTGCGTTCGCTGGTTGGGGGCTGGAGCTTTAGACTTCGAGGCTTAGGGTTTAGGGTGTAGGGACCCCCAACCCTCACTTAAATGAACTCATTGTACTTAAAAATCCATCCCTACATGGGTGTTCTGCTTGCGGAGGTAAGGCTCGCAACTTCAACAGGCAGGCCCAAGGCCAAGAGACTTTCTAAACCCTCTGGGGGCTTAGGGTTTTTTTTTTTTAAAGTGCATCGGACTTTTGATTACTCGCCAGCCCGCCCGGTTCAGGCGTGCACTCCAAAATGGAAGGAAAACAAACACACTCACCGTTAGCATACTCACTCATCACGGCTTCGACTTCTTTCACGATGTTGTTGTACAGGAGCCCGTGCACGACGTCTTCCACTGGCACCACGACGACGACGTTGTAGAGGTGTGTTTCCCACTGGTTGAACAGGTTGATCTTGAGACCGATGGGCTTAGGGTTTTTAGGCTTTAGGGTTTGGTCTGGAGTACACCGGAAGTTGTAGGTCATGTCAGGTGATTCGGATGTTTGGTTCTCTTCGTATGGCTAAACATAAACGAGCGCTTGCAGCCCTGGCCACGTTATTTTTAAGCCGTGGATAGGGTTTAGGATTCACGACTAATGGTTTAGGGTTCAAGAAAACCATAGATAGAGTCCGCTCGCACCAATGATGAATCTTCGCATTAACCCTCGAAACCTTTACAGACGGAGAACCAAGTGAACATCGGAACACGTGACGCCAAAAGACCCTCTCCTCGTGCTATAGAGCTTAAATGACTAGTACAAGGTTGTGAGGAAAATGATAATGTAACTTTGCAGGGACCAAAGATCTAACGACATGTTCAGACCCCTATAGTCTCGCGGCGCCCTTGGAATGGAGATTTAAAAAATCACATGGTATCACATGCAGCTGAGGCAACTAAAGTATCAAAGGATCCCTAAAGGAGCCCCTTACCGGAACCCTTAAAGGGTCCCTTCCTTAAAGGAACCCTTAAAGAAACCCTTAAAGGAGCCCTTAAAGGAGCCCTTAAAGGAGCCCTTTAAGGAACCCTGAAGGGAGCCCTTGAAGAATCCCTGAAAGGAACCCTTGTCACCCTGTCCAACCTCCGGTGCTCTGCAGTTCAAGCGCATCAGGAAGGCCTGGCGCATGATTTAGCCGGTGGGCTCGGGGTTTAAAGGATTGGGCTTTAGGGTTTAGGGTGTGGGGTGCAGGGGTTTAGGGTTCAGGGTTTAGGAGTTCGGGGTTTAGGGGTTAGGGTTTAGGCTTTAGCGTTTCGGGAATGGGGGTGTAGGGTTGAGGGTTTAGGGTCAAGGGCTTCGGGGAATGAGTGTGCGGGGTTCGTGAGTTTAAAGGGTTCCTTTGCGGTTTGGAGAGGTTCATAACGCGCAACTGTAAAGCCTTAAGAATTTGGTCCTGCAGGGTGTTTTAGGGGTTTACGGTTTAGGGTTTGGGTCTTGGGGATTAGGGTTCAGGGTTTGGGCTTTGGGGTTTTAGGCTGTTGGGGATCAGGGTTGAGGGTTAGGTGCCCAGAGAGCCCCAAATCCCCTTAATTAAGGAATATAGCTTCAATCATAATATGAAGCCCTATATAACTTAAGCCATATTCCTTAATTAAGGGGATTCGGGGCTCTCTGGGTGAGTCTGAGGTTGGTGCAGAAACGTCGGCAACCCGAATCCCCGCAGGCCAGGCTCTGCCAACTGCTGGAGGTCCTTAAGGACTTAGTAACTAAGGGTTCCATAAGGGTTCCTTAAAAGGGATCTACAGGGATTCCTCATAAGGGTTCCTTTAAAGGGATCTATAAGGGTTCCAGAAGGGGTGTTTAGGGTTACTTAAAGGGTCATGGGACTTAGTAACAAGGGTTATAATTAGGGTAACTATACTTATACCTACTTATAACCCCAATTAGGGTACTTATAACCCTACTTACTAAGTCCCATGATCCTCTAAGTAGGGTTTTGGCTTTCGGGTTTCACGGTTCCCGCGGCCAGAACGGAGAAAGGGGTAAGTTATACTAAACTTATGCAGGGGCCGCAGTGCAACAGCTACTACTGTTGATGGACAAAATCCTGCATGACCCTAAGGACTCTAAGCTATGGGAACTATGGTACATTCCTTATAATGGGTAATGCAGGATTTTGTCCATCAACAGTATTGCGAAGTACTGCGGCTCCTTTGTCATGGCTCAAAGGTCAGGTCTTCACGGCCCCAAGGGAAACCTTCTACCCCCCAAAGGCTCTAGAAACCCAGACCGGGGTAGCCAAAGGTCTCTCTTTGAGGATGAAAAAGGCCAATACTTGCAGGTTCATTGGACTTAGTAACTAAGGTTGATTAATTAGAGGGGTCCTTAAAGAGATCAACAAGAGGGTATATAAGATGCTTTACTTATAACACCAACTAAGCTACTTGTAACTGTACTTACAAAACCCCATGAAGCCCAGAGCATATCACATACGCAGGTCTTGTGGTTGAATCCCACTAAAAACATGCATTTACTAAACCCTAACCCCTCATAATTACAGCGCTCGTTTCCTTACAGAGCCGCGTAAGAGACCTTATGGTACCCCTTGTAGAACCGTGATGGAACCCTTATGGTACACCATAATGCCCTTGTATGATAACTAACCTTGCCGAACCCTGGTAGCCAAATGATGGCGCCCCTGAAAAACCCTTCCAGCACCCCTCACTTGGAGGGTCAGGAACTTAGTAAGTAGTTATTCAGCAGGCTTTTAAGCATCATCACCCCCAATTAGGATTCCTTGTAATTAAGGTACTGATAAGTCTACTTACTACCTACTTACTAAGTCCCCCGACCCCAGGACCTCAAGCCAAGCCAAGATCCCCGGCCCGAAACTATGCAAAAGTTTTTGCCTCCCACGCAATGGCCGCAGGCACCTTCGACTGCATTTGCAATTGAAGGTTTAGGGCCTAGGGCTTGGGGTTTGGGTTGCAGGGGGTGAAACACGAACTCGAAACCTGAAAACTTACCTTTGGTTAGTAGGGAATGGAAGAATAGTAGTTATAATTGTATCCCATTCCTCCATTCCCTACTAGCCAAGGGTAAGAAAAGCTCAACCTCAAGGCAAACGCTAATTCGACGCGAGGGCAACCGGTGGTGCTTGCTCGTGGTTCGGTCTTCAGCAGTTTAGAAGCCTTAGCATTTAAGATGGGTAGTTGTCAAAATTAGGGTCCCTTTAGGGATACCCTAAATAATAGGTGCCGTCTTATCATAGGGACCCAAAAAGGCACCATAATTTTGACAACCACCCACATGACGCCCAATGTTTGGTGAATTCCGTTTGGGGTTTAGGGCTGTAGTGTCCTGATGGCCTGGTCAGGCATTAGGACCAGAGACTCTAATATCCCTTAAATTGGGCTTGGGGGTTTACGATCTAGGGTTCAGGGGTTAGGGTTTAGGGGTTAGGGTTTAGGGTTTAGGGTCTAGGGTTTAGGGTTTAGGGGTAGGGTTTCGAGGCTTGGGTTGAGGGTCTAGGGTTAAAGGATCCAACTTAAAGAACCATAATTTAGGGTTTAGGGTTTAGGGTGTAGGGTTTAGGGTTTAGGGTTTAGGGTTTAGGGTTTAGGGTTTAGGGTTTAGGGTTTAGGGTTTAGGGTTTGGGGCGGGATCCAGAGCTCAGAACTACTTGACCTTAACTTCCGGCCACCGCAACAGACACAACTCAGGATCATGTAGGATGAACTGCGATCCCTCTGAGCTGGTACAAACCAAATCCTCCCTAAACCCTGAAGCTTAGGGGTTGAGGTGGCATGCTGAAGCCTAAACCCCAAAATATCTCTCCCCGAATCCTTGATCGCAGGCTCGGGCACGCTATCCTCAGCCTTCTTCCCGCCGTAGGGGAGGCCCACGGCCCGAGACCCGGGACTGAGAGGCACCTGGCAACCTGGCATCTTCAGGGTGAGGAGTTTGGGGTTTAGCGGTTTGGGGGTTAGGGTTTAGGGTTTAGGGTTTAGGGTTTAGGGTTTAGGGTTTAGGGTTTAGGGTTTAGGGGTTAGGGGTTAGGGGTTAGGGTTAGGCCTAGACCCTACCCTCAAGGCCTCTGTATGCTTTAGTGCGGTTTGCTGAAGCCTAAGACCTAATCTCAAGCCCTACCCGCTGACCTGTTCGGGATTTTGGGGCTTGCAAGGTGTGGCTGTGTCCTAATCAAGGGACCTTGCAGCATCCGGATATGCCCTTCGGAGCCTTCAAGAAAAGCCCATATGGATAATCCGGAAAAGTCCTGAGGCTCTAAGCCACCATTTTGTAGTGCCCATGACCCCGACCAAAAAGCAAACCTTCTTCCTTGAGCCCTAAACCGGTAAAGCTCAAAGACTGGGCGCACGAAGCTGTTTGCTGCGGTGTGGGGTTAAGGATTCATGGAAAGACAAGCCCTTTTCCCCCCAAGGGTCCAAGTACCTAATAATCATGTACTCTCCAAAATCCTAACCTACATAACTACTATCCTAAAACCGAGTACATAATTAATGTGTCCTTTGGACACTTGGGGTCCTTACCAACTCCGCCCCTAAACCGGCACGGTAAACTCTTCCATGAGCACTCAATCCAAGCCCCAGACGTCGACTCACGACCCTAAACGCTATGTCTAGAAACCCTGAAATCTGAAGTGGAACTGCGGAACCCTAAACTCCGAACCCTAGAAACCCTGAAACCTTTTTTGGGGGAACCCTAAACCCCGAACCCTAGAAACCCTGAACAAAAGGCCTAAACCCCTCAACTCGAAATCCAAAACCCCATACTCGCACCCTTAGAAACCAGGCCTTCAAGAATGCAAGGTGGTGGGGCGGGCCTTACTCTCCTTAAACCCAAAAACCTTCTAGGACTCTGAAACGAAATCCCAAACTCCTTTAGAACCCTCAAGACAGCATTCGGGACCTAACCGCGCTTCAAAACAAACATTCCCTCCCCTCTGAGAACAAAATTGCAAAAGCCCTACAATTTCTGAACTCCTAAGGCTCCCAACCTTAAAGAACCCTCAACGGAAGCCTGAAACGAACCCTTGCAGGAACACCCTTTAAGAGTAGCCGTTGAAAAGAACCCTCAAAGAAGCACTCTGTTAACAGGAGCCTCTAAACAGAACCGTCGCAGCCACCCTAAACCCGTAATCCCTCGACCTCAATTCATCCCTGATCCCTATATAAGCCTTCCCCCAATTCCTAATTTACTAATGCAGGGGCCTTAGTCATTAGAATAGGCTTTTTCGGGGTTTCCTTATTATAGCTATAGTATACTATACCCCCAAACCCTAGTCTAATTCGTAATCCTTAAACCCCAAAACTTATTGTGGTTATAGTAGAATCTACCCCCAAACCGTAGTCAAAATATTAATCCTTAAACCCCCAAAGCTCGACGCCAGGCAGCCGATGGCGGTCGGAAGCATCGCCATCGCAGCGGTCAAGGCGCCAGCCGGACCCGGGCCAGGGACCAGGGCAACTTCGCCTTTACTTCTTTAAGGTTTAGGATTTAGGAGGTTGGAGGTTTTGGAGGTTACGATTTCTAGGTGTCGAGGTTTTGTTTAGGACTTTTAGGGGGTGGAGGTTTAGGACTTAGGGGTTTGGAGGTTTAGGGTATGGCAGTTCGGTTCGGGGTGTGCGGTTTATTGTCTGAAGTCTTAAGGGTGATTCTACAGAAATCAACATGCACGTATCGTAGGATGGACAGGGACTCTATGGGGGGTATGGGCTTTAAGGAGAGTCAGGAGAAACTAAATGGAAGGAAGCTGTGAGGTAGAAACCTGCTCAATACACAGAAAGCAAAAGAGAATCAACGCTAAGAAACTGCTCGAAGTGTAACAATACTTTGGTTATGCTAACTTGAATGCGTGTGTGTGTGTGTGTGTGTGTGTGTGCGCGTACACGTGTATATATATATATATATGTACATGTAGATGTACATGTACATGCACTTGTATATGCATATGCATATATGTATATGCATATGTGCATGTATATGTACGTGTAGATGTGGATGTGTATATATATATATATGTATATGTATGTGGAAACAACATACAGGTACAAGCTACAGGTATCGACATTTCTGTATATGCAAAGTGCATGCGCATGTGTGTGTGTGTGTGTGTGTGTGTGTGTGTGTGTGTGTGTGTGTGTGTGTGTGTGTGTGTGTGTGTGTGTGTGTGTGTGTGTGTGTGTGTGTGTGTGTGTGTGTGTGTGTGTGTGTGTGTGTGTGTGTGTGTGTGTGTGTGTGTGTGTGTGTGTGTGTGTGTGTGTGTGTGTGTGTGTGTGTGTGTGTGGTGTGTGTGTGTGTGTGTGTGTGTGTGTGTGTGTGTGTGGTGTGTGTGTGTGTGTGTGTGTGTGTGTGTGTGTGTGTGTGTGTGTGTGTGTGTGTGTGTGTGTGTGTGTGTGTGTGTGTGTGTGTGTGTGTGTGTGTGTGTGTGTGTGTGTGTGTGTGTGTGTGTGTGTGTGTGTGTGTGTGTGTGTGTGTGTGTGTGTGTGGTGGTGTGTGTGTGTGTGTGTGTGTGTGTGTGTGTGTGTGTGTGTGTGTGTGTGTGTGTGTGTGTGTGTGTGTGTGTGTGTGTGTGTGTGTGTGTGTGTGTGTGTGTGTGTGTGTGTGTGTGTGTGTGTGTGTGCATGCATGCTAGCATGCTTGCATGCATGCATACATACACACATACATACGTACAGATGTGTAAATATATATATATATATATATATATAGAGAGAGAGAGAGAGAGAGAGAGAGAGAGAGAGAGAGAGAGAGACAGCGCCAGAGCCAGAGCCAGAGCCAGAGCCAGAGCCAGAGACACAGCCAGCGCCGGAGCCAGAGACAGAGACAGATAGATAGAAAGATAGAGGGAAAAATGTAGAGGGAGAGGGAGATGGAAAGGGAGAGGGCGAGAGAAAGAGGCAGGCAGGCACAACAACACCAAAACATGCCCCCAGCACCTTCGAAACCTTGAACCTGGACGAGGCAAGTGGCCCACTGCTGCATCGAACTGCTTCCGGCAGTCTCGCTCAAGGTCGCTCCAGTGGCCCGCACCTTTATAGCTGGTGAGGGTTAGGGATTAGGATTTAGGGTTTGAAAGGCACCGTAAAGTGTTCTACAAGGGCGTTTGGGGTCCAAATTTGTGTGTCTGCAAGCTTTTCTGGTTCAGTGTTTTGGGTCTTGTGGTCATACCATTCCGGGGCTTCCAGCTTTAGAGCTTTAAACACGAAGCGCTGCAGCTGCCTGTGGTAACCCTGCACCCCTTATCCGTGTAAGATCCTCAAAGTTCCTCTAAACCCTCAACCTAAATCCCCCAACTACCCTCTGGTATACCCTAAATACCCAGCATTAGTATCGGTGCCATAAGGGCTCTATTCATGGGTACTTGGCAACTTGGGGGGTCCTGGAAGCTTCTTAAAGGGTCATGGGACTTAGTAACAAGGGTTATAATCAAGGTAACTATACTTAAAACTACTCATAGCCCCAACTAAGGTACTTATAACCTTACTTACGAAGTCCCATGATCCTCCAAGTAGCCCTAAACCCTGCAGTATCCCTTATGCTTCCTCTTCTAGTAGCCCAAAAAAACAGACTCACCTAACCCTCAACCCTAATCCCAATGACCCTAAACCCGAAAATCCTAAACCTCTTAACCACCCTCAACCCTAAACCGTAAACCCAAACCTTACCTTTGGTTAGTAGGGAGTGGAGGAATGGGGTACAATTATAACTACTGTTACTACCACTTTTCCATTCCCTACTAACCAAAAGTAAGTTTTCAGGTTTCGAGCCCAAAGACCCAAACCCTAAATCAAAATCCCCTAAACCCTTAACCCTCAACCCTAAACCGTAGACCCAAACCCGGCCTGCCAGATCCTTCAGGAACTGGAGATCCGCCCACAACTGTTCCCGCTGCGCCAAGTCCTGCCGTGCTCCATCGACTGAAGGTCGCCTTCCCAGAGAGCCCAATACCCCCTGATTAAGGAATACAGCTTTAAATCATAATATGAAGCCCTGTATAATTTAAGCCATATTCCTTAATTAAGGGGTATTGGGCTCTCTGGGTTAGGGTTCGTCTAGGGTTCGGACTTAGGGGGTTTAGTGTAGGGTTCACCAAGGTTTGGGGTAGGATTTAGGGTTTAGGAAGCTTCCCAAAAAGGGGGACCATAAGGGATAATATACGGGCTACTACTGCAAGGGGAACTATGACAAAGAGGGTTGTCGTCTTTGACCCTACCTGGAAGGTTTCGGGACTCAGTAAGCACTTTTTTCACGGACTTGCACGCATCATAACTCAGAGGCTCCAATATCCCTTAATTAAGGAATATACCTCAATTGATAGTAGGACCCTTAATATGATTTAAGGAATATTCCTTAATTGAGGGATATTGGAGTCTCTGGGAACCCCCATTCGGTCGTAAGTCGGCGTATTACCTACTTACTAAGTCCCCCGACCTTCCAAGTAAGCCCAGGAACCCTTAAAGGAGCCCTTATCGGAACGCTGAAGCAACCCATAAAGGAATAAATCCTGAAACGAACCCTTAAAAGAACCCTGAAAGGAACCCTTGAAGGAAACCTTGAAGGAAACCATAAAGGAAACCTTGAAGGAACCCGTAGAGGAACCCTAAAAGGTCCCTTAAGTGAACCTTTAAAGCAACCCTTAAAGGAACCCTAAGTATATAAACCGTACACCGTAAACCGGACCCCTTATAGAACTCTCATATTATAGACCCCTTTAAAGGAACCCTTGTAGAATTCGTAGAGATCCCCTTAAGGGTTTCACTAACCCTAAACCCTACACCCTAAACCGGAAACCCTACCCTAAAACCCTAAACCGTACAAACCCCTAAACCCCTAAACACCCAAACCCTAAACCCCTAAACCCTGAACCCTAAAAACACCCAAACCCTAAACCCCTAAACCCTGAACCCTAAAAACCCCCAAACCCTAAACCCCTAAACCCTGAACCCTAAAAACCCCCAAACCCTAAACCCCTAAACCCTGAACCCTAAAAACCCGCAAACCCTAAACCCCTAAACCCTGAACCCTACAAACCCCCAAACCCTAAACCTCGAACCCTGAACCCTAAAAACCCGCAAACCCTGAACCCCTAAACCCTGAACCCTAAAAACCCCCAAACCCTAAACCCCTAAACCCTGAACCCTAAAAACCCCCAAAACCCTAAACCCCTAAACCCTGAACCCTAAAAACCCGCAAACCCTAAACCCCTAAACCCTGAACCCTACAAACCCCCAAACCCTAAACCTCGAACCCTGAACCCTAAAAACCCGCAAACCCTGAACCCCTAAACCCTGAACCCTAAAAACCCCCAAACCCTAAACCCCTAAACCCTGAACCCTACAAACCCCCAAACCCTAAACCTCGAACCCTGAACCCTAAAAGCCCCAAAAAACCCTAAACCCCGAACCCTGAACCCTAAAAACCCCAAAAAACCCTAAACCCTAAGCCGGACCCGTCCTCTTCTTGAAGGCCTACCCGGCGAAGCTCCAAGTGCAAGCTGAGGACCTCGGCTCTACATAGCGGCCCGTCGAAGTTAGAGTACGGCTGAGGGGTTTAAGGTTCAGGGTTTAAGGGTTTAGTTAAGGTTTCGAGCTTAAGGTTTAGGGTTTAGGATGTAGGGCTTAGGGTCTAAGGCTTAAGGGTTAGGGTTTAAAGTTTAGGGTTTAGGGCGTAAGGTTTAGGGCTCAGGGCTTCAGGTTAAGGGTTCAAGTAAGGTCTCGGTTACACGGTTCCTGAGGTTGCTTTTGAAGGCTTACTTGGAGGATCATGGGACTTAGTAAATAAGGCTATAAGTACCCTTAATTGGGGTTATAAGTAATTCTAAGTACAGTTACCCTAATTATAACCGTAGTTACTAAGTCCCATGACCCTGTAAGTAACCCTAAACCCCCCTTCTAGAACCCTGATAGATCCCTTTAAAGGAACCCTTATTAGGAATCCCTATAGATCCCTTTTAAGGAACCCTTATTAGGAATCCCTATAGACCCCTTTTAAGGAACCCTTGTAGAACCCTCAGTTAGTAAGTCCCATGACCCTTTAAGTAGGGTTATACGTTAGAAGCTGCCCCTACCCTGTAACACTGACTATAAGGATTATATAGGATTATATTAGGGCCCTACTATATTCCTATTATACCACTATTACAAAACCCTAAACCCCTAAACCCTAAACCCTAAACACTAAACCCTAAACCCTAAACCCTAAACCCTAAACACTAAACCCCTAAACCCTATTACAGGGTGGGGGCAGCTTCTAAGTTATAGGGTCTAAAGTTTAGGGTTCCCGGCCCGATGGCTCGGTGATTTCCCAGACAGCCCAACACCCCTTGTCTAAGGAATACCTACGGCTCCTTTAAAGGGATCCTTAAGGGTTCCTTTAAAGGGATCCTTTAAGGGATCTATAGGGTTTAGGGTTTTAGAGAGCCCAATACCCCCTGATTAAGGAATACAACTTTAAATCATAATATGAAGCCCTGTATAATTTAAGCCATATTCTTTAATTAAGGGGTATTGGGCTCTCTGGGTTAGGGACCGGAAACCAGAATAATCTCATAGGCTTTGGTGTTTGGGGTGCCTTAAGACTAGAGTTAGGTGTTATTGAAGAAGATCGGTTGAAAGGCTTTCGTGATCCTGGATAGGCTCTTATATGGCTGCTTCGTGAGGTTTGTATGGGACTTTATGCTGTCGTGCAGCGGGTTAGGCTTAGTATGGAATAAGCTTCTGAGAAAGGGTTTTAGGGTGTTTCCGAACTTAACGCAGGGTTGTGGGTGTCACAATACCTATGACCTCTTCAACTTCATGTGTATGTCTGAGGTTGTCGTGCTCGGTGGCTAGCAAAAGCAGGCGGCAAACGATGCTGTGTCGCCAGTGCAGAAGCTTCAGGGGCTTCACAGACTGGCCGTGTGCAGCTTACCTTTCCGCATCGAGGGAGGAAGCATTCTGGCCAGCGTCGTGTCCTTGGCGGGTTCAGGATTCCGGCCTGACGATGCGGCGGCAGCAGAAAATAGCCTCCCAAAGATTACCCTCACAACGACTTCGGGTATGGCCCTGGGTTTAGGACTCTGTGTCTAAATGAGGTCAGCCTCGTTTCCAGTCCGCGCACGGCGAGCCATCAAAAGGTTTTGGTGGGCAGTGCAGCACAAGGCCTTTGCTTCACGGGGTTCATAGGGCTTTCGTGCGCAGCATTCTGTTTGAGATTTTCTGGCTCGTTCTTGGAGGCCTGTGCGCTTAAGCACCACGACTGTAGTTTTCCGACCGAACAATGTATTTTACTAGACAAAACGAACCAAAATCCCATAAAGCCTCACCGACACCCTATGAAGATCCCGGACATGCAATCAAAAAGCTCTATGAAACTTCATAGGAAACCCATTAACAACGACACCAAGCCCCGTAGCCCAATGCTTGGCTTTGCCACAGCTGAGTTAACCCCAAGGGTCCAAAGGACTCAAGAATAAGGTACTTGGGATTAGGGTAGTAGTTATGTAGGTTAGGATTTTGGAAAGTATATGCTTATTAGAGACTTGGACCCTTGAGTTAAGGACCTTGAGACTTAGAACAAAGCTTCATGTTGGCTCTACACGAGTTTCATCGTTTTGCAAGTGTTCGAAGGATTTGTAAGGGTGTCAAAAGTGTTTTTTATGGAAGGGGTCTCGGGAGTTCGAAGAGAGTTTGGGGTTTAGGGTCTATGGGTGTAGGGTTTATCAAAAAGTATATGAGAACTCTGCAGGGGGATGCTATTAACAAGCGGTCAGACGTCCATATTAGAGCTCAAAGTGGTTCTGCATCCCCGGATCGTATCAAGAACCTTGTGAAGAACCGATAACTTCTCAATCAGGCTAACCGGGTCATGGGACATTGGTAAACTATACTTATAAGTACTTACAAATCATAGGCCCCAATCAAGGGACTTAGGACCTTACTTACTAAGTCCCAGGACCCTCCAAGTAAACTCCATACTCTAAACCCCTATAGAACCCTTTCGGGAACCCTTTTAAGGAACCCTTCAAGTTACTAAGTCCCCTGATCCTGCAAGTAAACCCCAAACTCTAATCCCTAAACCCTAAACCCTAAACCCTAAACCCTAAACCCTAATCCCTAAACCCTAAACCCGCACTAATCCCAAAACTTAATCTGAAGCCTAGACCACTCAAAACCCTGAACCCAGTAAGACCCAGAACCCCAAATCCAGAATCAACCCTAAACCCCTAAAACCCTAAACCCCTAAAGCCCTAAACCCCTGAACCCCTAAACCCCTAAAGCCCTGAGCTCTGCCTTGAACTACCCAAACCTACGTTTTTGTAGGTGCCGGTTATAAATCCTGCGGTTGATATAATCCTGGGGTTCTTTTAAAGGGATCTATAAGGGTACCTTTAAGGGGTTCCTTTAAGGGATCTATATGGGGTTTAGGGTTTAGGGTTGATGATATAAATCCTGATTACCCATAGCAAGGAATATACCATGATTCCCCTAGTTTAGGGTCCTTAAGGTAATGCAGGATTTACATCATCAACCGTATTATGGAATGTATAGAGACCCTGCAAAAAAACCTAGGTTCTGGTGGGTTAAGGTGAGCTCTAAGTGCAACGTGGGAGCCGTGGAAGCCATGGCCAAAGGATCCCACGTCTTCGCTACCCCGGCCTCGGTGATGCAGGCTGTGGCTCCGTACGGGGCCTGGATCTGTGTATGGTTTTTTCTACTAATAGTAAGAATTGGAGTAACAGTAATAATAGTAGTACTCGTAGTCATGACAATAATCGTCATAGTCACAAGAATTATATGCGGTTTTTGTAGTCAATATACCTAAGATGCTAAAATGCCACTACGACCTGAGTCCTCAACCCAGACATGCTCAAGCATCTAAAGCCTAAACCCTCCTAGAACCCTGATAACGCATTCTTGAGACCGCTACGAAACGCTTGTAACCCTACACCCTAAACCCTAAAGCCCAAACCCTAACCCTACGCCCCGCAGCCCATAAACTGAACTGAAATAGTTACGGACAGGCGGCCAGCTGTGCAAAGCGCAGCTCCGCGGGCGAAGCTGTCTCCTTGGTGTCAGGGAGCCCAACGTACATACCCTCAAATTATTAAGAAACCATCCTGAACGCATAGCAGGCGGCGCAGTATAATTCAAATCATTCCCTAGATAAAAGACTCCACGTACAAAGTCTCATGAGGATCACGCTTTAGGTTCACCAACATAGCTAAGATAAGTCGTGTTGGGCTCTGTCGGTTGTGTTGCTCCAGATTTGATGTAAGTCTTCCCTAAACCCTTAACCCCCAACCCTAAACCCCTTTCAGCATGGGCTTGGATTGTGTGCCAGGCCATGCTGTGCAGGAGTGTAAGTCTTACCCTACACCCTGAACCCTATGAACCCCCAACCCTAAACCTAAACCTAAGCTGTTACTGCGAATTTGATGCAAGTCTTGATTAAGGTTTGGACTAGAATCGAGAATTCAGGTCTGCAGGAGTGCAAGGTTCAAGGTCTACTTGGAGGATCATACGTAGGACTTAGTAACTCAAAGGGGGGGTCCTTAAAGGGTTCTATAAGGGATCTATAGGGGCTTAGGGTTTATAGTCTCTGGAAGGATCATGGGACTTAGTAGGTAAGGTTCGAAATACTTCAATTGGGGTTCTCAGTAAATCATCCGGATAGGTACCTGAACAATAGCCCTAGTTACTAAGCCCCGCGATCCTGTAAGTAGGTTGGGGATACGGGATCCAAGTCCCGAAAATCTAAACCCTTTGTTTTTGTTTAGAATCCACTGCACTGGCTCGTAGGACTACTTTAGGGCCACCTCGACCAGTGTTTCGGTGGATGTCAGGGTATGAATACGCGACGACTACTTACTCTACGGCTAGTGAGTGCACGCCTCATGATTTGTGGCAGAGCCTAGTGGGCATTTTCATGGCTCTGCGGCTAGATCCGTTGTGAGCCACATCTACCCGCTAAACGATGCTTGTTCAATCCCATTACATCTTCAAGTCGACCCGAACATGTGCTGAGCAGGTTTCACGGCCCTCTTGCCAGACTTCCTGTGGACAACGGCCGAGCTCAAACGAATGAAACCTCAAACGTATGAAACCTCGATGTCGAAAAGGGGTCCGAAGGCACGATTGCACGCCAATCCTAAACCCGAAACCCTGCCGCAAATATGAAACGTACGCAAAGGTGGCGGGCCGTTGAACCTAAGCGGCTTTAGTTTTGGGATCACAACAAGAGTAGTGGTTTTAATATTCCCCTCAGAGCCCCATTAAAACAAAACTGAAGATGATTCCTAAGGGCACTAGAGAAAGCCTGATAACACCCTAAATGCTAAACCTAAACCCCGAACTCTAGGCCCAAAACTCTCGACCGGAGTCCCAGCTGCAAGAAACACCACCTCTTCACGCCAAGGCTGCAGGTGCGCGGGCACCTCGACGACGGAACCGGAAACCTGAACCCTGAATCCTGACACATACACCCCTGAATCCTAAACCCTAAACCCCATACCCATCGACCTTGAGGCTTTCCAATCGAACACTGGAGAAAGGGCCTTTCCTTCTTTCTCTCCCACCCCCCGCACCGTTTGAGTCGGCCAAACCACCCACGTTCAGGGCTAAACTCATAAAACACAACGCGTTTTCTTCCTTCCACACAACGAGGGCAGGGAGGGCAGGCCACGCCAGGACAGGCCAAGGGGGCCGCGCAGGGGGGCCCGGGCCCAGGTTCAGTGGGTGCTACAGTGCCCATGGCTGTCCTTTCAGAATCGGCTGCGAGGGGCTTAAAATGTAGGCCTTAATGAACTACTTCTTTGTAGGGCCCCTACAAACTGCATATTTCGGTATTAGGGTTTGTAGTAAAAACCTACAAAAAGGTAGGTTATGCAGAAGAAGGCTTGGAGACCCAATATTCTATAAGCATGATCAGAAACCCCCAAAATTAATAATATACTTCTTCTTCTTCTGATGGACTTCAGTGCCAAAATTAATAATATAGGATATTATAAAGGCCCCTGTATTAAGCGCCGCCCACCCACAGCAGGTGGACGGCTACCTCGCGTTTAGGGCCCGGAAAGTTCAGGGCCTACTTAATTGGGTGGCTGTCAATATTAGGGTCCCTTCTTGGGTCCTTATTATAATACGGCATCTAATATTTAGGGTACCCAAAAAGGGATCATAATTTTGACAACCACCCAATTTAGGGTACAGAATGAATCAGAAGACTGGTGCTTGGGGCTCGGCAGTAAAACTATACAGTGTATAGTGTACTATACCCCGAAACCCATTGAGGCCCGTTTGGCAAATGGTTTATGATTCCGGTTTAAGGCTGAGTCTTCCAAGTTGGGTAATGAGTGAATGCTTGCTGGGCTACTTGCAAGGCTCTAACATGGCCCTGTAGGGCGTAGGGTTTAGGGCTGTAGGGTTTGGGGGGGTTCAGGGCCGTAAGGTTTCAAGGGTGTGCAATGATTTTGGGCTTCACGAGGGCTTGGAGTTCAGGGTTTGGCTTAGGCTGCAGGGCATTATAGCTGCTACCATAGTCATGGTGGCGACTACGGTGATGATAACCATTGAAACTATGTTTCTCCGTCTGTTTCTACTCACTAGAGCTGCAACGCTTCCAAGAAGGCCTCATGCTTCGGGCTCCCGTTCATCTACTCGGACCTGCCTGCAGTGTCGCTCATGTACTATGAAGCCCAAGTGAGCGAGAGAAAGAAACAGAGAGAGAGGGAGAGGGAGCGAGAATGAGAGAGAGAGAGAGAGAGAGAGAGAGAACCCTTAGCCCAAATTTGCATTAGGCGGGCCCTCGCTACGAAATTAAATCTGGGTCTTGGGGAGTGTATTGAATAGTTTTGCAGCATATGTAAAGCCTATAAGGAAATGTTATGAATAAGTCTATCGTACAAGCCCTAGATCACCCTGTCAGAAACCAAAGGCCCTGTACTGCTGCTGGAGCACCGCGCAGAAGACGGCCACTGCGTGCATCGGCATCTTCTGCCGCTCTCCGCGGATTAGCCAAACCTTGATAAGGTTTAGAGCTTGGATTTATGGTAACATGGGAGGCCCCTGTGTTCGAGTGTGGGGCTTTGGATATTTTGCGTCTTGATTTTAGAGATTAGGGTTTAGGTAAGCAGTACGAATAGCCCCCTGTATTCCCACAGGTACTTGGAGGGTCGGGGGACTTAGTAAGTAGGGCATAAGTAGACTTATAAGTGCCTTAAAAGGGACCCTCATTGGGGTTATGATTCTTTATAAGTCTCTAAAACAACTACTTACTAAGTCCCCCGACCCTCCAAGTAATGTACCCCACAACACCGTTCCACTTCTTAAGGCCCCACATGTTACCATTGACGGCCTACCGTGCCGACTTCTGCTCAAATTCCTGGCCTGGTAACATCTCCCAGGAACAAGAGCCCACTGACCGTGTAGCGCTTCAGGTCGAGGGTTTCGGGTTTAGACTTTAACAGCTTCGTGTGTTTAGGTTAGGGCTCAAAGTCTAGGGTGTAGGGTTTGAAAGTTCAGGCTTCAGGCTGCCCTACACGCTCAACATCGTTCAACCACTGAAGTCGAGCCAGAAAGCGGGCTGCTCCACAACATCGTTCAGGTCGACCTTCTCACGCTCGTCCAGGAGGAATCGGAAAAAGCACGCCCACCACCTGCAGCCCGGGGTCAAAGGCTCGAAACCCTCAAACCCGGTTGAGGTTTGGGCTCAAGGCTTTTATTGTTGTTCTAAAACTCCTTTTTCCAAGAGGCAGCAGTCCCTAAACCCTACACCCCTAAACCCTAAACCTTCTAAGAAGGCTCAAGGTTTGAGGCTTAAGGTCTGGAGTCTATGGCTCACGGGTTCGGGTTTCGTTTCAGAGAAACCTCACGGAGTTGGGTGCTGGGGATGGCGTAATGTAGGGGGCCTTAATGATTAGAATAGGGTTCCTTTAAAAGGGTCTATATGAAGGGGTCTTTCTATAAGGATTACTATAAGGGGTATTATGCTGATTTCCTTGATAATTAGAATAGGGTTTTGGGGCATATTATACTATAGTTTAGCCTGCCTCCTCCTCGACGAGCTCCGACGAGAGTCTATCCAGGTCGTGGGGGCACTGCCCCTCTTGCAGGGCCCTTCTAGCCGGAGCCACACCTCCTTCTTCTAGCCTCCTCTGCCGCGCGGCGAAACGCCAGGCACGCTGGACTGTTATCAGGTTCGAACACTGGCTCCGCGATCGTGAAGGCAATTGTGTTTCGAACTTCTGGGTTTAGGGTTTAAGGAATCCCCAAAGTAGTATGGGTAATCTGTGTTTTGTAAGGCCCCTTTATTAAGTTAGCCCTAAAAGCTAACCCAGACCCCTACACCCCGGACCCCTTAAAACCTAAACTCCGGATCTCCAAACCTCAGGACCACATGCCCCAAAGCGCTCTCTCCTACCCCGAACCCGAAGCCCTACCTAAAGAATGGTGGGACTTAGTAACTAGGGTTATAAATAGGGCAACTATACTTATAATTGCTTATAACCCCGATTAAGGTACTTATAACCCTGCTTACTAAGTCACATGATCCACCAAGTAAGCCCTAATATTCAGCTCTTAAGCTTTGCAAACACACTTCCTTGCCATGCAGGACAAGTTCAGGCTGCACATGACACGTTGCCGCTTCAGGTATGGCTTCTTGGAGACTAGATCGACATGGCCACAAGCGCATGACGGAAATGTCGCTTGCCTTTGGCCTTGAACTCAAAATCAAGAGTCTTATGCCTAAGCTTAACTGTGCCAGAACTCCAAAGCGCACAACCCTTCTACAAAGCCTGCACCCTTAAGCCTAGCCATGCCCAATAGAGCCGAGCCACTCTGCATCAAGCCGGTCGCGCGAGAGATGCGGCAGGCATCTTGCGAGGTGGTGGCTATAGAGGTTTGGAATTTTGTAAGACCCCAAGGGCCCGAGTAGCTAAATATTAGGGCTCAGTTAAACCCTCAATCGGGTTAAGGGTTTGGGGTTGTGGTTTAAGGTTTAGGCTTGAGGATTTAGGGTTCAGGGTTTCCTATAAGCCCTATAATTACACAACCCAAACCGCAAACGCTGGACTCATACCTCTAAACCCTAAACCTTAATACCCTAAACCCCAAACCTTAAACCCCTAAATCAAAAAAAAAATGAGCCCAAAAAATGCTCACCCAATAGAGAAATTTGGGTTTTGTCCTGATCGAAATCCTGCAGTGGACAGAAAACAACATGGGACGCGAAGAGGCTGCGCGAATCAAACTTGCAAGTCAAACTTGTGGACGTCTCCGACCACTTCCAGAAGCTCTACAAAACCAGAAAAGACTCGATAGTAAATGGAAGGAATCCGCCGACACCGCGCTCCTACAGGTTTGCCTTACCGCTGCAACCTCTAAACCCTAAACCCTGAACCCAAATCCCTAAAACCTAAACCTCTACTATACGGGCCTTAACAATTAGAACATGGTTTTGGGGCCCATTCTACTCTAATCATAATCAGGAACCTCCAAGATCGTACAAGTGAGTTTTAAGGCCCCTATATTCGTCCCTTAACCCGGGCCCCTAAGATCCTCTAAAGGGAACTCCAGAAAGTTGGGGAATATGGTTTCAGGGTAGGATACCTTATAATTTACCATAAAGGGTTTAGGATAATCATATTCCAACTTTCTGGCTTTTACTTAAACCCCTTAAGGGAACCCTTGTAGATCCCTTTAAAGGACCCCTTACAGGAACCCTTAAAGGACCCCCCTTATGATTACATACTTACTAAGTCCCCCGACTAAACCCTAAACCCTAAACCCTGGCTTTCTCAAGCTCCTGGCCTGAAGGCGTCGGTCGCGCCGACCACAGGAACGCCACACTGCCTTAAGGTGCAGGTCTGAGGGTCTAGCGTTTAAGGGGGTTTAGGGTTTAGGGTTTAGGGTCTAGGGGTTTAGGGTTTAGGGGTTTAGGGTCTAGGGGTTTAGGGTTTAGGGTTTAGGGGTTTAAGGGTTTAAGGGTTTAAGGGTTTAGGGTCCAGGGGTTTGGGGATTTATCGTTTAACTTCAAACTAGCCTTGGGGTGAAGGGCCAATCATCTGCGTCCTCACCGGCTGGAGTTCTTGGCATCTGAGGTTTAGGGTTTAGGGAAACCCTAAACCCCTAACCCTAAACCCCAAAACCCTAAACCTAAACCCTTAACCCTAAACCCCGAAGCCCTAAACCCTAGACCCTTAACCCCAAAACCCTAAACCTGCAATTTCCGGGACTTCAGGGATACGTATGGAAGCCTAGACCCACTCTAGAATTCCCGTGCATGAGCGTGCCACTCATACTGAAGCGCAACGGCGCTGCTCCGCATATCACAACCCGGCACGGGACTTGTTCTTACCTTCGGTTAGTAGGGAATGGAAGAATTGTAGTAATAGTAGTTATAATTGTACCTCTGCCCTCCATTCCCGACTCACCAAAGGTAAGTGTTGAGAAGATGACTTCACTTAGCTGAAAATTTGCCATATTCGTGCCTTTCGCAGGGGACGGAGGGCCAAAACCCAAACTCTTCAAACCTTAAACCCAAAAACCCACAAATCCTAGCCTTAAACTTGAAACCCCCCACCCCCCCCCCCCCCCCCAAAAAAAAAAAAAAAAAACGTTTAAAACCCCAAAATTCGAAACTCCAAAACCCTACAAGCCTGAGCCCGAAATCTTCAACCGCTAAAGGAGAAGCTCGAAGCTCCGGCATGTTCAAGGTTTAGGGTTTAGACCATGGGACTCAGACCCCCCGCTGAACCTTGGTCAAGGGTTTAGGGTTTAGAATTGATGGTTCAAGGTGTTGAGTGGGGGGTTCAGGGTTTATCGTTTGGGCTTAGGGTTCCTATCAAGACCTTCTAGAGCTGCTAGGTTTAGGGTTTAGAAACCCTCTAAAGCTGCAAGGTTTAGGGTGTAGAAACCCTCTACAACTGCTAGGTTTAAGGTGTAGAAACCATGAAGGGCTGCAAGGTTTAGGGCTCACAGTTACACGTATATATACACGTTTGTATACAACCCCGAACCCTAAACCCTAACCCTCGATAAACCGCCGAACTTCTTCCACCGCCTAGGTACTCGAGGATGCTGCGAACAGACTTCTCTTCGACCACCTGTTACGGGGAGAGCGCGGCGGTTTAGGGTTTAGGGTTTGAGGTTGAGTACTGAAAATGTACAGGGTTTTTTTTTGAACTCTTTTTTACATCTGCCCGAACATCCCGAGTCGACGTACAGGGTTTAACGTTTAGGGTGGGGGCTTGCAGCGGTTTAGGGAGGTTTGCAACTTTGGGTTTAAGAATGACACTTTGGATCGATTCCGCATGGCCTTGCAGGTTGCCAAGGTTTGAAATCAGGACTCATGAAAAGCATTAAATATGACCATTTACGAAGAGTGTTTCCGAGGTTCCTAATGGGTCCACGTGGAAGTCATCTTGGAATGTCCGTGCAGTGGGATCGCGTAGTCTGGAACTTGAAGCTGTACGTCGTATGGAATACCTCAACTTCTACGCACGGCCATGGTTCACGGCATACGATTTCGGGTGTACTAAGAGCGTAGCATGTATGTATAGAAAGCCCTGACACTGGAATGTTTAAGTTTAGCACAGTCTGCATCAGCTCGGATCGAGGATGTGCCGTTTGCAGCTTGTTGGGCTTCTGTGTTTGCGACCGCCGTTGTCGCGGCAGCGGACGTACAGTTTGATCTTGGCGACTTGGGATGCTTACGGTCTCGGGGCGGAGCGGCTTCCATGTCGAATGCAAGACTAAACCTACAGATTCAGTTTGTAGCATATGCCTGGGCATAAACAGTAGATAGTAGCAAAATGTGATACAACTCTGGTCATACTCCTTCACTCCTATGATAACGTCAACAAGGCTCGTCAGCAACAGCGTAGCTTCGTACCAGCAAAATGATGTGCACGACATTTACGGCTGTCTTGGCCTCCCGCGCTGCTGTCATCAAAACGGACGATGGCAGACCAAGCAGCTGTAAAGACTGATAGATACGAAGCGTTGTGCTGGCATACGCAGCCGTAATCACCATCAGAACTGGTGATCCTCAGCCTTCCTGGCATTCCCAAACTCCCTCAAACCTTCACCCTACACGCACACACAGGCACACACACACACACACCGCTAAACCCAAGCAATCCCTGACCCCCAAACTCAAGTAAGTCACTCAGTGCCATGGAGACCCGCGAGTCTGGAAACATGCAGGCCACAAAGCCCAACCTAAACCCTAAGTAGATCCATTGACACTCAGTTGCACACCCCAAAAGCCTCGAATCGCTGGTGACCCGAAAGCCTTAAAGAAACCCAGAAGGCCGTAAGCCCCTGAAGCCCTAAAACGCCCAAGCATCAACCCCAAAACAAGCGTTAAAGGGACAAGTGTCGGTAGGCTCAAGATGCTGCAACACCCCTTATTCTCCTTAAAAGGTGGGAGGTCAGCACAATTCAATCGCCCCATAAGTTGTTTAGCCGAGGCACTTTGTGGTCGCTGGGTTCCCCCCAAAATAAAGCAACGAAACTCCTAAAGTCCAGAAATAGGAAATAGCATGGACCATTGGGGATATAGACCCTCTCAGTAAGGTCCCGTTTAAGAGAGCCAGAAGTAGGGTTCAGAAGGGTCCCTTTTAAGAGAGCGGGAAGTAGGGTTCAGAAGGGTCCCTTCTAAGAGAGCCAGAAGTAGGGTTCAGAAGGGTCCCCTTTAAGGGGTCTGCCCAATGCCACCTCAAAAACAACCGTTGGAGTCCTTTTTTGTAGTCCCTCGTCAGGTTCCTCTTCACGGCTCTGCATTACAAGGGCACTGCAGGCGTTGAGGGGAGTTCCGGTTCAGTGTTTAGGGTCTGTTGTACGGGGAAAGGTACATGTGCTGAATGCGGGTGTTACGAGCATGTTAGAGTGTGTTATCAGATTAATATGAAGGCCTGAATAAGTAGAGTAGGGTTTTGGGGCTCCTTATTAAAAGCTGGAGTATAATATACGCCCAAAGCCTAGTCTAATAATGCAGGCCCCTCTTAGGGCTGCTGTTTTCAAGTGGGAGGGTTCGCGGGGCTATACACTAAGGTTGAGCATGAGAGCGTTGGATCCAAGTTTAGGGTTTAGGGGTTAACGGTTTAAGGATTTAGGGTCTAGGGATTTAGGGTTTAGGGTTTAGGGAAGAATTTAAGGTTCAGCAAAAAGGGGACCCCGAAAAGAAACCTGATAGGGGCCACGAACCCGAATGCAGACACGCGTAACGCAGATATCGCAATCTGAGAAAAACAAACATCATGACAAAACATCATGACAAACATGACCTTGTATCATCAGCCATGCCGGCGATGCAGTACACTCACGGGATCCATGTAATGTTTAATTTTTCGTGCATCTCATGCAATCGTTGTGATAAGATTCTCGTGCTGCCCTGATTCCTTCTCCGGGTATTTTCTTTAGGAGAGGATGTCATATCTGCTGTCGGGACGCGCGTTCGGTGGAGTTCCCCATTCAGAACACCCTCGAGACGCTGCCGGAACACGCCTCCCGTGGAGTTCCCCCTTAGCCTGACGGATTCAGAACTCGCGCGACACGTGCCTTCTGTGGAGTCACCCATGAACAGCCTGTGGAATTCCCCCTTAGCTTGACGGATTCGGGACGCACGTTCTGTGGAGCTCCCTTGTGGAGTTCCCCCTTAGCTTGACGGATTCAGAACGCCGTCGGGACGGGACGCTGCCGGAACACGCCTCCTGTAGAGTTCCCCCTTAGCTTGACGGATTCAGAACGCCGTTGGGACTCGCCGCACACCTCGCGTCACACGCGGGCGCTTCGCGAACGCTTGCGAACGCTTGCCAACGCTTGCGGACGCTTGCGGACGCTTCGCGAACGCTTTAACCACGATCGCTGGTCACCTGCTGGACCCCTGGACCCCAACCTTTTAAACGGGAACCCTTCTGCAGAGCATTCGGGAAAAAAAAAGCCTCACCCCGATAAGAGCAACAACTTTTTCGAGCACCATATTCTGGGTTCTTGGCAATGTCCTTGAAAAGCCAAGTTTTGCTGGCTCGCCGTCGTATGTCTGGACAGAAAACCATCGCGCAAAACGAAGGCACCCTGACGGCCCAAACCCTCCAACCCTAAACCCTAAACCCCTAAACCCCTAAACCCCTAAACCCCTAAACCCCTAAACCCTAAACCCTAAACCCCTAAACCCCTAAACCCTAAACCCTAAACCCTAAACTCCTGAACCCCTAAACCCTAAACTCTGAAACCTCAACCTTACAGTCGCCTCAACCCTGAACTTGAAACCCGAAACCCTAAAGCCGAGATCAAAAACCCTAAAACCCTAAACCCTTTGAGGATCATGGGACTTAGTAAGTAGGGGGTTAAGGGTCCCATTAGGGGATCTATAGGGGTACTATAAGGGTTTAAGGTTTAGGGTTTAGGGTCTACTTGGAGGATCATGGGACTTAGTAAGTAGGGTTATAAGTACCCTTAATTGGGGTTATAAGAAATTATAAGTATAGATACCTTAATTATAGCCCTAGTTACTAGCCTGAAGCCTAAGCCCTCAATCCTGAGACCATCAAAGGTAACCCATGAGGACCACTAAATTGGAGAGTGTGGCTCTTGCCAAGCGTTTAGGGTTTGGGATCCCGAACCCATACTTGGAGGATCATGGGACTTAGTAAGTAAGGTTATAAGTATCTTTATTATTGGGGCTATAAGTACTTATAAGTATAGTTACCCCCTAAGTAGGGTCTGGGGGCTTGGGGATTTAAACGCCCCTTCAAGGCTCGAATCTGTGGACCCTTCCCGGTGGAGGACAACAGAAATTGACTGGGCTTAGGGTTTAGGTTCCCAGGGTTTAGGGTTTAGGGAGCCCTTGAAACAAAAACCCTACTGACTTGCTATCGAACCGTGAAGCCTCCAGACACGAGTACGGCATGAGTACCTCATGGGCCCGGCTGAAGGGATTACTACGGTTGATGATATAAATCCTGCATTGCCCATAGTAAGGAATATACCATAATTCCCAAAGTTTAGGATCCTTAAGGTAATGCAGGATTTATATCATCAACCGTAGAAGACAAAAGCTCGAATACCTGGACTGGGATTGAAGCCCCTAATCTAGGAACCTTAGTGATTAGAACAAGGCTCTGTTGCTGCTTATACTGTAACTGTAGTCGGACTATCAGGGGATAATACTACCAATGGTCAAGGCTTCTACACTTTATGGGCAGCTCTCTTAATTATGGATCCCCTGTATGAGGGTGCCGTACTACTTGGGGGTTGTAAAAGGGGCCCTTAGTTAGGGAAGTATTAAAGGGGCCTTAATACTTAAAATGAGGTTTCAAGGCCATTTTTACCATAAACATAATAAGGGACCCCCAGAATAGCATAGGCAACAATAAAGGCCCCCATATTACAGAACCTTATTGCAGATCCCTTATAGACCCTTTCAAAAGGAACCCGAAAAAGAAAACCCGTGTTCTAATTGTTAAGGCCGCTTTTCTTACCCCTTTTGTAAAGAACCTCCCCCAGCTGGTGACTGCCTGCGTGGCACCCCACTTGGAGGGTCGGGGAAGTAGACCTATAAGCATCCAAAAAGGGACTCTAATTGGGGTTGTGATACTTATAAGTTCTTGAAATAACTACTTACGAAGCCCCCCTAAACTCTAAACCCTAAACCCTAAACCCTAAAACCCTAAACCCTAAACGCGAAACCCTAAACCCTAAAACCCTAAACCCTAAAGCAGGAACCCTAAAGAGGGACCGGGCCGAAGCCGAGGCTCCCTGGATCCCCTAAGCGCCTGGATGCCAGCACAGCGGAAGTCTTCGGCGGGAATCAACTGCAGGAGCTGATCCTGAACTCGGTTCAGGGTTGAGGGGTTTTGGGGGTTCAAAGGGTTGTAGGGTTTAGGAGTTGCAAGGGTTGAAGGGGTTCAAGGGGTTTGAAGGGTTTAGGGGTTGAGGGGTTTACGGGGGTTTTAGGGTTTAGGGTTTGGGGCTGAAGGGGGTTAGGGTTTAGGGTTCTACCCATTGGTTTGAGGCTTGGGTTTTGATTTAGGCTTCAGGGCTCAGGGCCTGCCAAAACCCATCGGAATAAGGCCTTCATAATAATCCAGGTACAGGGTGGTTTAATGGAGGGTGGTTGGGGGGTCTGGGTGTGGTTATCCCGCTTGACAAGAGAAACCACTCAAACTCCACAAGCTAAACCCTAAACCCTAAACCTTTCCTTCCTACATATTTCAACTTTGAGCTTTCATTCGGCACAGGTAATCTGACCCTTATTCAGCATGGGCCATCTGATCTGGGGCTTTATCATGGGGTTACATGGGGGCTTAGAGACCAGTCTGTCCTGCACCAGAACTTAGTCTGGGCTATATCACAAGGTTTAGGGTTTAGGGATTTGGGGGTTTAGGGCAAGGTTTAGGGCTCATAATTCAGGGGTTGTAAATCATGCGGTTTAAGGATTATTCAGGGGTAAGATCAATAGGTGTTTTTTTGCACCTTCCGTGGCTTTCCAGACTCCCTGGCCGAGCTGCCTCGGGTCTGTAGTGGGAGGGCCGAAAAAATTCACTAACAGAGGGGCCTAAACAATTACTAATGCTGTTTTGTAGAAACGCCGACAAGGCACCCGAGCGAAACGGCCTCAACGATGCTCCCGCCCTGTTGGATCCTCAACACTTCCTTTGAGTGCGGTTTGAATAGCTCCCATTGGACGACATGATGGATTGTCGACTGGATGAGAATGCTTCTCCAACGTGGATTGGCCAGCTTGACCTTCTTGCCTTGTTTAGGACGAGTTGACCATTGGTAATGTAGGAACCTGATTCAGAAACCCTGGGCCTATAACAATAGTAGGATTCATAGAGAACCCTAATAAAGGCCCAAGGTTTCTTAATCAGGTACCTAAATTAATCACGAATGCCTTTCGGAAATCGTGCAGCTCGTCCTTGACGCTTGGGTGGAGGGAGGGCCGAACACCCAAGGCCACCAGCTCTGCCCAGAGAGCCCAATACCCCTTAGTTCAGGAATATGGGTAAAATTATATAGGGCTTCATATTATGATTCAAGCTATATCATTAAGGTATCTATACTTATAATTTCTTATAACCCCAATTAAGGGTACTTATAACCCTACTTACTAAATCCCATGCAGCGCCTCCGACGTCTGCGCCTATTGGAAACCCTAAACCCTAAACCCCTAAACCCCTGAACCCTAAACCCTAAACCCTAAACCACAAAACCACTAAACCCCTAAACCCCTGAACCCTAAACCCTAAACCACTAAACCACTAAACCCTAAACCCCTAAACCCCTGAACCCTAAACCCTAAACCCTAAACCACTAAACCACTAAACCCTAAACCCCTAAACCCCTGAACCCTAAACCCTAAACCCTAAACCACTAAACCACTAACCCCTAAACCCCTAAACCCCTAAACCCCTAAACCCCTGAACCCTAAACCCCGGGAGGACTTGAACTTCAGATCCCCAAGTTACATCGGAAAGTGTACTCTATAGGGGTCCCACTCAAGGGATCTACTCCCAAAGCCCGAAAAGATCCTACTGTTGATGGACAGAATCCTGCATTACCCATTATAAGGAATATACCATAATTCCCATAGTTTAGAGCCCTTAGGGTCATGCAGGATTTATATCATCAACCGTATCATACCCTGAAACGAACCCTCTATCAAGGATCGGTTCTGGGAGGAGGAGCCTGGGCAAAAGAATAACGCGTGCTTGTGCAGTGAGTGCTTGCAGGTTGCATCATAGGGTTTAGGGTTTAGGGTTTAGGGTTGAGAGCTTATCTTGAGCTTTGCCATAAAGTTTAAGGATTGTCCTGGGCTGTATTAACGGGTTTAGAGCCTATTCCGCGCAGTGTCATAGGGTTTGGTAAACCTAAACCCTAAACCCTAAACCCTAAACCCTCAACCCTAAACCCTCAACCCTAAACCCTAAACCCTAAACCCTAACACCTCTGCCCTGAATCGACATGATCTAAACCGTGCAAGGCTTTCGGCGGAGAGCCGAGACTTGTCCTAGCAACCGTATACAAAACCCGAATCTCCCCCCACCCTAAACCCTGAACCCCCCAGAGAGCCCAATGCCCCTTAACTAAGGAATATGGCTTAGATCATAATATGAAGCCCAATATAATTTAAGCCATATTCCTTAATTGAGGGGTATTGGGCTCTCTGGGCCTGATCCTAAATCCTCGAAGCCCAAAATTGTCAGAAATCCCTCGAAGCTCTCAGACAATCGCCCCAAGTCCCTAGAAGTCTAACACCACCCTAAACCCTAAATCTTAAACCCTAAACCATAAACCCTAAACCCTAAACCCTATACCCTAAACCCTAAACCCTAAACCCTAAACCCTAAATTCCCACCCAGGCCGTACCCACCCTTTTTCTTAGGGTGCTTGGACGCAAGAAGGAAATCCGGCAGTGATTGACACCAACTCTGGATGGACAATGGGTGGAGCCATTGGAGAGTGGTCGAATTCAGCCCCTAGGGCTGAGCCAAGCCATTAAGCCCCTTGCGTGGCGCCCATATGCGCAGAAAGAATTCCCTCGAATCTCAAGAGATTGGAATACCCTAAACCCAACGACAAAAGCCCTTGGTAGACATTTCCCTTTGGCCCCCCTTCACGGCCCAGGGGCCCCCTCAGCTGGATCCTACGGGGTTTTCTGCCCTTCCTTGGCTTTCTGCTGCCTGGCCCTCCCTGGGCCCCCCCCCCCCCTGGCCCCTGGCCCCCCCTGGCCCTCCCTGGCCCCCCCTCTCCTTTGGCCCCTGGCCCCCCTGGCCCCTGCCCCGGCCCTCCCTGGCCCCCCCTAACCCCCCCTAACCCCCCCTTGGCCCTCCCCTGGCCCTCGCCACCTGGCCCTGACCCTATCTGTTTTGTGGCGTGTGTAGGTGCCCTTCCTGGCGCCAACAGACAGACCAGGAGCAGGTGGGAATTGAGGGCGTAAGCGCTAAACCCTAAAAGGCAGTGTTTTGGGTGGTAGCCTGTGTATTCTCACAGCGGGTGGGAAAGGTGAGGAACCAATGTGTAATTTTTTGGTGGTGGAATCGCATTCGAACGCTAGACGTCGATATGCCGCCCCCCACACCCCTGGGAGTGTTGGGGCGCCATCCTACATAGAAAATACTGCCGCTGCGCGGCGAGACGCCCTAAACCCTAAACCCTATACCCTATACCCTAAACCCTAAACCCTAAGTCTAACACCCAGAGGACCCGATTGCGGCTGGGCATCGTGAGGCAGCCGGAGATCGCCAGCAGCAGTGCTCTGAAGACCCGACCTAAACTTATAGGATCCTTAAGGGAGGGTGACCATAAGGGTACTATAATAAGGGTTCCTTTAAAGGGATCCTTATAATAAGGATCCTAGGGGTTAGGGTTTAGGGTTTAGGGTTTAGGGTTTAGGGTTTAGGGAAGAGGGAGGGTGGTTCAAGGGGGCGGGGAGGGTATAAGGAATCCTTAGGGGACTGTAAGGGAACCTTAGGGAGTACTAGGGAGAATTAGGCATCACTAGGCTATATACCCCCCTTGGACCCCCCTCCCTTAAGGATACTACAATAAACTGCCCTGAGGGTCCAAGTACCCAAATAGTAGGGTTTCAAGGATGGATTTGGGGATCTGAAACCCTACTACTCGGGTACTTGGACCCTCTGGGCTGGAGTTTGCCAGACTTTTAGGGTTCAGACGGAGTAAGGATAATCCGTACTACTACCCCCGTATACTTCCCATCTGGCTGTGGTATAGGATTTAGATGGAATCAATATTTTGGAGAGAATAGGGTTATCAGCTGTTTTCAGGAAATCTTTACAAGATTCTATAGGGCTTTATCCTTTCTTTTCGTGTACTATCCTCTTTTAGGATGTGGGGCTTATTGGGTTTCAGGAGCTTTTGAAGTACGTGTTCGAGGATCATGGGCATCACCTATAGTGAAGATGGGACCTTAGCAGAATTGTGACTCTAGCTGTTTCTGAGGGATTGTACTAACCCAGCACTAAGTACTGCTTCTAACGGTCGATGATATAAATCCTGCATTACCTTAAGGACCCTAAACTATGGGAAGTATGGCATATTCCTCATTATGGGTAATGCAGGATTTATATGGGTGGTTGTCAAAATCATGGTCCCTTTTTGGGTCCCCATTATAATACGGCACCTATTATTTAGGGTACCCAAAAGGGGAGGGGTTTAGGGCTTCGAGTTTAGAGTTTGGGGTTGAGGTTTTTTAGCGTTGAAGGTTTAGGGCCCGTGGGTTCGTGTGGGTGGTGAAATGAAACCTTGCAGGAATCACTCTGCAGGCTTGGGACGGGGTCGTGTGAGTTGCATTCCCAGACCCCCGGGAGAGTATGGAAAGCAGATCCCTCAGTGGGGGCTCCTATACAGTCCTTTTAATAGTACAAGATCCTCAACTAGGAGTTCTATGTTCTAGATCCTTGCGGGGGGGGGGGTGAGCCCTCAACTCTGCACGAGTATCCCCTCCCGCAGCTGCAGTCCCAGGCACAGGCACGAGGGAAGGACCTCCCGAACTTCGCGCACGACCTCCTGAGCAAGCTATCGAGGCTTCTCGAAGAAAGGGATCCCTTTTGGATCTTTTTTGCCGGCCCCTTTCCTTCAGCTGAGTAAGCCTCCAGAATTCCTAGTTAGGATGAGCCAGAAAGAGTGCAGGGGGTGGGGTTTGGGGTTTGGGGTTTGAGGCTCCTTCAAGGAGGGGATTCTTTCCAGGGCGAATCTGTTATTAGGGTTCCTGCAGAGGGTTCTTACTTAAAGAGTCATGGGACTTAGTAACCAGGGTTATAATTAAGGTATCTATACTCATGACTACATATCGTCCCCAATCAAGCTACTTATAACCTTACCTACTAAGTCCCATGATCCTCCATGTAAACCCAAACTCTAAACCCCTATAGACCCCTTAAAGGAACCGTTTAAGGAACCCCCTTGAGGAACCCTTTGAGTCACTAAGTCCCATGATCCTCCAAGTACGGTTTCGGGTGATACAGCTTCGGGCCAGGGGCTACATGGATGGGAGGCCAAAAGGGGGGTTTAAGATTCTTGGGGTAGGGATTCCTTATTATGAACCCTAGTATGGGAACCCTAATCCCTACTAAACCCCCATCGGCTAAAACCCCTTTTGGCCTCCTATGATACATGAAACCGTCAACCTGCTCCAGAGAGGAACTGAGGATTTGGGTAACCCCTTAAGGATCCCTTTGCGGGTTCTACAAGAACCCCCCAACCTAAACTGTTACATAAACCCTAAACCTTCGACAAACCCTGAACCCTGAACCCCAAACCTCAACTCGAAACCGTAAGCCCCCAAACCTCAAACCCTAAACCCCAAGACAGTGGCGCGCTGCCTGGGCAAAGATCTTCCAGAAAGGAGGTGTCGCAGCGCCTCCGAAGGCGGAATATACAGATCCCTTATAGAACCCCTAAAGGCGCCCTCATATATATATATATATATATATATATACGTATATATACGTATATAGAGCCCTTCAAAGGAAGCCTATGCCAATTAAGAAGGGTCCTAATGGTGGACTTGCAGGGCCGTTTGATATGTGTTCGAGTTCCCTTTTGGGTGCCTTTCCGGGTTGTTTGGAAGGTTCCTTCAAGGAGTCGATAATTGGAGGGTTGGGGGACGTAGCAAGTAGTAATTCTGTCCAAGTCGCGTAGAAGTTTCCGAAAATTGGGCCCAAAACAGAGGCCCTACTTGGAGGGTCGGGGGACTCAGTAAGCAGCTATTTTAAGGACTTACAAGTATCGGAACCCCAACTAATATCACTGTTTAGGGTACTTATAAGTCTATTTAATACCTACTTACTGAATCGTCCGACCCTCCAAGACCCCTTATATAGGTTCAAGGGTCCGGGGCACGGCGGTTTCTTCGGTGCGAAGGGCTCAGGCGTTTGGAGCATGCGCTGTTCTCTAGATCCCCGTAAGCCCCTATCAACTACTCGAAAATCCTGGGAAACACGCGGCGGGCCTCCAGCAGGCAGGAACATGGGCAGGTGCGAAGTCACCTCCTGGGGCGCAGAGCCACGCTTGGACTGACGGCGGCCGCCCCCCCCAGAGACTCCAATATCCCTTAATTAAGGAATATACCTTAAATTATAGTAGGATCCCTAATATGATTTAAGGTATATTCCTTAATTAAGGGATATTGGAGTGTCTGGGCCCCCCCTCCCCTAAATGTCTGTCGTGCGTCGCCTTGTCGGGTTTAGGGCTTGGGGTGGGTGGGTCCATATACACTACCATTATGGAATCAGGTCCCAAAAGACCATCCCTATTATGGTTTTGGGGGACCTAATTCCATAATGGTAGTATATGTGGACCCTCTGGGTTTGAATTACATTATAACCCTTTTTAACCGTTCCAGCACGACTGAAGCCGAGGACCAGCAGACCGCTGCATTCGACCGTGTGGCCGTTTGGGGCTTCGAGCCGTTGAGAGCTGAGGGTTCAGGTCAGGCTCGGGATGGAACGTTCCGGGTGCGGTTTAGGGTTTAGGGGTTTTGGGGTTTAGGGTTTTTTAGGGCTTTAGGGGTTAAGGGTTTAGGGACAAGAAGTTTGCCATGAATAGGATTGCCAAGGGACAGGGTGCTGCGCTGCAATGGCAAAAAGCTTCGCCGCCTGTCAATCTACCCAGAGATTCCAAAACAGTTCTCACTGTTGGGAGTATACCTTGAACCATACCAAGTATCGCGACTATTTTTAAGGAAGGTTGTGGAATCTATGGGAACAAGTTGCCTGTTCATTGCTACATCTCGGCGTCTTTGTGTCTCCAAATGTCAACACTTGCTATATCTACATGTGTCTACCTTAGATCTTGGTGTTCGTTGTACAGTTCGCTGGCCGGTCGCTTGTCATGACTTTTTCATGCGACGTTCAGCGCGGGGTGCTACAACACTTGCACAGGACGGCATACTGATGAGCGAGCTAAATGCCTTCTTGAGTTTTAGCTTAGAAGTTTGCCCTCTTGAACACGGTATGTGCTAAAGCTTCCACAACGGATAAACTGCACAGGGATGACAGTTTAGGATTTAGCTTTGGAAGCTTCCCTAAACACTGAACCCTGAGATCGGCTGTTGGTAGGCAGCTACGCAATACTTTCTCGAGCCTCCCCCACATGGTGCAAAACACCACGGGCACCGACAAAGTCTTTGGGTGGAATTCTGGGATTGGCATACCGTACTACTATGTACTTTATAGAGACCATGGAAAGCGCACACATGCCTTAAACCCAACCCTTCCCCCAAGCCCCTAAACGCTCACCCCTAAGCCCCTAAACCCCGACACTGTTAAACGCTGAACGCTGAACTCCGAAAACCCTGAACCCCTGAACTCCGAAACCCCTGAACCCTGAACTCCAAGCCCCCCAAACCCTTTTCACCCTGAAGTCCAGGCCCCAAATGATCTGCTTCTGTGCACAGATCAGGTTCGAGGCAAATCCTGCAGGATTATCTCAGACGATGTGGGTAGTTCTCTAAATTGCGGTCCCTTTTGGGGTCCGTTTCTTAGGGTGCAGTCTCACACCGGGCCCCTTGTTTAGAGAACTACCCATATTATGAAAATCAGGGGGCTAAGCATGTAACTTACACCCGAACCCAAAGAAGATCCAAATATCTTGGATCCTTCTATACTAGTAGGGTCGACAAGCCTTGGTTACCCTCAGCACACCCAAACAATGGGCGTCAACACCCCGAGCCCCCGAAACCTCAGCACGCAGCGCGTAGTTGTGCGCGCACTCCCGGACAGCCTTCAAAGCCGCGAGCTACAAGGAACTAGAACTGATGCCGGTGAGGACTCTAGTATCATCTTCAAGTGCAGAAGGCTTATAGTGTCTCATGAATATTCTGACGGAAGTTGTGGCTGATGCTGGGTCTTATGAAGGGTTCGAAGGGTTTGATAGAGATGGTTGGTGCTGTTTTCTACTTTCAAGAGAAGTCATTTATTAACCAGCTAATATAGCGGCCTTAACGATTGGAATAGACTTTCGGGATATGCTTTACTATAGTTATATGAAGGAACCCTAAAATAGTATTGGTACTTCTTTAGGCCTCTAAATTACGCTTGAATGCTGTCAAAGGTTCTGTGAGAATGAACAAGTCGAATTGGGTTGTAGGACCGGGACTGAGACTTGCCCTGAAGGTGATTGAGCTTAGGACGTGGGGGTCTGGTCTCCCTGGAGGATCCGGACAACAAGAACTTCCGAAAAAGGTTATCCTACCATTCTGCTGGCTCAATATACTTACCTTCGGTTAGTAGGGAATGGAAGAATGGTAGTAATAGTAGTTAGAATTGTACTCCATTCCTCCATTCCCTACTAACCAAAGGTAAGTATAAGCCTTGCTGGTGGTTCGAACTTTGGAGGTCCTCCGGGGCGAGTTCTGATTTTAGTGCCTTTCACACGGCTTAGAGCCTTCAACTTCAATGCCAAATTGGACATTGGGTCGCACGAAATTGCTCAACACCGTGAATCCCAAACTCTACTAGCGATCATAAACTGAAAGAATAAGCAAAACGAAGAATATGAAATTTTGCATCGGTTCGACTAAGCCCGTGCTCTCGCCCCTAAGCCATACACCCTCCCTCACCTCTTTAAAGCCCTACTTAAGCCCGAAACCTTAACCCAACCACGACCATCAACCCCAAAGACCCTGAAGAACCCAAAACTATAGAACCCAACCAAAACCCTAAACCCTAAACCCTAAACCCCAAAAACCATAGAAGAAGGACACAAGCGCCTCGCGACTGGTGGTCAGCTGCCAGTTTGCCTCTCACGACGCTCGGTTTTTCAGCGGGGTCTCGGAGGCTCTGTAGTTTAGGGTTTTCAAGGGTTTAGGGTTTAGGGTTTAGGGTTTAGGGTTAAGGGTTTAGGGTTTAGGGTTTAGGGTTTAGGGACCCTTCTTAGGTCCCCAAATAATACGAAACCCTCTTAAAAGGACCCTAAACGGAGCCTAACTTCGAGAACTACCCATACAGGTTCTGGAGATATATTGTATTGCTGCTGGTTCTGAGCTTACGGTTTGCGTTGTTTTCGCGGCTTGGGGCTTTACAGTTAGGCGTCCATTGTCTGGTAGCGTTGAAAGGATTAAGGGGTATGATCACAGGGGCTGGAGCATACACATTCTGCGCTGTAGAATACTTCCAAAAGCCAGCAAATAAACGCTGATGCGGGCCCCTGATTCCACCAAGGACGAAGATTCATAAGCCAGGCGCGTGCACTGCTTGCGAGGCTGCGCATAGCTACCCATGTGCATGTGGAACACAATCCCTTTCACCGTCCTGTCTGTACTGATGTAAACAAACTCCCGTTCGATAAAGGATCAAATATTACAAATCCCTAATGCCCTAATGTAGAGACCTGATAAATATTACAAATCCCTAATGTAGAGACCTGATAAATATTACAAATCCCTAATGTAGAGACCTGATTAAGAAACCGGGGCGCTATAACCCCAATATACCAGAATTCATATAAGGAACCCTTATTAAGGACCCAAGGTTCCTTCATCAGGTTCCTACACTATTAGGGTTTAGGGTTTAGGGTTTAGGGTTTTTTTTGAGGGTTTAGGGTTTAGGGTTTAGAATCCTTACAACGAGGCCTGTAGCAAGAAGCGATGGCCCACTCGAGCACAAGGAAGCCTCTAAGCGCGATTTCAGGGGATCTTCAGTAGGGCTTGGTCAGTATCAGGACTCATCTAAGGTTCCCTAAACCCTGAAACATAAACCCAAAACCCTGAACCCTCTAGGATTTTCGATTGCAGGCTGGTTGATGTTGGAGCCTTAGACGTGAGAATAGGGGGTTTGGGATACCTTAATGTGACTAACTAGTAGCGACTATTCACGGGTGGGGGGTAGTATTTCGACTTGTTCCGAGTTCTATATTAGGCTGGGGATGCTACCTCAAGGCTGCAGCTTTGCAAAGAACGGAGCGTACAGCGCTTAGGGTATGCGGTTCCTGGGTTCTTGTTAAGGGTGCTAATTTAACTTGCCATAATAAGGAAACCATAATATTTACTATAGATCGATCCCTATTATGGTAACTTAGATTAAGCCCCTTAACAAGAACCCACGTTCGGAGGTTGCGTCATGGCCTGGAGCTTAGCGCTTAAACCTTCAGAGTTGAGATCTTAGGTCTTGGGGCTTCGGGGTAGTAGGGTTTAGGAGCAGCTCCAGGGTTCAGGTTTAGGGTTTAGGGCTTAGGGCGTAGGGCTTAGGGTGGGGTTTAGGGCAGCTTAGGGTTTTATGTTTAGGGGTTTAGAATTCTGACCTGGTTGCTTTTGGGTTCGGGGGGCTTTATGTTTTGAGGTTGAAGGCTTTGAGGTTTGGAGGTTTGAAGCAGCGGGGTCCTGTACGGACCTGAGCAATGGTAATAACATCCTGTTCGAGTCGTTGTACAATTACTCCGTGGTGCAGTCTGGCAGTGAGACTTAAGCCTGAAGCGCCCTCGGAACCATGATGAAATGACATGGTTTCAGGAACCCCTTTGGAATTTTTAGCATAAAATACATACGTACAGACTGAAACCCAAGATTCGGGTGGTTCTCTAAATCAGGGTCCCGTTTTCTAAGCGTGCCGTGCTGTTTTGGGGACTACCTTCTAGGGTTCTATCTTTCGAGCGAGGAGTCTCATGGTTTGGGTGACAGAAGGGCCACAATACAGGACCCTTAATAAGTACCTATACTATTTTGAGGACTCCTTACTTTCATTAAAATACAATGGGCACCAAAATCCTATTATAGTTTTATGGCCCCTACTTGGAGGATCATGGGACTTAGTAAGTAGGGTTATAAGTACCTTAATTGGGGTTATAAGCAATTATAAGTCTAGTTACCTTATTTATAACCCTACTTACTAAGTCCCATGACCCTTTAAGTACGTCATGCACATCTTTGGGAAGGTGTCTTGGGGGTTCGGGTCCCCGGTTCAGGGTTTCGGGAATAGGGCTGATGATAAAAATCCTGCATTACCTGAAGGACCGTAAACTATGGGAATTATGTTCTCTTCCTTATTATGGGTAATGCAGGATTGTTTTCATCAGCAGTAGGATAATGGGTGTGGAGTTTAGCCTAAGCCATAAGCGCCAAGAAGAACACGGAAGCACAAATCCTCAAAGCAACAGATCACCCTGAAACCTGAATAAAAGACTCATCTCTAAACCCCAAACCCTAAATTTCGAACCTGAAACCCTCAACCCTCAACCCTAATCCCTAAACCCTAAACCCTAAACCCTATACCCTGTACCCTAAACCCTAAACCCTAAACCCTCAACCCTCAACCCTCAACCCTAATTCGAAGGCCCCTGAGCCCCAAATTGTAAACGTTGAAAGCGCGAGGCCCGGGCCCTGCGCAGACAGGCAGCTCGGGCCCTGCGGCAGCAGGCGTTAGGAGTTTTGGGTTTGTAGAGGTTTTGGGTCTTGGGGTTTTAGAGTTCAGGGCTTGAGGGTTTAAGAGATTAGAGTCTTGGGTATAGAGCTTGGGGTTTAGATGTTGGGCTTAGGAAATGGATTTAAGGCTTGGGGTTCGGGGATTTGGGCTGTAAGGTGTGAGGGTTTTGGATGGTGCTTAAGGACGAGATACGGAGCTTCATACTTCATAGAAAAGCAACCACCAACATGTCGGGCCTTTTGGAGTACATGTAAACCTGAAACTCATACATACTTGACCCCAAAGACCAGCGCAGAGACCCAGACTAAACGCGAAACCCTCGACTCCTACAGACCCTGTAAACCCCACAACCTCCTGCAGAATCGAAATAAGCCTCATATAGGAACCCTTAGAGGAACCCAGAAAAGAACCCCTCCAAAGAACCCTCAACGGAGTGCGAGACCTGGGATGGCCGGGAAGGCGAGCAAAACCTCCAAGTCGTTCCCCTGGCCGTCCTCGCTAGGATCCTTGGTGGGTGTAGGGTTTTTTTTACTTGCGTGGTTGTCAAAATTACGGTCCTCTTTGGATCCTTTATTATAATACGGCACCTAATATTTAGGGTACCCAAAAAGGGGCCATAACTTTTGACAACTACCCAATTAGACGTCTTGGTGTTAAGAATCAAGAGCCAAGAAGCTCTCGGCTTCGGGGGTTTCGGGCTCAAGCTTGCGCGGCTGAAGTCTGAAGGGTTTAGGGTTTTGGGATTAGGGTTTTGGGTTTAGGGTTTAGGGTTTTGGGTTTAGGGTTTTGGGTTTAAGGTTTTGGGTTTAGGGTTTCGGGTTTAGGGTTTAGGGTTTTGGGTTTAGGGTTTAGGGTTTTGGGTTTAGGGTTTAGGGTTTAGGGTTCAGCAGCTCCGGGTCGAGCAGTTTTAAAGTAGAGTTGTGTTTACGGTTGAGAAATAACACCCACCCACCCTTAGAATCCCATAACATCAGGGAAATACAAAGTTTCACTTCTTTCGCGGATGAAGGCCCAACCTTCAGACCAACCTTAATGAATTCGCGGATTAAGGCCCAAAATTTCGGACCAACCTTAATGAATTCGCGGATTAAGGCCCAAGCTCGCGGATTAAGGCAAAAGCTTCAGACCAACCTTAATGAATTCGCGGATTAAGGCCCAAAATTTCGGACCAACCTTAATGAATTCGCGGATTAAGGCCCAAGCTTCAGACCAACCTTAATGAATTCGCGGATTAAGGCCCAACCTTCAGACCAACCTTAATGAATTCGCGGATTAAGGCCCAACCTTCAGACCAACCTTAATGAATTCGCGGAATAAGGCCCAACCTTCAGACCAACCTTAATGAATTCGCGGATTAAGGCCCAAAATTTCGGACCAACCTTAATGAATTCGCGGATTAAGGCCCAAGCTTCAAACCAACCTTAATGAATTCGCGGATTAAGGCCCAACCTTCAGACCAACCTTAATGAATTCGCGGATTAAGGCCCAACTTTCAGACCAACCTTAATGAATTCGCGGATCAAGGCCCAAAATAAGCGGCTCATTGAGGTTGGCCTGAAGGTTGGGCCTTAATCCGCGAATTCATTAAGGTTGGTCTGAAGCTTGGGCCTTAATCCGCGAATTCATTAAGGTTGGTCTGAAGCTTGGGCCTTAATCCGCGAATTCATTAAGGTTGGTCCGAAATTTTGGGCCTTAATCCGCGAATTCATTAAGGTTTAAATTACTATATGATAAAGAGGTTTAGGGTTTAGGGTTTAGGGTTTTGGGTGTAGGGTTTAGGGTTTTGGGTTTAGGGTTTAGGGTTTAGGGTTTAGGGTTTTGGGTTTTGGGTTTAGGGTTTAGGGTTTAGGGTTTCGGGTTTAGGGTTTAGGGTTTTGGGTTTAGGGTTTAGGGTTTAGGGTTTTGGGTTTAGGGTTTAGGGTTTAGGGTTTAGGGTTTAGGGTTTAGGGTTGCAGGGTTTCTGGCTTAGGGTTTACGACCCGGAGAACGCCACTACGCATGTTTGCTCTGGCAAATCGGGGAATGTATTTCAATCACCTTGAACGGTCGAAAAAACGTACCAATACAGGGACCGTAGTAGTTTGACTTGGGTTGTGGGTACTATCATCACATGTTTGTGATAAGAAACCCTTCTCACCAGCTTTCCGCATCAAATGTTCCGGCTTTTATAGGAAGCTACCAGTCTTGAACAATCCATGACGAGTCAAAAAGTGGGACAGCTAAACCCCAAACCCGAAATTTTCAGACCTAAACCCCAAGCCCCAGACCCCAAACCCCACACCCCCAGAGAGCCCAATACCCCTTAATAAAAAATAATATAGCTTAAATCATAATATGAAGCCCTAGATAATTTGAGCCATATTCCTTTTAACTTAGGGGGATTGGGCTCTCTGAACCCGAAAATTCAGGGCCTCAGCTGCACAAAAGGATAAAGACCCTGAGCCCCGACACCCAACGCTTCCTCAGGCGTTGAACCCTAACCCCTCGTTTTGAAGCGTCCGTGCATCCAGTGCAGCAGGTAAGAAATGCTGCTGTAGTTAGAACAATAAGAAGAAGATTTATTACAATGACAGTAGCACAGACAATAACAATAATGATAATCAAATAGATCTAATGGCAAGGATAACAGCGAGGACAGTAGTAATCATAGTTGCAAGAAGAACAATGACGAAACTAGTAGTGCTACTTCCAAGAACAGCTTGTATGATCACTATTATCCGTGATTTCTCCCGGAATGCTAACCAACACTTAGTACTATTTTATGCCCAAGTGCTTCACTCTATTCAAACGAATCTTTTTGAATACAACTCAAGGCTCTTTCTTCCGGGCGAGGACTCGGAAAACCTGCTCCACGTCGTTCACCTGCGGGTGCTCCAAATCCTTTCATTACCGGATCCGTCACTCAGAGGGTCCAAGTACCCAAATAGCGCGGTTTTAGTTCCCCCAAAATCCATACTCTGAGTAGTTTTTGGACTGTGAAACCCTACTATTTGGGTACTTGTACCCTTAGGGTCAACTAGGGGACGGAAACACCAAGTCTCCTTATCCCTGAACTCTTAACCCTAAACTCAAACACAAACAAAGTTTCCGTAATCTCAGTGTTAACTAGGAGTACTACTGGGGCTTGTGGGTGTACAAGTTAGGGCTTTCTGTTTTAAGCACCTCTTTCCAGAAGTTAGGGCCTTAGGGCTTACCTTGACCCTGAAAGACCTACCTTTCTAGGGCTCCTTATGATGATTTCTTTATATGAGTCCTTAGAAAGGCGGGCGGTTGTCAAAATCATGGTCCTTTTTGGGTCCGATTACAATAGGGCACCTATTATTGAGGGTACCCACAAACGGACCCTAATTCTGACAACCACCCAGGTAGGCTATTCGGTGTTAAGGTAGGGCCTTACTTGAGATCTCTCGGATGTCGGGCTTCAGGGCAGGGTTTATAGGGCTCCACTTGGAGGGTCGGGGGACTTAGTGACTGGTTATTTTAGGGACTTATAAGTACCATAACCCCAATTAGGGTCCCTTTTAGGGTACTTATAGCTCCCAGGGCTTTTGTTAGGGTTTCGAGTTTCGGGTCTCGGGCTTTGAGGTTTTGGGGGTTTAGGGTTTTAGGGTTTAGGGTTTAGGTATCAGGGTTTTAGGGTTTTGGGGCTTTAGGGTTTTAGGGTTTAGGGTTTCAGGGTTTAGGGTTTTAGAGTTTTAGGGTTTAGGTTTAGGGTTGTCGGGTTTAGGGTTTTGGTGTTCTGAGGCTTCAAGCCTCTACTGCTTCTTTGGGATTGGGTGGAGGTGTTGGGGAAGGCCCCGGCTCAATTTGATATTGCGTTCAAGCCCGAAACCCGAAACCCTAAACCCCAAACCCTAAACCCTAAACTAAGCGATCCCTTTTACAAAGGTGATACTTGGAGGATCATGGGACTTAGTCGGTAAGGTTATAAGCACCTTAATTGGGGTTATAAGTAGTTATAAGTATAGCTTCCTCTATAAAACCACAGTTCCTAAGTCCCATGACCCTTTAAGTAATGCTTCAGGGCCTGCAGCCCCGCCCTCCAGGTCACGGCACCCAGGAACCTCGGAGAACACCCCGGCTGCGGCTGTGGTTTTAGGGTCTTCGGGCTCCTTCAAGCGTTTCCCAGAGAGCCCAATGCCCCTTAATTAAGGAATATGGCTTAAATCATGATATGAAGCCCAATATGATTTAAGCCATATTCCTTAATTAAGGGGTATTGGGCTCTCTGGGTTATAGGGTTTAGGGCTTTTGAGGGTCTCTGGGTTCCTTAAAGCGTTTACAGGGTTTAGGGTCTTTTGGGGTTTAAGGGTTCCCGAAAGGGTTTCGGGCTAAGGGTTTGGGGTGTTTGTTCCGGTCCTTGGGTTTACAAGAGGGTTTTAGGGTTTAGGGTTTAGGGTTTAGGGTTTAGGGTTTTGGGTTTTGGGTTTAGGGTTTAGGGTTTTGGGTTGGTGTTAGCGCTCTTTGGGTTCGAAACGGTGTTCCTTAAAGTAGAGTCTTTTGGTTCCTTCACACCTTTATAGGGTTTAGGATGTCTTAGGGTCTTCGGGTTCCTTGGAGGGTTCCTTAAAGGGTTCCTTAAAAGCTCTGGGAGCCAGGAAGCTCGTCCGGCGCTCCCTTCGTCAGCATCGCTGAGGTCCTAAGGCAGGCGCTTGCAACGTCCGCAAACCCGCATAACACCCTGACGGCGTTCTTTCTAAGGGTACCTTTAAAGGGATCTATAGGGGTTCCTTATAAGGGTACCTTTAAAGGGATCTATAGGGGTTCCTTCCTTATAAGGGTACCTTCATGGATCTATAGGGGTTCCGTAGAAGGGTTTCTTTAAAGGGATCTTAACGGTGTCTTGGAGGGTCGGGGGACTTAGTAAGTAGGTAATAAGTAGGCTTCTAAGTCTCTAAAGTAACTACTTGCTAAGTTTTCTCGACCCTCCAAGTATAATACAACACCGTCACGAATCCCTTGTAAAAACCTGCATAAAGCCCCTGTAGCCGGGCTGAGGGTGCCCAAATTCCGAAGACAGGGCCTTACCGGGATCAGGGCTCGCGTGACTCCCATTCCTAAGGATCTCAAAGGAAGGGGCTGAAGGACTTTAGGGTTTCGGCTCTGGGGTTTGAGAATGTGTTGGGCTTTGGGGCATAAGGATGCTGAGGGTTTAAGGATGTCTAGGGTTTAGGTCGGCTTAAGGATGCTTACAGGGGTGTATAGGTTTAGGGCTCCGCGAACCCTACCTGCCAGACCTCACACGCCGAACCCCGAGATCGTGGACCCCGGTTGTCATCCCAAACTAGCACAACGTATAAAACAAAGCAAACTCTAAACCCTAAACCCTAAACCCCAAACCCCAAACCCCTACACCCCAAACCCCTAACCCAAAACCCCAAACCCCTAAACCCAAAACCCCAAGACCCTAAACCCCAAACCCCTAAACCCCTAAACCCAAAACCCCCAAACCGCTGAACTTCACATTTCAAGTTCAACCCAGAGACTCCAATATCCCTTAATTAAGGAATATACCGTACATCATATTTGGGATCCCACTATAATTTAAGGTATATTCCTTAATTAAAGGATATTGGAGTCTCTGGGAAGCACCGAAGCCCGAAGATCACCTCGGACAGCTAACAAAATCAGAGACCTTAAACGCCAACATGGCCTCAAACCGCAGGGGTTTAGGGCTCCTTTAAAGGGTACCTTTAAAGGGATCTATAAGGGGTGCCATAGTGTTTGCGGCTAAGACCCTAAAACCTCATCCAAACTTTGAGAAGTTTTGGGCCGTAGGGATTGAAAATCTTAGGAGGCCACGAATCCCACATCTCGAGTGCCGAAACGAACCCCACAAGCGCATACTATAGGGGCCTTAACAAGAAGAATAGGGTTTTGGGGTATACTTCTAAAATAAGGGGTAATTATTAAGGCCCTTACATTACTGCTCTAAACTCAAACACAAAACCACGGAACCCGATACTGTAATCTTGGAACCCAATTTTATTAAACACTACGACCCAGCAAGACAACACACACCTTCAGAACCCGTTTAGGTTCCTGCGGTTGATGATATAAACTCTGCAAGGACCGTAACCTATGGGAAGTATGGCATATTCCTTATTATGGGTTATGCAAGATTTATATCATCGACAGTACAACAAACCTTCAGTCCCAAAGCGAAAGCCCTAAGTCCTCACTCTAAGCATTTCTTACGACACCCTTCTAGAAACCACTCTAGAAATTCTTCCTTGCATCCTGCAAGGGTCTCAAAAGAACACCAAAAAACTTTCAGTCCGAAAACCCGAAGCCCTAAACCCTGAACCCGAAACCTTGAACCCTGAAACCCAACCCTAAACTCTAAACCCCTCAACCCTAAACCCTGAACTCTAAACCCCTAAACCCTAAACCCTGAACTCTAAACCCCTAAACCCTAAACCCTGAACCCGAAACCCTAAGCCCCGGATGGCCTCTGGCCATTGGGGGACTCAAGGAGCAGACGTCGCAGCCTCCGGAGACCCAGCAGCACCTGAGAATTGCGGCTCAAAGTTTCGGGCTTAAGGTTTAAGGTTTATGGCTTTAGGATTTAGGTGTTTAGAGGTTCAGGGTTTCGTGGTTCAAAGTTTCGGGCTTAAGGTTTAAGGTCTAAGGTTTTGGCTTGGGGTTAAGTTTGAAGGTTTACGGTATAGGGTTTACTGTGCTGTCAGTGTGCGGCTGTGTTTTTGGCTTCTGCGCTTCCTTGCTTCTTGGGAGACGAGGGGTGGGCGGGAGGGCTTAACGCTGGATGCTCGGGGGTTGCTAATCAGACTTACTTGGAGGATCATGGGACTTAGTAAGTAAGGTTATAAGGACCTTAACTGGGGTTATAAGTAATTCGAAGTATGGTTACCTTCATTATAACCCTAGTTACTAAGTCCCCTGATCCTTTAAGTAGCGTTCTTACTCCGGTGTTCTTGCCAGGGCTCTTTAACGGGCTTTCGCCTGGGTCTAAGGTACCTACCTTCCTTACAGAAAAGGCGTGCGATGTGTCTTGTAGCAAGTTTGCCATGGGCTTCGGGCTTGAGGAATACCAATCTGATAATGACGACGTGGAAGATGACCATGACATACGGAGAAGACTACTACTGAGTAGTTACTACTGTTAACAACCAGTGGCCGCCAACAATAACAATTACTGTCACCATCGTCGCGATAGACGAAGTCACGAAAGAATCATAGTACTCGTCCCTTGGGAGATAAAACCCAATCACTACGAATAGTAAAAGTCGTTAAGCAGCAAGAGCGTGCACCAGTGTTCATTGCGCTTGTATGTACGTAAAGAAAAGAACAAGTACGTCAAGATGTCTACCAAAACAACGAAAACTTTAAGAATACAAAAAGGAGGAACGAACCTACAGAAAATTTCACAGCTCCGAGCACCAGCGGTTCGAAGGCCCCGGTAAGCTGTTCCAGGAACCCGGGATCCTTCGCGTCTGTCGGGCTTGAGGTGCCCATAGTAGGATTTAAGTTTTAGGGTTTAGGCTTGTAGGTTCTGGGGCTTACAGTAGAGAGTTCGGGTCTTGAACGATTTCGAAAAAAACGATCGAAAACAAGGCTCTGCACTCCACGGGGTCTCGTAAAATTTTGGGGAAAGCTTTCAGATGTAAAGTTCGTGGTTTGGGTTTAAGCCTCAGTACTCGGGGGGTTACGGTTACGGATGTGCGCTCAGCGCTGCAAGTTCCTGGTTTTATCAATTCTTGCAAGTTTCACGGGTCGCCTAAACCCGAAAAAAAACCCTAAACCCAACACTCTAACCCCTAAACCAAAGGGCTCAGGGCTTCTGTTCGGTCTAAGACAGTGGGTCCCTTTTGTCAGCTTCCGGGTCGAACATCTTTGATGTAAAGTTTACTGCCTAGGGCTTGCGAGGTGTGTACAGATAACCCCAAGCCATTTAAGGATTAGAGTAAAGCTTACTTACGGAGTGTCCTCATCCTCAAGGCCTTACTGTTTCCCTCGTTCGACTTTTGCCCCATAAATCCAGGACAATCCCCCGGTTTAGGGTTAAGGGTTAGGTTTTAGGCTGATGGGAGAATGGCTACAATAGCAGAATGCCCTACAGGGAATACGAGCAGCGAAGGCTCCAAAATGAGCTACGGTGAACTCCAGAAAGTTAGAACCGCTCTAAGGGTGCAAGCACACGGTATAGTCTCCCAAAGACAAACCTTTAAATGCACTATGGCTAAGCCCAGCTACCGAATTACCGAATATTAGGTCCTTCGGACCTGATATTCCAACATAAGAGTCCTTAAATACGGGATCCTTCATCCTACCTACCCTGATCGCACCTTTTGTGGCCTTCGATTATCATGATGTTCAGCACCATCTACTTGTCCAGTACCTAAGCGAACCAAAGGTTAACCTTTGGGGTTATATTGTACGGATTGCAGTACCCCGACAAGCTTGAAGGTTGCCTACTCTACTGCTAGGATTCTCATGATGTTCCCATTCATCCGGCTTCTTCTTCCCAAAGCCTCCCTAAACCCTAAAGCCCACACCCCAAACCCAGAACCCGAAACCTAAAGCCTGCAATTCCGGAAGTCTTCTAGAAACCTTATAGACGGTTTAGGGTTTAGGGCTAAGGGTTTAGGGTTTAACTCTCCCACCCCACGCCGTCTAAGGTGGCCAAACCACCCAAACCTATTCCTTTCAGGGTTCAGCAGCTAAACTCATTCCGCAGGGTAGGGAACGGGAGGGCAACAGCAGGCAGGGTAGGGCAGGGCAGGGCAGAGAGGGCAGCCAAGGGGCAGGGCAGGGCAACACACAGGCAGGGCAGGGCAGGGTGAAGGGCATGCGGCATAGAAAAACAACAAAACTAAGCGACCAAAGAGACCTGGCCTGACGTGGGTGGGTGCTACCCTGCAACGCTGTGGAGAGGCTGGCGCGTGTCTTGCGCCGGTCTGCGCCATCGAGGTCGAGGTCGAGGGGCTTAAGCGCCAAGTAGGTGGGCGGCCTGTGCCTTGAGTTTAGGGTAGACCCAGAGACTCCAATATCCCTTAATTAAGGAATATACCTTAAATTATAGTAGGATCCCTAATATGATTTAAGGTATATTCCTTAATTAAGGGATATTGGAGTGTCTGGGGAGTCCCTATAAAGGCTCTCGAGGATCCCGTGTCCTCGCGCAGCTCCGGCCGGAAGGGGAGGAGGATGTGAGTCCCTCGACTTGGTTCCTCAAGACCGCTCCTCGGAGCGGTGTTGGGGCTGTGCGATTTCGGTGGGTTTAGCGTTCAGGGCTGGGGGCTGCTAGCAGCTTTCATAAAGGCTTTTAGAACTTGGGGTTTGGGGTTTCGTAAGAATTCACAACATTACGAAGTTCGGGGGTTTGCGGCTTGATAAACGGTCATGGGGTTGCATAGCTTGTGCTTTCGGATTATGTATCAGATTTCATTCGTTGCATGTTGCAACTTGCGGTTTCACAGGGTGGGGATTTGGGATCCGGGCAGGTTTAGGCAATCGCAGCTAGCAGGGCTTTGGCTCGAGAGTCTTGGAGTACGCGTATACTTGGAGGATCATGGGACTTAGTAAGTAGGTTTATAAGTACCCTAATTGGGGTTATAAGTAACTATAAGTATAGTTACCCTAATTATAACCTCAGTTACCAAGTCCCATGATCCTTTAAGTAGTGCCACAGCCAGTCTGGAGGCTCTATTGCGCTGAAGGCCTGGACCCCCAAGGTTCCGAAAAAAACGGTGAGCTGCTCATATCGGGGCTCTGGCTAAGTCTATGCTACGAAGCCTCCTCAAGCGCACCCCTACTTGCAAATAAAAAGCTGCAAGCACCACACGGACCTCCAAGCAGGGACAACGCAAAGTTGCACGGCAGGGATCGGAAGCCGCTCCAGCCACCGCGGGGTGATGTATGCGAGCTCATCCATCCCAGGGATCTGGAGGCATGAGTCATAAGTCTGAGCAGATTCCCACTGAAAGGCCTAAGGATCCACATTAACTAGGGACCCATACTTCTAGCTTTCGGGATTGACATAGGGTTCGGTTTAGGGTTTAGGGTTTAGGGTTTAGGGTTTAGGGTTTAGGTCCTTTTCGTGCTCCTCTTTGGGTGTTTTTGAGAGTTTAACCATCTGTGTTGTATAAGGGCTCCATGATATATGTCCCTGAGTAATTACAGTAGGGGGTTGGGTTTGTATCTAGTCCAAGTGAAAAGAACCCTGCCGACTCGTATTGTTTTTATTCAGGCTTGCGTACCAAGCCCAGAGAGTGAAACTCTTTTCGGCGTTTTGGGTTTAGGCTTGAGGGTTTGGGGCTCGAGTTTTCTGGTTGAGGGCTTGGCATTCAAACTTTCGTTTATTCAGTAGTTTCGACTATTTCCAGATGCAGAAACAACGCCTCACCTGTCAAAATTCAGGTCTGGGGTATGGACCACTGGCATCCTCCATAGTCCTGCTAAGATCACGTACTTTGTGTTGTGTATTGAGGCTTCTGGGCTTAGGAGCTTTGGGACTTGGGATTTGGGACTTGGGATCTGCAAGCTTTAGGTTTCAAGGTAAAAGCCAGAAAGTTGGAATATGATTATCCTAAACCCTTTATGGTAAATTATGGGGTATCCTACCCTGAAACCATATTCCAACTTTCTGGAGTTCCCTTTAGGATGCTCCAGTTCTGGTTCAGGGTGCAAGATTCGGGTCTGGGCTCCCGCACTCGAAGCCCTCCAGACCCTCGATCGGAAGTACTGGATAAACCTACGAAACCCGCCCCACGCCCTCGATTCTGAAGTGCACGTGCCTCAAACTGAAAGCGGAAGAGGCCGGAAATGACCTGGCGAAAGACGGGTTCACGGTTCGGGGTTTGGGGTATAGGGGTCAAGGTCAAGGGTGTGGGGTTTCAGGGTTTAGGGCAAGGAAACCTGGTTGAAGGGTTTCCATCGGACTTTGCCGCATGCGTTCTTTCTGGCTGCAGCAGTAGCACACCCCAGTCCTGTATGATCCATATAGGAACGATACTAAACCCTAAACCCCCTAAATTAAAACTCCTCCAGAGCCGAGGGTTTAGGGTTTGAGGGTTCAGGATCCCTCGGGTTCAGGAAACCTTACTCTACCCATCCCTGATTCCAACAAAAGAAAACTAAACCCGAAACCCCGAAACCCTAAACCCCACCTTGGGAATCCTAACGCAAGCCTTCGGAACTTACCTGGGATGCCTCTCCGCCCGATTTCGGCCCCTACATACTGTAGTTTTGCGACAGAACGTTGAAGATTTGCGCTTAGGGTTTATGGTTTAGGGCTGAAGATGTTTGGTGTAGGGTTTCAGGTTTAGGTTTTACAGTTTAGGGTTTCGGGAATGAAAACACACACATATATACATATGTATATATATATATATATATATATATATATATAGATATATATATATATACACCTCTAACATATACCCACAGAACAGCGAAGCTCGAGGGGCAAAGGTTGAACCTTGTATCTCGGAGCACCGCCACAGCCCAAAATCTTGGAGTCAGTCGAACACCTGAATTCTAAATGTCACGACCCACCCTGTTGAAAATAGCCTTCTGAAGCTTGAAACCACTCAACACCACAAGAAAGATGAGCACCGCAAAAAAACGACACAAACAAACAGAAAAACCGACCGTCTTGTTCCAAGCCAAGAAGCCGCCGGGGAGTTGGAACAGGCGAAGACGGACTTGAAGCCCACGCCCTCAAAGCTGCGCGGAAAAGCGGACTGTTAATTTTTCGACGACGATGATGACGACTGCTAGGTGGGGATGCAGGCACGGGATCCATCACAAAAAGGCGTTTGGCCGCACCGCAACTTGCTTCAAAGCATTCCCAAAACTGCAAAAAAAACAATACAACCACTCGAAACGCCAAGAGCAAACGCTGTAGAATCCTCACAACAAAACCCTTTTTCTGGTATTGAGGGTTCATAGTTTGACATAGGGGGTTTGCAGGTTTGCAGTTTTGCACTGGGTTTAGGATTTTGATTCTATCGACGTTGCCCCCTGGCGTATGAATGCCAGTCATGCTCCTTAATCGCAGCCTAAACCCTGAACCAATTTGAAAACCCCCTGAACCGGAATGCTCCGCCCGTGCTTTGAGACTCAAAGGCTCGCAAACGGATTATTGCTTATATAACTTCTACCTAACCCTAATTACAACGTCTGCACAAGGCTCACGATCTTCGACTAACCCAAGCAAAAAAAGGAGACCACAATGGGAATCTACAGGGAAGGGCTCAAAGCACTCAGTAGAGGGGGCCGCCTACGACCCAACAGGTTATGGGGTTGAGGCTTCAGGGTTTGAGATTGACGGAGCTTAGCTTCAGGATTTAGGGCTTCAGGCTCTGAGTTTGGAGTTAGGGTAAGTAAGGGGCTTGGCCGGAAGGCAAAGGAAGCAGTGCATGTAGGATAGCTCTGCTCGGGCTGCTTCGCAGCTGACATCGAGCGATGCCATTTCCTTTGACTCACCCGCAGGTTCAAGACGCCAGCGATTGACGAGCTTTTCCACAGGCAAACCAGAAGGCTACCGCGATGTCGCTCGTGTAGGAGAGCCACGATGAATCCTTGTCATTTGCAATGATGGCTTGGGATTCATGCCGATGTGAACGATGAGGGGATAGTGTGAGTCGCTATCGTTCTCTGAGAGTCGCAACTCCTCGCTCGTCCAGCGCTCTTCTACCGCGCTCTGCACTTCGCCTCGCAGTTGAGGCAGGTTTGCGAAATTCAGCAGCACGCAACAGATCTCCGTGCTGCGATTACAATGCAGAGCCTCGTGACTCGCTCCCTCGAACTGCTCGATAACACTGTCCAACCCCCGAACCCTCACACCACCCGTGCTTCTCGGACTCACGCGCCGACTCTTCAGCCACCGAAAATCCCGAAACTAGGGTTTAGGGTTTAAGAGGTTTAGGGGTTTGGGGTATTGGGTTTTGGGTTGAAGGGTTCAGGGGTTTAGGGGTTAGGGCTTAGGGTTACCAATCCGAAAGCCTGAATCCTAAAGCCCTCAACCCCAAATCCCTAGAAGTCATTGAGCCCGAGGCCTTGTGGCCCAGAAACTCGCCACCTTTCTTGGTGGACACAGCGAGCCTGAATGTCTAGGGTTAAGGGTTTAGGGTCTAGGGTTTAGGGGCCTACACCCTAAACCCTAAACCGCGGTTTTAGGTCTTGAAAAGAGGCTCCCGAGCCCCCTCATTTAGGCATGTGCTGCAAATTCACGCGGGATCCTTGACGTGATCTCACCCAAGACCTGCAGTTCCCTAAATAACGAGGTAGAGACCAGTATGGTTAGTAACCTACTACCCAGGCAACTGGAACCCTGGCGTAAGGTATCTTCTGAGTTAAAGGGGTTTAGTGCCACCTGGGGGTTTGGAAAGAGCCAGGGCTCAGGCCTCTAAGGTCCGAATGATTGGCGATACGGTTGATGATATAAATCCTGCATTACCCATAATAAGGAATATACCATAATTCCCATGGTTTTGGGCTTGGGTCCTTAAGGTAATGCAGGATTTATAGCATCAACAGTAGCATTCCCTTACCTACTTGTCGGGTATCATGGGCAACCAAAGGCTAACCTATTTGGTTATATAGGCATTATGTTACCAAAAAAGGTTAAAGGTTACCTACTCTACTACTAGGCTTATGATCCTTTAGCTTGCTTAGCCGGAGCCTGTTTTCAGTTCTCAGGCTCATATGTAGCACAAGATGTTTGGGAAACTTCCGAGTATGCGATATCTTTCAGGCGTCGGCCCTTGCTCATGCGGCTCTGATAAAGCTGACTACTACCCAGAGAGCCCCATACCCCTTAATTAAGGAATACAGCTTAAATCATAATATGAAGCCCTATATAATTTAAGCCATATTCCTTAGTTAAGGGGTATTGGGCTCTCTGGGTATAGCAACTGCAAGCACTCGTTTTGCAGCACTTCTAAGTTTTTCGCTTTCGCGGCCCAAGAGCCCGAAGGCTCAACATGCGTGTGACAACTCCACTTATATGCTCTCATTAGGGTTTAGGGTTTAGGGTTTAGGGTTTAGGGTCTAGGGTTTTGGGTTTAGGGCACCTGAGCCCAGATGTATAGTTCGGACCACTCTGTCTACTTTGACTCCTAAAAGTTACGACAACACCAGCTCTGGATCCACAGCAGCCTCCTACGTCCCTCAACCCCGAACCCTCAGGGCCTGAACCCTAAAGCCCTTGACCTAAACCCTCGGCCCTGAAGAAGACTACAGAAAGTTTAAGCCTTAAACCCTAAAACCAAATTCCTGAACCCTAAACCTAATCAGAACCTCAAACCCAGAGGGTCCAACGGTTGATGATATAAATCCTGCGTTACCCATAATAAGGAATATACCATAATTTCCGTAGTTTCGGGTCCTTCGGGTAATGCAGGATTTATATCATCAACCGAAGTACCCAAATAGTAGGGTTTTAGGTCCCAAGATCCATACTCTAAATGGTCTTTGGACGTTGAAGCCCTACTACTTGGCTACTTGTACCCTTCGGGACAAGTAAACCGTAAAAACCCTCCACCCTAAACCCTAAACCCCAGACCCTAAACCCGAAAAAGCTACTTTGAATCATGATCCCAATAGCCGCCAGGAGGCGAACAGAGCGACAGCACATCGCATGCCCGAAATCCGACCTTGCACAGGGGTGTCTTGTGCTGGCGAATGCTGAACCCACTGAACCGAAGCCTCAAGCAAACACCAGCAAGAAAGGAACAAAACATGCACAGTAGTAAGGAAGGAAAACGACATGCACTTGAAACAGTAAACCCCACACCCTGAACAGCCACCCCATGTTACTTACCCACACCCGCCTACGTTCCAAACCGCAGAATCGATGCTAAAGCGCCATCCGCATATCCTAAACCCTAAACCCCTAAACCCTAAACCCTAAACCCCTAAACCCTAAACCCTAAACCCTAAACCCTAAACCCCTAAACCCTTAAACCCTAAACCCCTAAACCCTAACCCCTAAACCTCCCCAAAAGGGCTTGCCTCGTTGTAGGAGAAGCGGGCCTCTGTGACACTCAGCGACCTCGGGAGCTCAGACCAGAAAGAGCCCTGAAAACTTACTGCCGTTTAGGGTTCAGGGTTTAGGGTTTAGGGTTTAGGGGTTTAGGGTTTTAGGGGTTTAGGGGTTAGGGTTTAGGGCTTAGGGTTTTTAGGATTTTAAGGTTTAGGGTTTAGGGTTTTTAGGATTTTAAGGTTTAGGGTTTAGGGTTCAGGGTTTAGGGTTCAGGGTTTAGGGTTTTTAGGATTTTAAGGTTTAGGGTTAAGGGTGTTTAGGATTTAGGGTTTAGGGTTTAGGTTTAGGGTTTAGGGTGTTTAGGATTTAGGGTTTAGGGTTTAGGGATCATAAAGCTCGAAACCTAAGGCACTCAAGAAGGAAAAGAAGGCCGAAGGGACGGCAAAGGACTTCGGGGTTGTCAGTTTAGGGCTAAGGGTTCTTGTTCAAGGGCGGACCGAGAAGGTTTGGGTTCAGGTTTTAGTCAAAGGGGAAAACGAGGGACCCTTAATGGGGACCCCTACCTTATAATGGGCTATATAATGGGCTAAAAATAGCTATATTAAGGGTATATACCTAGGAGTCCTTATCAAGGGTCCCTCCTTTCATCCTTGGATTTAGGGTTTAAGTGAGGTCTTGGGTACAGGGCTTGTGGTCTGACAGACTCTGTCAGTGATGCGAGTTGAGGCTTCCCTAAACCCTAAACCAATAAACCCCAATGCCTACCTGGACCCTAAGGAACCTACCTTTTTAGGGTTCCCTGATATAATTTCTTTATATAAGTCCTTAGAAAGGTAGGGAACGTAGGGTTAAGGTAAACCCTAAATAAGCCCGATAAACCCTTAAAACCCTAGACCCCTGCCACAAGGAACCCGAAAGCCTGAAGCTCACAGCCTCAGGCCCCGGCATGGTGAAGCTGGGATCATCTTCCACAGGATAGGCGCAGTCGTCCTCTTAGGGTTTAGGGTTTAGGATTTAGGTTTAGGGTTTAGGGTCCAACACCCCAAACCCCGAACCCTAAACCCCAACAACACTACACGGTAAACCGCTGAACCCTGAGCCCAGAACCTGGGACGCGCCCCCTGCACCCTGCATCCCAAGAGACCGCATCTGCAAAATCCTGCTGCAAAAGCAAACTAAAAACATAGTTGTGTTTGGAAAACCCTCCGGCTTTGTAGCAAAACTATCTAAACCCGCTGTAAACCCTGACAAGATCACCAATTCAAGTATCACAGCCCTTGAACGCAACAGGATTCCGCATCTGGTGGGGACCTTGGGCTGGGTCCGCTTCCCGGCAAGGAAAAAACCGGAAGCTCAAACGCCTTGAACCCTGTTTAATGTTTGGGGTTTAGGGTTCAGGGTTTAGGGGTTTAGGGTTCAGGGTGTAGGGTTTAGGGTTTAGGGGTTTAGGGTGTAGGGTTTAACACTTAACACCAGGACGATTGAGCTCCTTTCTCAAGCCTTTGGGGTGACTGCAAAGAGTTCTTGCAAGGGATTGTATAATGGATGTACAAGGGTTCCATAAGGATCTATGACTGGATCCTCAAACCATTTTGGTCAAACAGACCAGAGTCTATTCCGTGAAACAAGGGTCGGCGTTCTGCAGCAGTTCGTCGACGAAGTGCACCGGCGATGTGTAAAGGCTTTCGCCGAGTTGTCTCAGCGCGCCACCTCGCGGCTGTCAGTCCAAGGTTAGGCTTTAGGGTTCAGGGCTGGAGGTAAGGGTACTGTGCTGACTTTTGCAGCTGAGTTATCAGGTCAAACGACGACCACACGTTTCAAAAGAAGTTTACGAAGCCTACAAAATAGCTTCTTTTTCACATTTACGGCTTTAGGGTTTTGGGTTTCATATTCAAAACTTAACCTAAAATTTGCAAGCTAATCTTTAGGGTGTTAGGCTTCATATTTACAAACAGGCACATTATACTATACTTACAATAAGGAACCCCCAAAAAAGTTTTTCGTTATTTCGGCCCCTTTTGTGAACCTAAACCCTAAATCCTAAACCCTAAGTAAACCTAGAGGGCCCAGCGGCACAGCGATGGCCGCAGCGCTCGGACCCCGTCGCGGCGCTTGGCGAGGCGGAGGAGAAACGCTTTGGCCTCCTCGATGGTCCTTGGAGGGTTTCGGGTTCAGGGTTTGTTTATTGAAAGCTCGTTTTCGTTACCGCCGGGTTCAGGGTCCAGGGTTTTTTTTTAAAGGGTCCAGGGTTTAGGATTCAGGGATTAGGGTTTCGGGTTCAGGGTTTTGGAGTGTTGAAGGCTTATCGAGTCCTATCTGTTTTACGATCCTGTTTAAACGGCTTTTTTCCTCACTGCATTCTCAGCTCCGTCTGTACTTAAGGGATCATGGGACTTAGTACCTAGGGTTGTAATTCAGGTAGCTATACTTATAGTTACTTATAACCCCATTTAAGGTACTTATAACCCTACTTACTAAGTCCCGTGACCCTCCAAGTAGATTATAAACCCTAAACCCCTATAGATCCCTTTAAGGCACCCTATAATTACATCCCTTTAAGGAGCCCTTTAAGGAACCTAAGTATGACCATACTTTCTAAGGCCCATGACCCTCCAAGTACGGTCTGGGCCTCTGGCCTTTTTTGGACTTTCTAGGGCTTTTGTGTTTTGGCATGTCTCTCGTTTAGGGCTCTATGTGTTTGGGGGGCCTATTACCTATAGGGTTCCTTTAAACGGCCCTATAAGGGTTACTACAAGGGCTCTATAAGATAGGGCATCATGGACGCAAGAGCCCCTTCCCTGAATACACGAATCCACCTCAAAGCCCTTGACCTACACCCCTGCAAGTCTAGGTCTTGGTATGCCACAGTTGAACCGCACAACTTAGAAATCCCCGAACCGTAGAACCTTAAATCTGCAACTAACCGGAAAGCCTCAAAACCCAACACAAAAAAACACCGAATCCCCAATCGCCCTACAGAAAGCCTCAAAGCCCTCAACCCCCAACCTAAAATCAAAAGCCCTAATTAAACCCTAAACCCTAAACTCTAAGCCCTAAACCCCAAGCCCAAACCATGGGACTTTCTGGGGGCAGGGCAGTGCGGGGGAGTCGGCGCGAAGTGCCGGGTCAGCTTCATCGTCGGCCGCGACGTCACCCTCGAACGGTTCAGCTTGCGGGTTCAGGGTGTTTCGGTTGGTTTAGGGCTTTATGGTTTAGGGTCTACCTGGACCCTAAGGAACCTACCTTTTTAGGGCACCCTGAAATGATTTCTTTATATAAGTCCTTAAAAAGGTAGGGTACGTAGGGTTAAGGTAGGGTTTAGGGTCTAGGGTCTAGGGTTCAGGGTTTAGGGTTTACCTTAACCCCGACTAACCTGCCTTTTTAGGGACTTATATGAAGAAATCATAATAAAGAACCCTAAAAGGGTAGGTTTTTCAGGGTTAGGATGGGGTTTAGGGTTTAGGGTCTAGGGTTTAGTGTTTAGGGTTTAGGGTTTAGTGGGGTACTCAGGGTTCCTGATTCTGTGTGCCTCGTACAAAAGCCTTTACTTTAGAAGTAGGTGATTTGGGGTTCGGGGCTTTTTTTGTGATTTCCTTTTGCAAACCCTTTAGAAGTAAGTTGTTTGGAGTTTTGAGTTTAGGGTTTCAGGGACTATTCTTAAGGCTCCTAAACCCTAAACCCTAAACCCTAAACCCTAAACCCTATTGTTCAGGCTTATGCTGCAGGTCTAAGGCTTCAGGGCCGAAAAATACAGGGGCTTGGGGCGAAGGTTCAGGGCTGAAAGTTTAGGGTTTAGGGTTCAGGGTTTAGGGTTTAGGGTTTAGGGTTTAGGGTTTAGGGAAGTTTTGAAGTTAAGGGCCCAGTCTATAGAACTCTGGGTTCGGTGGTTTACTGGGTATCCTAAGACTCTCAAACTCAGATACTCCCAGATCTTAAAACCAACCCCAAAGCCTATCCCAGATATTCTCAGATCTTAAAATCAGCCCTAAACCCTAAACTCTATAGCAGCCTCATGGAGCCTCAAAAACGCCCTTTAAGGAACCCTAAAAGCCTAGCCTAAACCCCAATCCCCAAAATCCCAAAAGAGTCGATAATCCCAGATCATAAAATCAGCCCTAAACCCTACATCCTAACCCTCAATCCTAAATAACACCACGAAAAAGGCTCCAGCCTCCCCGAGGTCGGCAGGGACCGGCGCCTGGCGCCGCTTTGGACTCGCCATCCCCAGCTTATGTGGCTTCAAGACTTTGGGCTCAAGGTTTTCAGGGTTCAGGGCTTTGGGTTCAAGGGTTTAGGGTTTAGGGCTTAGGGCTTAAGGTTTAGATTAGGGTTTGAAGCTTCAGGTTTCGGGTTTGAGAGTAGAGACTGACATTTAGGGCGTTGCGGGCAAGGCTCGTTCATAATCATCGCTTCGGGTCTGTAGGATCTTGGTATAAGATCCATTCACAGAAACCCTAAACCCTAAACCCTAAGCCCTAAACCTCAAGCCCTAAACCCTAAACCCTACTACACCCGGAATCCCTGAAAACAAACAAACCGAAACCCCATCCGATGCAGACTCCTGTTGCACCCTGAAACTTACATCTTGAACCGGATCAATCATGGATTAGAAAGTAGCACCCTTAATGCGGGGTCGTAGACTCTAAGGGGAGTTTTAACGAATCCCCAATTAAGGCCTCTACGCCCAAAGCCCCATAAACCCTATCATCATTGATGGACAAAATCCTGCATTACCCATTATAATATAAGGAATATACCATAGTTCCCATAGCTTCGAGTCCTTAGGGTCATGCAGGATTTTGTCCATCAGCAGTATTAGGGGATCTACTTTCCAGATCCTCCCATAAACCCTATCATCCCCTAAAAACCCAGACCCATATAGATCCCTTAAAGGAACCCTTAAAGGAACCCCCATTAAGGGATCTACTTTCCAGATCCTCCCGGGCTGGTCCAGGGATGCCCCGGCGCCTCGCGGGTGCCGCGCTCCTCCCGCCGCGCCGCGGCAGAGCGAAGCGCTTGCAGGTCAGCGTCCAGCTCCCGACCTGGTTTAGGGTTTAGGGGTTTAGTGGTTTAGGGTTTTGTTTCTTTTTAAGCACCTTTTTCCGTCAGCACACCTCCGGAAGGTCTCAAGACCAGGTGGTTTAGGGCTTAGAGTTTAGGGTTTTGTTGGAGTTTTAGGGTTTTTGGGGTATAGAGTTTAGGGTTTAGGGTTTAGGGTCTATCTAGGTTTTCAGGGCTGTGGGTTTAAGGTGTAGCTCCCGACCAAGGTTTGGGGTTTAGGGTTTGGGGTTTAGGATGGTTTAGACTCTAAGGGATTTGGGTATATGTTTTGGGGTTTAGGATGGTTTAGACTCTAAGGGATGAGGGTTTAGGGTTTCGGGATTAGCCGAAACCCTAAAGCCTGAATTTGATTCTGGGGCCGCAGGTCATGCCGAGGAGCTCTGCTCGATAAGTCTTCGCCGCTCCGCCTCCAGGGCAGCCACGGTCTCCTTGCCTGTTCGAAGGGCTCCACAACTGGGATCAGGGTTTAGGGTTTAGGGGTTTAGGGTTTAGGGTTTAAGGGTTTAGGGTTTAGGGTCGTATAGGAGGGTTCAGGGTTGAGGGTTTGGGGTCCAGGGTTTAGGAGGTTTTAGGTAGGTGGGATGTCCCGAATAAGAGTCCGTTATATAAGGAATCCTCCATCCTACCTACATTCATCCTACCTTTTGAGGCGTTTGAGTCTTGGTGCCAAAAAGGGGATTTAGGATTTGGGACTCATCATTAAAAAAATCTAGTTCGGGATTCTTAGAACTCACGATTTGGGACTCAGAAACAAGACTCGCAGGTTTAAGGCTTGAGGTTCAGGGGTTTAGGGACGCTTCTAGGGCTTAGGGGCTTAGGGTTTAAGCTTCAGGATTTTTCGGTCCAGATGCTCTGAGCCAGCTCTCTCTCGGCAGCCTTGGCCGCCTCGCACGGGGTTGGAGGGTCTCGAGGTGTACTGGCTTTTCAGGGTTTAGGGCTAAGGGTTCAAAGTTTCAGGGTTCAGGGTTTGGAGTTAAGGGTTCAGAGATGTTCAAGGTTAGGGTAAGAATTTAAGAAGGTCTTGTCATAGGGGGCTCCAAAGAGCTCCATACGCGCATGAACCCTAAACCCTAAACTCCTCCTTGGAGGATCATGGGACTTGGTAAAGTAAGTAAGGTTATAAGTACCTTTATTGGGTTTATAAGTAATTATCAGTATAGTTACCTTAATCCTAACCCTAAGTACTAAGTCCATTGACCCTTTAAGTAAACCCTAAACCGTAACGACTAAACCCTAAACCCTGAACCTGTCATCGGGGCGGTATATGCTCCCAGCAATCTGTCACGTGCATTGATACGTTTTCAAAGCTCAGGTTTAGCACTTGACCAGTACCCTGGAGGGTCCATGCACACTACCATTATGGAATTAGGTCCCCAAAGACCATCCCTGTGATGGTTTTGGGGACCTAACTCCAAAATGGCAGTATATATGGACCCTCAGGGTACCCTGTTACTCCAGAAAAAACTAACTTGAGGACTGTTCCTTAGTTGCAGGGTGCAGTGCGCTCTGAACATATCCAGTCATTCAGGATGGGTTCATACACTATAGGAGCCTGTCTGAGTAGTTAGACTAGGGTTTGGGGTAAAGTATACTATAATCATAAAGGGGCTCTGAGAGTATATCTTGACCACTTGACTTATCCCTAAACCCTAAACCCTAAACCCTAAACCCTATCTTGCTCAACATCGGGTCAAAGGCTCCCAGAAGCGGTGGACATCGCAGACCGCCACTTCAACCCCCTAACACCCTCGCTCCTCAATCAACCTTTTACTAAGGGTTTAGGGTTTAGGGTTTAGGGTTTAGGATGATCCCTAACCCGACCACACTCGGTGGAAGTCCTGGGGCACTTCGTCTATGAATGTGCTGCACATCCGGCAAAAGGTTCGGGACTTCCTCGGTGGTCCGTTGCCTCGCTTCACCGTGTACACATGCTCTCTCTCTTCTCCTGTCTCCGCGATTCTTATACACAAAGTTCGCCGAATTGCCCTGATAGCTGAAGTCGGTGCAATTGGCGCACCGATCCTTGGCAGGATTCAATGGCACCTTCTTCGGTCCCGTGCCGCGGGGCCTTGCATTGTAGGCCCCCTCTGAGATGCCAATAGATGCACGCGCTTCCCGAACACTCTGGTTAATGATATAACTTGGCTGACTTCTGAACCCCTCCTAAAAATTAAACTTTTAGCGTCCTTAGTATAGTTCGTATGGAAACCCAAAAGGTTAAAGTCCTAAGAGCCAACCAGAAGAACCTCAAGATAATATCTATTAAAGTGCTGCCGTCGGTGCTGGTTGTGACGGCGCCTAGGTCACAAACTCCACCTTCCGAGACACCTCTTACGCCTACTTAAAGGGTCACGGGACTTAGTAAGTAAGGTTGCAAATACCTTGATTGGGGTTATAAGCAATTCTAAGCACAAATGTCCTTATGTTCTTAGCACAAATGTCCTTATATAATTATAACAACAGTTTCTAAGTCTCATGACCCTTTAAGTACCCCAGACGGCTAAACTCCAGGCCTCGGGCCCCAATAATGCAACCTTGTTAAACTCTTTAGAGAACCCATCAAAGCCAAGAACATCGATGAAGCCCTGCAAAAAACGGTTTAGGGTTTCTACTATTTGCTTAAGAACCCTATCATCCCTATATTATCCCTATAAGGAACATATTTTTTTGGGGGGGGTTCTTAAGCAAATAGTAGGTTTAGGGTCTTGTCTTGCGAGGTGGAGGCCGAAAACGTCGCTATCGCGTCCGCACCTCGTCGGCACTCCTGCGAAGCCTCTGCTCCTGATTCGTAAGGGCTTACTAAAGGATCATGGGACTTAGTAACTAGGGTTATAATTAAGGTAACTATACTTATAACTACTTATAACCCCAATTAAGGTATTTATAACCCTACTTACTAAGTCCCATGATCCTCCAAGTAGGGCTTGTGAGGGCTGTGCAGGTTTGATAGGGTTTACCCACAGAATCAATAACAGCCATCTCTTGATGTCACGAAGGTTTCTTTATCGAAGGGCTTTTGAGCCTCCGGGCAAGGTTGAATAGATCAGGACGGGATTTTTTTGCTGGGATTACGTGCAGGTTCAAGGTCTCGGGTTTCGGGTGTTTCGAGGCTGTAGGATTTAGGGGCTTTACAGAACCATGCAAAGCTTCCTCTGCTTAGCAAGATCCCAAAAGTCTGAGCTGACAGTTTCGGGTTTAAGGTTGTCTGTAAGTCAGATTACAACATTGTTTAAGACGGGTCTGTGCCAGCTCCTGAACGAACAACACGGCCATGTTTTATGCATCTGGGTCCCCCATCTCTTAGCAAACACCCTCAAGCCCCGCGCCCCAAACAAACCGCTAAGACCCTGAATCACGAAGCCACTGAACCCTTATATAAGACATAAGACGCCTCAAACTCCAAGCCCTGAACCCTACCCGCCTCCCGCCGCCGCCGGCCCCAATCCCTGCCTCCTCGAGCGCTTGTTTCAAGTCCCTCAGCGCCAGCACGTGCTCCGTGGGATCTACCTGCCCACAGAAGCCAGCACCCTAGTCGGCTGCTACGATCACGAACTAAAAACCCCGAAACACTAAACACTAAACCCAAAACTCTAAAACCCTGCACAAAATTCTCATACCCAATCCTAAACACTGATAAAAAAAAACACATCCCTGAGCCCTATCCTAAACACAGGCAGCCCTGCCTTCGGCAGGGCGTCGGGCAGCCTCTTCTGCACCGTCTTCTCAACTTCCTTCAGGCGCGAGACTCGGAAGCCCCTGAGCGAAGCATTATCTACTATTTGCTTAAGAAACCCCCAAAAAATAAAAATAATAATCCGTATATTACCCCCATAAGGAATATATTTCTTATTTTTTGGGGGTTCTTAAGCAAATAGTAGTTATTCTTAGCGTCTTAGCGTTTAGGTTTAGGGGTTTCTTGCACAGGGTAGACCCGACCCTCCCATCAGATTTAGCATCAGATTTGGGGTGTAGGGCTTAGGATGTAGGACTTAGCTTGGAAACCTGCAGGGAAATTCTCTGAGTCAAAGGGTGTTGGGCATTTTCAATATTTGGCACAGGAGGCGTGGGTGAAGGAATTACGCTACTACAAGGGATTCGGGCATCGTCATACGAAGTACGACATGATTTTGGGTCAAACTCGGGCACAGGCATCTGCAGAACAAACCAGAAACCTGCAGAATTGGAATCCAAAGTCGGATGTATCTACTTGCGATACGATTGAACACGGGAGCCCAAACCGAACCGTCTTTCTGTCCCAAGCATGCATCCCGGGTCCTGTGGCTTAGCTTCCTCCTCGATGTCTTCTTGAGGGGCGAGTGCGAGACCCTGCATTTGAGCTTGTCACTCAAGCGGCTTGGGGCCAGCAGAGAGGTACAGTATGGACCTTCAACTAGAATTCTGTTGCAGCCTCATTGGTACTTGGGGCTTGCTTCGGGTGTCGTGGGTAGTTGTACGTAAATTGCAAAGTACCTTGATTGGAATCTAATTGCCCCCACATGCACTCCCTGACTTGGAAGCTCTTTGGAGAATAAATTCGCTTGCGGGCTTCATCCTCTAAACCTTTAGACTAGAGACATTTCAAGCTCTAAACCCCATACTAGAACCGTGTAAATCCCAAAGAAAGCACTTGGAAGCAAGCTGAAGATCCTAAACCCTGAACCGCAAGCCCTAGCCTAGCTCAGCCCCCACCCGAAAACCCTAGATTGTTAAACTTCAAACTTTAAACTTTAAACCCTGAAACCCTAAGCTTCAAACTTGTAACCCTGAGACCTAAACCCTAACCCAGAGAGCCCAATACCCCTTAGTTAAGGTGCTTAACTCATAATATGAAGCCCTATATACTTTGAGCCATACTCCTTAATTCCCTTACAAAACCCTTATAGATCCCTTTAAGGAGCCCTTTTAAGGAATTTTAGGTATTCCTTAATTAAGGGGAGTACGGAAGTATTGGGCTCTCTGGGAACCCTAAACTTCGAACTCTGGTCCCCTTCAACCCTAAACTCTAAGCCCCGAGCCCAGGCGTTGTGGCTCAGGGGCTTGTAGTTGCCCGAGGCCACGGACCCTAGGTGAGGCCCCTTAGCGGGCGCCCACGCCATATCAGATCCACCTGTACGCTCGGCGAGGGTCGGATTCTGCATTCCCCACCTTCGTGGTGGCTGGATTCATTGATTTTACCATTGGCCCTCATACCTCAACTGACCTGGTTTTGCCCTGGTTGAGGCTTGGGGAGGCCTGTTGGCCCCGATTTATGCCCGTGAAGGGTTTTTGGGCCTTGGTTATTCTGCTTTGCTGCGAGGCAGCTGGTGACTGCAACGGCTCTTGGGGAGCCTGCCTGGCATCGGCGCGGCCGGAGGCAACGCACGCGAGCGAGGTTTCAGCTCAGGGCTTGGCTAAGTGGGCTGCTGTCGCTTTCGACGACCAGCATTACAAAGGCCAGGCGCAGACTACAGCTACACCACAGCCGGAGCACTCTGGTGAGTGCGACTGCACACCGGGCCGCTGCAACAATGGCAGCTGCTCAGGGAAATGGATGGTGGTGCTACGAGTGCAAGAAGCAAGTTCGTCAGAGAGCGAACTTTTGCCAGACGTGTGGGGCGAGCTGGCAAGCTCAAAACAGCTACTCCTCACACGCTCGAGGCCCCAAACAGTGGGCCCAAGACGACCAGGGCCCTTGGGAAAGGGCCTGGTCGCCAAGATCTCGGCGACCGAAGTCGCCAAGGAAGCCCCCAAAGGGCAACGGCAAGGGCAAGGGCAAGCCGCAGGACGGCACGGAGACGGCCCCCAAGGTCAAGCCAGGGGTGCCGGATATGGAACAGCTGCCCAAGCCGCCGACGAGGACTCCCATTGCTGGACCTTCAGCTCCTTCGGCACCCAGTGGAAAGGGTGCGAACAATCCGGAGAAGGCTGCCTTGGACAAGCTGATGGCAACCTTGAAGGCCAACGAAGCAGAGCTGACACAGCCGCTCCGCGACCTCTTGGAGCAACATCAACAGGAGGCCACGAAAGACGATGCACGTGCTATGCATCGAGTTGTGGCCAGTCAGGCGAATGCGAAAAAGGAGCTCGCCAGACTACGATCGGCCAGGTCAGCTTATGTTCAGACTGGGCCGGTTATGTTGCCAAGGTGTCCCAGACGCTGCAGGACCAAGTGGCAGAGCACGGGGCGATGCTACAGGACTTTGCGGCCAAGGAGGAGCAATGGGAAGGAGCGCTTACAGACGCGACGACCGCTCTGGCCAAGATGACTCGCGAGCCGACCACAGAGATCAGCTCCGAGGAGGACATGATGGACTCGGAGGAGAGGGTGGATGCCGCACTCCAAGCCGAGCAGCGGCAGCAGGCGCTGGAAGCGCGGTCACAGCAGCAGGGGGCGCAGCTGCTGGAGGCCTTGGCGCAAGTGCAGCAGGCCGCCAACGAGGAGGTCCAGAGAGAGGAGAACCGAGAGCGTACGCCAAGGCGCTCTCGCAACACCACCGACACCTCCGCCAAGGACGCCAAAGATGCCAAGGACGCCAAGCACGTCGCCGAGTCTTCGGTCCCTGGCAAGGCCTCATGATATGCCACATGGATATCATGGGGCCGATGCACCTACCCACCGTGCAATACAGCCATTCCATCGGACAGGAATGGGATTTTATGCCGCCTTTTGAAGCACGGTGGAGCGCGATTCAGCTCGAAGCGGAACTGGATTTCGACGGCATCGATTGCCAGTTCACCCCCGGCACTCCTGACCGACTGATAGAATCTGCCCGTCAGGCTGATGTACTGGGTTGTCAATGGCATGGAGAGGCGGGACCTTTGCAGCAGGTGTGCTCTGGATCTCAGGGTCTTGAGCACACTGGACTCGGGGACCATGCTTTCCATGCGACAGCTGACTGTATTCCTTCGACGACAGTGTTGGCGTATGAGGTGTACAGTGAGGCTGTTCGTGGCCTGATTTTCCGTGACATAACAGGGGGCGATCGTTGTACAGGTCCAGGCTCCGGGGAGCTAAGATCCGCGTTCCAGCAACGACCGCATTCTGTACCTCTTTCGGTTGTGTTCTCTAAAGGGGCGAATGCTTGGGGCAATGCGCTCGCCAGGGCGTTCAATCGAATTGCAGGGCTGGCCGGTGAGTGCTTTAAGTGGTCGGCCGCCGTTGGATACCGTTGCAAGGCCGGTTCCATGTCGAACCTTGGCGGTGATCCATCTGTTTGTCTTCCTGCACTCCCTTGCACCGTTCGGGGCGGTTCCCTGTCGATCCCCGGCGGTGGCCTACACGACTTCGATTTCCCGTGTACCGAGCGGCGGCCACCATCCGCCACTCTGCTTCCAGCCTCATCGCGCGTGCCGTCTGTTGCGAGCACCGTGTGCGCCTCCCATTTTGCCATTCCATGCACCGTTTGGGGCGGTTCCATGTCGATCCCCAACGGTCGAGATCTGGCCATTCCTTGCCCTTCTGGGGACCTTGCGGCGCCTGGCCGACCACACTTTCTGCAGTGTGTGCCGTCGTGGACGTGCACCGCAGGTCAGCCTGGCCAGCTCTCTCTGCAGCCTGTGCAGCCTGCTGCTCACACTGCACCTGGCCCCAGCCACCACCGTTGGCCCAACTCCGGTCATGGGTACACCACCAAGCGTTGCAAGGACGGTTCCATGTCGAACCTTGGCGCTTCTCTCTGTCCCAGGCAGGTTCCTACAACGCCTCCTGCTGGGCCAACCACAATGTGCGCCACTCCTGGGCAGCCTAGTGTCACAGACCTGCACATGATCTTGGCCTCTCATGTCAATGTTGGCCCTGACTGGTTGGGTGGCCCCTTTTTGCACTCCCGGGCCTACGACCTAACCCGCCTTGGCATAGGATCGAGTGCGCACGATCCGGATTCCAGGTATACGATCCTGGAGTTTCGCATGGACACCCTAGTGCGGCGCTCCTTGCCTGAGTGGACTCCTATGGAATACGTCGCGCACGCGATCAGGCAAGTGCCCTACCGCGTGCATTCGGCTTTCTTCCTTGAGGTCCCCCTCCCGGGATACCCGTGCCCGCAGATTCTGCTCACGCCTGTGGGTCTACCCGTGGGACACCGTACTGTTCCCATAGATCTTCGGGATGTGCAAGGCATGCTACATGTTGTAAAGGCTGTCAGAGGCAATGATGTGTCAGCCATCTGGCCCTCTCTGCATGAAAAAGGGGTCAAGGATGCTCACAGAGCTGAAGAAGCCACTCGCTCTGGCAGCCTACTCTTTCTCGACCAATCGGGTCAAGAGCAGCAGCAAATCAACTCTCTGCCTGACTTGCAATGGTTCGAAGCTCGTCCAGCTGACCATGCTGCAGAGCCCTTTGTTGTTGAGTATGTAGGCGGGGGTCCCTTGGCTCTTCGGGTTCCTAGACCGCTTCCTGCTTTCGAGCCGCCTCGTGGCTCCACGGCTGCCGACATTGAGGCCATGAGGGCCGCAGAATGTGGCTGCGTTGCAGCTTCCTCGACCACCACCACCACCCTCATGCAAGTTGGTGGCCTAGGCCCTACACCTGACCCGATAGATGTGCCACCGGCAGCAGTATTCCCAGAAGCAGAGCCGCCGTCACTACTGATCCGCCATGTAGGGGCAGAGGCTAAGCCTTCCAGGCCAAGTCCCTACGATGATGCACCACAGGTAGTCCCAGGCTTCCTAGAGACAGATAGGTTCCAGCAAGCCAACGTGGATGCCTACTCATGGGGCACAGACGGAGGACCCAGGCAATCCTTCACCATCTTTGATGTTGTGCGTCATGTCACCACGGCCCCAAGGCCGCGAGAAGGCACGCTAGCTGAGATCATTCGATCTGCAGTGATCTCAGCTCCTTTCCAGGTTGGTGCGGTACAAGTACTCATGCATGGCCTGCGCAACCTGCCACAGCCGCAGCTGGTTCTTTACCAACGCCATCTTCCCATTGGCCATGTGCCCATTCCGTGGGACCTTCGTCCTGTAGGTGGCGAGATCCTCACGGTCAACCACAAGCCACAGGAGTCGAGGTTCGATGCTATAGCCAGGTTGCGTGCAGTGATGACTGATGTGGAGGGACGCAGAGCGTGCGACCCCCTGGAAGCAGGGCATTTCACGGCTCTGGATGCCACAGGCATTATCGGGGACGCGATCCCTCTTGTATTGACTGAAGTGCAGCATTTTGTGGTCGAGCCAACATTTACCGGCTTCGCTGTTCCTGCTTTGGTTGACCCATGGGGGACTCATCCAGCTCCCTTTTTCTGGCCGGTTGATGGGCCCTCTTCGACTTCCTCCACTACGTCCACCACCTCCACGGGCCCCAACCCGGAGGTTGACTCCTTCAGATTCACAATGCTGTACGGCCCACACACGCACAGTGCCATTGTCCAAACCCCATGTCTTCAAGCAGATGCGATCCTTGAAAGACTGATTCGAGAAGTGCTGGCCCAAGGTTACCCATATCACGGGCCCTTTTTCTTGATGATGGCAGCGGGGCAGCCAGCCCTCGGGGACAATCAGCAAGAGGTCATTTTCCTCCTGTGCAACTCTGTGCATGACCGCACGGCCGCTGTCGTGGTGGACGAAAGGCCAGGCGGTCACCCTTTGTGCTCGCACCATGTCGCCCCGCAGACAATGTGTGATCGCCTGATCACAGGTGCAGCTGCACAGCGTGGGGTTTCGGTTGTGGTCAATGGAGCACCGGCCCGATTAGCCCCGAAGTGGGCTATGCAGGGCGACTACATCCAATTTGATGAAGGTCGTGGGCCGCCGCCTTTCACCCCCACGAGCTGGATTCTTCGCCAACTTCCGGTACTGTTGCCTTTCACCTGGCCGTTGCATGTTGGAGATGGGGTATACTCGCTTGATGTCCCAGGCACAGCGAGGCTGCGTCGGCGAGCCCAGGGTACCTTCCACCCAGCTGAAGGGGGTTGTCTGGTTTTGGGCATACATTCGATGCTGCCGTGGTCCTGTAATAGTGGACAGAAACAGAAGCACAACAAAAAGCACCAGGTAAAATAGGAAATTATGGCTTGAGTATGATCATACTTGGTTTTACCACGAGCCTGGTGTTTCGGGTGTATGAATGGATCCCCTCCTTGAGCGCTGGTGCCCGAATAACCTGACCTCACCGAAACCCTTTCTGAATCCTAGTATGCGAACACAATGCTCCATACTTTGGGTTTAGGCGAACGGTTTAGGTTTAGGGTTGCAGGTTTCGGGTTTCGAGTTTAAGGCTGAGGGTGTACAGGGGTTTAGGCTTTGGTCTAGGGTTTGGGAGGTTTAGGGTTTGGGATTGGGGGTTGAGGATTTAGGGGTTAGGGATTTAGGATGCGAATCGCACGGTGGAGCCTGGACCTCACTGAAGCTCAAGCAGCCATATCATTTTCCTTGCGGAAAGACGCTGCAACACCTGAAGTGAGTCCTGTGTGCCTCTGCTAAGGCTTGGTGTTATGGGCCCTTTGAGAAGCACCCAGCCAAGCCACCACGGTCACAAGGATCAAAAGCTAACGCGCAAGGCACGCACAGGCCAACTCAATGTATTACCCAGCCGGTTGATTAAACTCTGTCATGGCTACACGGTGCTACAGTGCTACCAGCTAGCACATACCGCCCGCCTATTCCATACCTAAGCCTACAGCCTATGGCCTGTCCCATATATAGATTAGAGTCATAGACCGTCATAGACCATAGACCGGACCATACCGACCATACCATACACACCATACAGCCCCTGCCTATACTGACTTAATAATTATACTGATACTGTAAATATTATACTGTACGACATACAGACAGCCGAAACTTTACCGAGGGTGCGACAACCGGTGAAAGCTCGACTACACCGTCCTTACAAACTTGACCGAGAGCCTCTAGCGGTGGCCAAATAGTCAGAAACCATATCATATCAATCATGAATGCGGGGCTCATGTTCATATTGCTTACACTAACACAGTATTCATTGAACACACTTTGCCCGATCGTGCTTGCACCGATCAAAATTGCAGCGGGCAAGGCGCCTCGCTGTCAGATCTTGGGATCTGGAGTCCTAACCTACTTGTCCTTTGGGTCTTTGCAAAGCTCGTTCAGCCATGCCAGCACATGCTTGTTGCATTGGGCCGATGTGCGATCGCACTGCTTCTTGAACCTGCACCAAGCAGCAATGAATGATTTCTTTCTTTGTCTTTGTCGCTCTCTCTCTCTCTCTCCCTCTTTTCTCTCTCCCTCCCCCGCACCAGTCTCGACCTCTAGGTGGGTTAAGGTTCGGGGTTGACCGGAGCCCAAAACTGTTTCACCCTCAACTTCCGCGCTCCACGTCCAAGAAATTATGCTAACTCCGGTAATCATACCCGTAAGTCATACCACACACAGGAGTACATACGCCGTTAAGTGCCGAAAACTCCCTAAAGACTGGCCCTTGAACGCTTGAGGTTGAACAGGGTAACGGCTGAACACTAAAGCCTAAAGCCTGAAACCTTCACTAAAGCTTCTATTCTGCTATCTTCTGAAACATGGCATGGCACTCCCGGATCGTCGAGGCCCGTTCACGCGGGGTCTTGGTGGGCAGTTTATGCAGAAGCAGATTGAGCGCATGCATCGACGTGCTATAGTTCTTGATGATCTTGTAGTTCTGAACGACTTCATTGAGCTTGGACAGCTGTGCTGAGCTCATGAGATTTGGCACCAAAGAGAACTCCTTCACAATCTGGTCAACGTTGTTCCCGATGGTGGTCATGGTATCCATCTCACCTGTGACAGCATTGTGCACCTTGCGAGCAAACAGAACTGTCTTGATCTGGGACGCATTCCTGTTCTCGACCAAGCCCTCCCACTTCCCAGGAATTGCCGCCTTGCTCTTGACCAAGATCTCGCCAACCACTGTGGTGCATGACACAACATGCTCCAGCACGTGCTTACCAACGTACTCCTTCACACGGGCTGACTGCTCCACAAGCTTCAACAAGCAACGGGCCACTTCCAAAGCGCTGTTGCACAATGAGCAGTGGCTTTCGGCTGCGTCGGTGGCAGCAAGATCCTTCTTCTTGAACTCCAAGCTGGATGCCAACACCTGGAACTCGCAAATCTTGTTGGTGAGGTTCTCAACCGCAAGCATCTTGGACATCTCGGCGAGTGCCTCATTGTGGCTCAACAACGGAGCCATCTGCTCCATTGCATGGAACTCGGTGTTCGGAAGGATCACCTCGGTGCACTTTTGCCAAAAGCCTGTCTTCTTCTCATTCTTTGGGTCAGGCAAGAACTCGCCAGCTCGAATGCGGCTTTTGAAGAAGTCCTGCTGTCGGATAAGTCGCACTGAGAATGCCTCTTCCAGGGTCTTCCAAACCTGCGGGAGAACTTCCCCAGCAATGAGAAGCAAGATGTCCCCGAGCACCGCAGACTCTGTCAAACCAAGGCTTGCACAAGCACGGCAGAGGCGATCGCACACGTCGGTGCTGAAGTTCATCTCGCAGAATCTGGCCAAGGACTGCAAGATCATGTCCCTGTCGTCGGGGGCACTGTCGGTGATTGCTCTGGCAATCACTTTTGGCACATTGTCAGCCCAATTCTTCATGATCTTCCCATCAGCTTCCGTCTTGTCCATGACGGCTGACAGCTTCTGCACGCAAGTCACCTTAGCAAAGGTTCACAGATTCACTGGCAACAAATTACAGTGGTGGCGGTACCGACCAGCCGACTTTCAAATTAAATACGCAGGCACAATCGCACACACACACATACACACCAGGACCAACATGCTTAAACCAAACTGGTGCAGCATAGCCCAGCCCAAACTCTCATCACCAAGCATTGTTCCTTCCATTCGGTCCACACTATACCGCCAATACTGTAGCTGTATACAAGATATACTGTAAACTGTATACCACCGTATACTGTACATTGTATAGACTGTATAGACTGTATCTGTATAGAGTATAGTCGGTATAGTAGTATACAGTATACAGTATACAGATACGGCGCGGAATGCGGCATACGATCTGTGATTGGCATAAAAAAACAGAATCATCACTGGTTCACTGGTACTCCAGCACTGTCACACTGATCATAGATTATAGACGATTCTTGGAAACTGTGTAGCAGTAGGTGCTGCTCGAATCATACATTTTTAGTCTATATGATTATACAGATTCTCAGATACAGTACAGACAGTATCATTACAACATACTCAGACTGTAACATACATACATACATACATAATACCGTAACAACCAGCATGCCATGCCGCACCGCCCGCTTCCTCGATTGTAATTGTACTGGACACAAACACGAGGCCACTCACCCACTCACTACTCACACACACACACACACACCACACACCCCTCGAACAAGACTGACTCAGACTAGAACTAAGGGCGTGGCCACTTCCACCAAAGTGCTTGCATTGGAAAACAACTGAGGCAGACTGTCTGACATCAAGCCGTGCTCCCGAAGCTTCTGGTATAGCTTCTGGGCACCCTGACCCTTGTCCATGAAAGCAATCATGATCTGTGCATCTGCCTGGGCCTTCAAGTTCCAGACAGATTTTGTCAGGTCAATCACTGCGCCGTCTTTGCTTGACAGTTGCTCAAACACACCTGGCAAGCTGAGAGTCAAGTTCTTTACAACAGCATCCAGGATCTCTGCCATCATGGTCTGGTACGCTTCAATGGCTGCCTGGGCTGGCTCACTCGAGTAAGGTGGCTGCACGGCAAACATGAACTTCTCGCACTCGCGGCCAAGAGATGCAAGGGATGTCTTCAGGCTGTCCGAAAACTCAGCTCCTGCATTGTTCATCACAAACTGGATCTCTTCTGTCAGAGCGAAGCCTTGGAACATCTCAGAGGTGACATTGGCCTGCTGGGCTGCATCACGCTCGGCCTGCATCTGCACATTTCTGCCTTCTGCGATGGCCACGATCTCCTTGCCAAGCTCGTACGCAAACAGGGATCTGTAGATGTCCTGGTCGGTCCCGGAAGTGATACTCGCCAGCGGACCTTCCAGTGTGGTTGCGCCCTCCAGCGGCTCCAAGTCACAAACCGCAATGACGTTGACCGTCATTTCAACGATCTCTGGGAGAGCTTTCTCACTCGCCACCTGCAAACAAAACACTCCACAGGGTCACCAATTACATAGGCTGACTGATGGGCACTTAGATAGGCTTAGATAGGCTAGGCTTTTCCTGCTTTGCTGTTATTCTGACAGGAACCTGAAATTTGCAGGGTCAGTGGTCCATTCCATATCATACCATTACAATTTCCAAGAAGACTTTGAATGAAGTGGCAAGCCTAGTGGCGATGGAAGTTAGGCATTGCGGCATACATACATACAGCATACGCAGAATGATATGACACTTGGCAACATGAGTTCAGGGAGGCTCAAACATTGTCGCTCTTCAGGCCTCTGCACCCCATTGCCTATTGCCTATTGCTATTGTCTTTCTTAATAACTGTGACTATGATAATGAAGAATTAAGATTAAGACTCAGACCCGTACGGGACCATACCGGACCATAGCATACCACAAACTGTGCCGGACCATTCCACAAGCTTTGGCTTCTACCTATGCTACCATGCCGTTGCCTACAGTGCCCAATAGCCAATAGCCCAGTACTTTAGTGCCGATACCGACGCTGTACGCCCTTACTCTATAGAAATAAAAGCAATATTTCAAATGGCAATAATTGGGCTTCAGCAAGGAAATCCACTGCAAACGAAGCCCTCAAATTGAACCTTTCACAACCCTTGCGCCTCAGGCCTTGTATAAAACCTAACCGGGATAACCCTTGGGAATTACAGGGTTGGGCCTTCAATGCTTGAGCAACAGCTTTCGCAGCAAGAGCGGCACGCTCCTCGCCCCGTAGCTCGGGGTTCCTCTCTCCCTCGTGCTTCGCGAGCACACTGCCGACGATGCCCTCGATGATAACAACAGT